GAGAAGCAGCAGGAAAACCAGGGTTGCCAGAGCAGAACCAGTTGGGGGAGAGCAGCAGGAGACGCAGTCAGCCAGGCGGTGGGGGTACGCGCGGAGCAAGACCTTGCAGCCGTCGCTATCTGTGGGTTAATGTCGAAGTGCCTTGCACAGTGCCTGGAACAGTAGTAGCCACGTGACACACAGCAGCTTTTACTACCAGCGGAACCCAGTGTGGGAGCTCCCAGGCCCCCCTCGCCCTGCGGCCCACTGCGCCTCTGCGCTGGCGCACGTTCTCCTGATTAGTAGTAACAGCTTGCAAAACACAGTCAGGAAGGCAAAAAACAAAGAAAGGTTTGAAAGGGGAATCCTCATAATCTACCTCTTCTGTAACAACATTAGTCAGACAGATGGAGTTTGTCCCGGTGGCTTTGCTGACGTAGGGGGACAAGGAGTTTGCGAGTGTGCTTGTGTATGCACACTATGGGTGACTCCTGAGAGGTCAGCTTCTCATTAGAATCAGCCTTGAAAGCATGTTTGTTATGACCAGGTTGCACAAGGGGATATCCAAACAGTAGTCAAATACATAGAAACATGGTGGCAATCAAAGAAATGCAAATTCAGACTCTAGTGAAGAACCATTTCATACCAATTAAGTTAGCAAATAGTTAAGAAAATATCGGTGCTAGTGAGAAAGCACATTAAAAGTTAGGAAAAAAACCTGTTTTATGCACAGAGCTGTTCTTTGCTATATTATCTGAAGACAGTGGGGAAATAGATAAATGAATTATAGTGCTCATTAAAATGGAGATATGTGAAGATCATGTATCTTTCACTTTTTGTTTTGTACTTGTTTCTCAGTTGTGTCATTATTTAATGTTGTCTGTGCTCTCTGTAGAAATAAAGTAAAATGGGAACACATTCAAATCAGCTGAAATTGTATAAAAATTATGGCTGCAGATGGACAGGGGCCAGTAGGAACATCGACCGTTTGAAAATGGTTTAATTTGTTGGCATGACACTGTTGTGGGAAATGTCCTCATTTTTTAACTTTAGAGTTCTGTTAATGTTGCTTTAATATTATTTGTATAATATAAAAAAGTCTTCATTCCTCCTAGAATTGAATTTCTATTTACTGACATTTACTGATAGTAGGTTCTTGGTCCAGTTGTTTTGGATTAAGGTTTAGAGCAATCTTATTATCTGTTGGCCCAAGAGAAGAATTAACATTTACTTTTGAAGGTAGTTTCTTTTTTAAAATGTTACTTAAAAATATTTATCCCTCCATTATGAACATAGTCTATATTTAGTGTAAAATATTTTAAAAATAGAGAAAAAAATAACATCATTAAAAGTCATTTATAATCATATGGTTTTTTTTTTTTTTCTTAGGTTTTTAATTAGTGCTTAAAAAAAATGCAATTGCTTCTTACGGAAAATTTCGCATACACACAGAATGAGAGAATGAACCTCTATGCACTTGTCACCCAGCTTCAGCAGCCCAGCAGCTAACCCTGTTTCATCTGGGCCCTTCCCCAGCTCCCTCTCAACATTGAAGTGTTCCAAGTGATTGCCAGACATAGTATTTGGTCAGGTTTTCAGTGTTTTTTTTTTTTTTAAGAACTACCATTTTCACTTCAGAAAGGTAAATAATCTCTTAATATTACCAAATAGCCAATAAATGTTTAGATTTCCCGTAGACATAGAGGAAAGATCTTAAAATTAACACAGAGAGTTCTCATACGACTTTCGCCCAGCTTCTAATGTTGCCATCTGTAACTGTGGTACACTCATCGAAACCCGGGAAATTAACACCAACCCAATACTATTATTTAGAGACTACTTGAATTTTTCCAGTTTTCCCATTAATGCCCCTTTTCTGGCCCAGGATTCAATCCAGGATCCACACGGCCTTTAACTGCCATGTCTCACTGGTTGGTTATTTTGTAAATGTCCCTTCATTTGGGCTTGTCCGATGTTTCTCCTGGTCATACCGAGGGCACACGTTTTTGGTAATAGCACAGGTGTGATGGTCCCTTCTCATTGTCTCTTACCTGGCGGTGCGTAATACCATCCTGTCTCATGACTGGTGAGGCTAGTGTTGGCCACTTGTAGAATCAGTGTGAATTCATGAGTTCACACTAACCTTCCCCAACTTTATTATTATTTAATCCCAAGGTTCTCCCTCCTCGTTTGTTTTTTTTTTTTCCATGTACGTAATTTATCTGTCGAATAAGTTGGGTCATTTGTTCTTTATAGTTTTTTTATTCTGGATTTTGCTGATTGTGTTTTGTAATGTCACTTAACTTGTTCTCTGCTGACTCTCTGGTAATTGGTAGTTAGGTTAAGATGCATGATCAAATTCAGGTTTAATTTTTGGGCAAGATTTACATTATAGGTAGATATCTGTGCTTCCAGTCGGAGGTATAGAATATTTTGTAGTTCCTGTTCTTGTGGTGTTACATTACTCACCATTGATGACCACTTGCAAAATGGTGATCATTTAATGTCCTCATTCCTTCTTCATTTATAGCTTAATGCTTCTATAAGGAAAAACTTATTTTTCATCATATAGTTACCCTGGGGTACAGTTCACACAAGGAAAGACAAAATAAGGAATTCACTAAAATTCTGCAAAGGTAACTAACGGTATGATTAAGTTTCCCATTTCTTCTGTAACAAATTACCACGACCTTGATGGCTTAGCAACACAAATTTATTTTGTTTTTCTGGAAGTCACAAGTCTGAAATCGGCCTTACTAGGCCAAAATCAAGGTATCAGCAGGGCTGCATTCCTTCTGAAAGCTCTGGGAAAATCCACTTCTTTACCTTTTCCAGCTTCTAGAGGCTGCCTGTGTCTCTAGACGTGTGACCCCTTCCATCTTCAAAGCTAGTAAAGGCTGGTGATGTCTTTTGTGCTTCCCTCTTCCACTTTTAAGGATCTTTGTAATTATAGTGGACCCAACTGGTTAATCTCTCTAATTTAAGGTCAGCTGACTAGTAAACTTAATTTCACCTGCAACTTGTATTACGTTTGCCACGTAATTTAGTGTATTCACAGATTCTGGGAATTATGATGTGAACATCTTTGGCAAGGGGCATTTTTCTGCCTATTACAGCGTTTGAAGGTTTTTTTGTTTTATTATTATTATGAACTCAGATTTTAAACATTTTTTATGTATTTTTATTCATTGTCATTATCCTTGATGGTCTAATTGTCCTATCTTTGAACAGTGGAAAAGCTTACACAAGTTGACTCCTCTGTTATTTAGACATGAACGTTGAGGCTTTGATAACGTCCTTTCTGACCTGAGAGGATGTCTGGGCTCACCTTGTTCATTGCTGTCCCTGGTCTGGAATCTTCCCTTCCCATCGGGCAAACTTTCGTGTGCATTGGAATCGCTAGGAGGGCTTATTAAAACAGATCGATGGGCCCTATTTCCCTGCAGAATTTCCGATTTAATAGATGTGGGTTGGGGTCCAATAAATTGTGTTTGCAGTTCCTAGGTGGTGCTGATAACCTTGTTGTAGGGACTGCAGTTTGAGAACCACTGCTTTAAAGAATCCTGGTTCTTCTTGTGGGAAATGGTATTTAGAGACTACAGTCTGGATGCTAGGGATGACAATGATTCTAGGCTTTTTTAGTAAAAGAAGGAAATAACAAAATATGTTTATATTTATATTTCCAATGCGAATTTAGAATTACATGTTTTAACTTCTTTTACTTTGTATTTGTTTTCTCATAGGCTTAAAGTCTTTGCTTTTATGACATTAATAATTACTTATTTAGTAAATATACACACAGTTTCAGAATAATAATACCAATATTATTTCTTACAACATGATAATAAAAACAGTTTAAGATTTGTTTTTGGTGGCAGTCTTTTTTGTTTTTAGAGATATATCTCATTAGGGATGCACAAATAACTCTGCTTTAAAGCTATTGAAATAATTTCTTTTTGTTTGGCTAACCAGTCAACTCGATGCACAGATTCATTTTTTTGTTGTTCAGCTTTCAGTTTTAGGGGATTTTAATTTTATTTTTAAAATATTTAATCATTTTAATGGTTCAATGTAACATCTATAAAATGAGTTCTGCTGTCTGTCTCTGTCCCTTCAGTCTTATTCTTTCTTTTTCCTCGTAGAGAACCATTTAATTTATTTGATGGCTAAATAAATGGCAGTATGCTATACCCCCCCCCGCCCCCCGGGATCTGTCACCTTCTCCCATATCCCTTGAAGCCATCTACTGTAAAGATTACTTGAGGGCAGTATATTTAGAGAGAGAGTAATCATTCCTTTTCCTTGATAGCTTCAGAGTTCCCCCTTGTAAGTATGTACCATAGTTTATTCCTCAAAATTGGTGGACATTTGGGTTGTTTCCACCCTTTTGCTATTATGAATAGTGTTTCAGTATTACAAATAGTGCATATTTTGAGGTAGTTACAATCACTGTGTGCTGTTTTCTGTTTTTTCCTTTGACATTATAACATGAGCATTTTCATGTTACTGTAAATGTCATGATTTAATAGTTTTTTAAATTTTGAAATACAAACTTATTTAGAGATTTTAGAAACTCAGAAAAATGAAAAATTAAAAATCAATTGAAAATTACCCATAATCCTTCTACTTTGGTATGCTGTTATTATTTGATGTGTTCCCTTAACTGTGGACATTTAGAAAACAGTATCATATTGCATAGTATCCATGTTTGCCTTTCATAATTATGCAGTTTTTTATACTGTAATCTTTTTATAATTAATTCTGTATTGTTGTATATTTAGTTTCTTTCTGGTTTTTTCAGCATTATAAATAAATGTGATACATCTGTGCATAAAGCTTTTTCCAAATTTCAGATTATTTTTAAAGTTGGTTTTTAGAGACTTTAACTGAGAAGGAAGTACACATTTGTTAAATACGTCTACCAGCTTGTTGTCTTTATCGCAGTAAGGTAAACAGGTGAGAAGTTGTCACCCTGAAATTTTTGTCAAGCAGATTTCATTTTTTTATTTCTCTTCTGGTAGGACCTTAGAAACGAAGTTGAGAAGTTACGCAATGAAGTAAACGAAAGAGAGAAAGCAGTGGAGAATCGTTACAAGAGTCTGTTGAGTGAAAGTAATAAAAAATTACACAGTCAAGACCAGGTGATCAGACATTTAACAGAAAGTATCAATCAAAAGGACAAGGACTTGTTACTTCAGGTACCCAAAATTTTTTTTTTTTGTATTTAAATTTTGACTTGGTGTAGGTTGTTTTTTTTTTTTAAACTGTTTTGCAGGAACATTTATATAAAAACAAGCTGGCAAAAATGATTATAGTCTACATTGCTATATATCAGAGCCTTTTAGAGCTTCTTTTATGTCATTCGGGCTTCAGCCACCAGGGAGGTAAGTTTGGAGAAGGGGAGGCCCCGTGAAGGGAAGGAAATTATCCTGGGTCACATGACTGCTAAGCAGCAGAGTGTATTCAGGCCTTCACCTGTGTAGCTCTGGTGCCTGGCCTGAGCACATCTGCTGTGGTCTTTGCTATTCCTCATTCATGCTGTGTCTTTTAGCCGCACTTGACTTTCCTCTATTGGCTCATTTTTGCTATTCTTGTTCGCTCGGATTTGATTCAGCTCAGACTTACAGGGACCATCCTGGACTCCACATGAGGGTTTAACTCTGCTTCCTGCCAAAGCCTCATTAACGTAGCAGTGAGCGGTAAAAAGGTATAAACCCACAGGCCTGGGACTAGGGGAGTATGCTGCAGCGGGGTGCTGCCTGGGTGATGAGTGACGGGTAGGTGGTAACTGCATCGGATTCCGCTTTCTCGGGCTAGAATGCTGGGCAGCCCGGTGACCTTGTTCTCTTCACTGGCAGGAAATGGGAGCTCTACTCTCTGGTGACCTTCAGTGAGAGAAGCTCTGGTCCAGGTATCACCGGGTGCATCAGAAAACAGAGTGCAGGGAGCAGGAGTGGGTATGCTCAGCTGTGGGATCCCTCTGAGGGGAAGAGGCTGAAGGATGCCGACAGTTGGGGGTCCTCTGACACAGCAGCTGAGTCCCCCGCCGGCCGCATCAGTGAGGCTGCCAGTGCTGTGTCCTTCCCGCGCTCACGGAGCTTCTGAGCCCCTGACACTTAGAAATGGTTGGATGGCTTGAGCTCACCGCACAGGAGAAGGGTGTCTAAGAGGAAAGGCAGAGGCCGAAACAGACAGAACAAAGCTACACAGGGGAAATAGAAACAGCAGAAGGTGGGAGGAAAACTGTCCGGAGCAACAAAGTCAGCACTAACATCCTCAGGTAATTAATGAGGTCAGGCTCTGATAGAGAAGATATTTGGAGAAGAAGGGCGACCTATTGGAAATTGGAAGTATGATTAGAGATACAAAAAGTTTAATAGAAGAGTTAGAAAAGTTGGGAGATAAAGAGTAGGTCTTGCAGAAAATAGAATTAAGCAAGCAAATAGGTACGAAAATGGGAGAGAAAAGAAGAAATTAGAGCCTTGACTGAAGAGCTCCAATGTATAACTAACAAGTTCTAGGAAGAATGAAAAGTCAGAAGGAAGACAATTTTCAAAGTAATAGAAAATTTCCAGAATGGAAGACAGGTAGCTCTACATTGAATGGGCCTGCGCTGTTTCTAGCACAATGAATATAATGCTATAGCCCAAGGCATGCCTCTGTGAAATTTCAGAACACAGGTAAAGACAGCATCTGAAAGGCTTCCAGAGGGAGGAAAAGGTGGGTCACATGCAGAGTCCTCAGCAGAAACACGAGAAGCCAGAGAGGGGAGAGCAGTGCTTTCAGATTTTTGAGGAAGAGTGATTTCCCATCCCGCGTTCTGTGCTCAGCAGAGCTGTTAGCAAGAGTGAGGGCAGAATAAAGGCACTGTCAGACATTTGGTGCCTGAAATCACCTGCCTTCCATGTACTCTTTGCAGGAAATGTCTGGAGGATGATTTCATACAAATGAGGACGTAATCCAAAAAGGGAGACATGGGATCCAGAGAGGAGGGAATTCACCTGGGATGTATGGCGAAGTCCCAGGATGGGTGAGGTGTAGGGAGCCTGTATTTGAGCTGCGGAGGGAACGCTGAAGTTGCGATTTCTCCAAGAAACTGAAATGGAACATCATTAACCTGACATCTGACTCCATCTAGATCTAGGGGAATTTTTAGGTTCTTTCAGAGAGTTTGGAGGTAAATTAACATTAAGTACATGATTTAGTTTTATGAACTAAGTAAACAAACAGAACAAAGCAGTTGTCACTACTTCCAAGACAAGCACAGAGTCTAAAATGAAATGCAGTCATGGAACTCTATGTATGACTGAGCCATGGACAGTATTTGAGTGGCCGTACTAACTAAATGCAGAATATTGACTTAGCTAAAATTGTAATGTGACTATTAGGAAAAGTGTTGGGGGCAGATGATATAAGAGCTAAATTTTAAAACTTCTGTGAGAGGAGCCAGTAGACAAATTCTAATTGAATGATGTCAAGAAATGTGAGTAGGAACATAATATAGAAACATGGAAGTAAATAACCAAAATGGCTATAGAGTCAAAAATTGTTACTTTCTGGGAGTGGGACTCAGAGGTGAGAAGTGGAGAGGTAGGGGCGGTGGTTTCCCACTTCAGCCATATATACTGTTAAAAAGGCATATGTATAATTGAACTTTGAAAAATAAAATTAAAACGTGTAACTCAAACACAGCAGTATGATGGCAGTTCTAGAAATTCACTGCTGCTTAATTTGATTCCTATTTCTTCCTGTTACAGGTCAGTGGGTTTTTACAAAAATTTGTCTCTGCTGCTTTTTTGTTTGTGTTCACCTAATTTTTTTGTGACAAATTTGACATGCTGAATTAACTCTGATAGGTGCTAAGGAATAAGATGTGGTTCTTGCCCTGAATTTCTGACAGAGAGCACAGAAACCTATTTCAGGAGTTACCAGGTGTTGAACAGTCAGGAGTAGATCCGATGCTTGAACCTGGGCACAAGACCAGAGGGACAGTCTCCCGTCCTGCTGCACTGTCAGATGGCAGGTCTTCTGAAGGAGTCAGGGAGGGGAACTGTATTGTGAATCATCACGAAGGAGTTTTTCGTATGTGACCAAACCCCAAGGCAGTGTTTGCAGTCTTGCCTTTTTCTTCCCAGAAGTCAGTCTCCTCACAGATATGGGTGGTTCAAGTTTCCTCAGATTTGTAATGTTTCAAGAGAGACTGAACTTTGTTGGGTTGTGGTCTGCAGTCTCCCTAGTCTGACCCCGCGGTACAGGAAACAGACACAGGGACCACACCCTGGTCCGGGGGGGACTCAGGATTGGAACCCAGTCCCAGGGGCCCAGGGCCTGGCCTTTGTCCTCCACCTCTGCTGGGTGGCTGTCACCGTGGTGGCGAGAAGGCAGGTTTGTAATGACCGTGCTGGCAGGCTGCTCTTCTAGTGTAGTAACACGCAAATGGAGTACGTTACAGTTTCGTATTGCCAGTATTTTGGGATGATGGAAGTAAGTTACTTAGAGGACATACAGGTGTTGTGAAGGAAAAAAGTATCTTCCCTTTAAGAGTTGGGGATAATCTCTTAATATTTTTTTCTTGTTGAAAACTTTGTTACGGTGTGTTTTGTTTCTTTAGAAATTCAATGAAAAAGATTCAGAAGCAATACAGCAGAATTGTTATTTAACGACTGTGGAGGATCTCAAATTCAGGAATGAAGACTTTGTAACAGAAAAGCGCTCTTCTCAACAGTCACCAGGCAGCAAAATCATCCTCTCTGAGGTAAACTTGACTGAAACTGGATGTTCACAGGTGGATTCATAGTCTTTTCTGACACATATTTGGTAATTCCTTTGATCTGGAGAGCCTCAGATGCCTCCTTGCTGATAACTGACTTTACACCCGGAAAGAGGAGGGCACCTGAGTCTAGCTGCCTTGGAGATTAGTGTCCCACAGCTGAGCCTCGGTGTTTGCACTGCTCAGGGGACAGAAATCTTCACTCCTTAAAAGATGAGCCTTGTATTTGCTCTCCCAGCGTTCACCTCTGTAGGACTCTGTGATCTCAAGTGTCAGGAACACTTTTCTGTTCGAATGCATATGAAAAAGGGCACAGCAGGCCTTTCCTTACCTGGCCCCACGTTAATCTTTCTGGTCTCATTTTCTCTCAGTCCCCATCACCACTGCCAGCAGCTAATGTCTTGCGCAAGATTCCTGAAAACGCCGTCTTAGTACTTCGCTCTGCCTTTGCACATGCTGTCCCATCTGCCTGGAATGCCTTTTCGTTCCTTACTTTCCTCGTGGCTCCTGAACATCCCTAATGCCGCTCTAGCATCACCTTCTCTGTGACACTGTCCCTGAACCCTCTTAGCAGCGATGTCGTCTCTTCCTCTTGGGCTCACAGCACTTTGACGTCCATCCATCGTAGCACTTAGTTCTTGTGTTGATGTTAGTAGACCCACCTTTCTGTTGTCTCCTCACTCGAGCCCCTGAGTACCACGGGCAGGCACCTCCAAAGTAGAGAACTGGCCCTCACTTTTGAGTCCTAGTGTCTCTCTAGTGCACTGCCTGGCTCAGTAGGTGTTTGTTGAGTGAATGAATGACTCTTGGTTTGTGAGAGGTGCATAGAGATTGTTCTGACCCCTGGTTCTTATAAAATGCAACTTGGCAGCCAAATATGGGAAAGGAAAGGAGTTCACTGTAGGACAAGTTTTGTTTTTTCTAAACTTGGCTTTAATCGGTTTCATACATTCGGGACAGAGAACTCTTATGCAAATTAGTTTCAGATGAATGGCTCTGATCATGACTTGTGGTTTTGCAAAGGGTGATTCTCAAAATAATTAACTGATGCAGCACCGGCCCAGCTATTGAAACAGACTGAGGCGGGAGGGCTGGAGCAGGGTCCAGGAGGCCTGCTCGTTTGCCAGGGATCAGCCCTGTGGTTACGGGGCCTCGGAGTGGTCCCTAGGAGTCCATGGGGAGGGGCCAGGGCAGCTGGGCTGGTTGGGGTGGGTGGACCAGGGGTTATCCCACAATCGGTGTAGCGGTACTTCAGTATTTTAGCAGCTGCACTAGCCCCTGCAGTGTATGTCAGCTCAGTGTCAGCCGCTGTCTGGACAGCCTCATCGGGTGAGGGAGCACTCTCCTAACTCTCACCACGTGTGGGTTTGCGTTTTTCCGTGTCTCTGGAGTAAGAGCGTCGGCACAGACTAGTGGGGAACCCTGTGGCCAGGCCACACGTCTGGAGGCCTGGGTTCCTCTCTTGGCTCTGTCACTTCTTTGGGCAAGTCCTGTAACTAAACCTCAGAGGGCTGATATTTGGGATTCTAATTTACAGATAGACACTTGATTTTGACCATATTTAATTGGGTGGTAGGATACCACTAACCTGTAGCAAGGGCGCAGTCTGCTTTGAAACAAGACAAAAGCACCCCATCGGAAGTTTTAGATGAATAGATCTTCACTAACTTGAATATATTTAGTTAAACTTTGCTATTTTGAATCATGTTTTAATCATGTAAAAAGTATGTAAATGTTGAATAAAATGTTTATAAGCCTATTGAACAGGGCTGAGTATTTTAAAATGTAACCTCACTAGCGTGATGATCTGCACCACTTTGTTTTTAGGTTTTTTGCACTGGGCGATGTCTGTACTTTCATACAACCACAAGTATAAGGTCATCATCTCATGGACATTTCCATTATATTTAGATCCTGGTGATGTTTAAATTACTGTGCAAAATACCTAAGTATTTTAGCAAAGGTTTTAATTCTGTTCTTCAAAACTAATTGCAAATTGTAGATAAAGAGCTATACATTGTCATTTAGGAACTGCACATTTCTAGGTGTCAGTTTAAGAAGTCCCAGCTGTCGGAGCCCATGGCCTCGCGCCACCATCCCCTCCCCGCCTCGCCCGCGAAGGCGTGCTTTTCAGATCACAGCTCTTTCTTCATAGAAAACGTGGATTTCGGTTTCTTCCGCTATGCCTTTGGCCTTTTTGTGTTGATTTAGGTTTTATCCTCTGCCCATTTCTGCAAGGAACTTGGGGCTGGGATGGCGTCCCCATCGACCCTGGGCAGGCTGTGACAGGGCACTGAGGACAGGGAGTGAAGCACAGGGACCGTATTTAACGTGCCGCAGCCAGAGGTGTGGGGCTCGGCTGCTGACACGGCTGGGGCATCACTGCTGAGGTTCCCGAGTATTAAAATAAATGTCTTTGTTGCAGAGCTGTGACACAGGTACTGGAAGAGACACCATCTACCTACCAGGCCACTAAATTGCCCTGATTATTAAGAAGTGAGCCATTCAGTTTCCTTGTTACGTATCTGCTGCCTGCGCAGATTGTGGTCAGCACATTGCATGTGTTTCCTTCAAGTCACTCAGGAAGTGGTGGTAGAGTAGAAAATGCCCTGGCTTTGGTGTTGGAATATCAGTTCTGCTACTTATTAGCTCTGTGACTTTAGGCAAGTCACTTAATCTCTCAGAAACTCACCTTCCTAATCTGTAGACTGGGGAGTTCTGTGCTTGTTTCTGGGAAGGATTAGAAATAAAATAAGCGTATTCATTAAGGTTCTTTTGGTTGCCAGCTATGGAATTCAACATTGAGTAGTTTGAGCAACACAGCAGTGAAGGAGGGTGTTTACTGGGAGCATCCCGGAAGCTGTCACCTGTGCCAAGGGAGAGTCGCATAGCTATGCCTTTGAGAGAGTGAAACCGTCCGCGGCAGCCCACGGACAGCAGAAGCTGTCCACCCGAGGGCATCGTCTTTGACGTGGGTCACACCTGGTGACTCCCGGACTTCTGGTGTCTCAGTTTAGATTTCTGAATGCCTGGAGAGAATTGTACTAGTTTCGTGTGGACCCCGGGGCTAGCTGGCAGAGGAGAGGGTTCTTCCAGGAACTCACCCCAGTGTTTTGGGGACAGTTCTCAGATGGGGCAGGGGATGGTGGTGAGCTGGTGGCCATTCTCGGGCTACGGAGAACAAACCGCAGAGTCAGGCTCAGGAGATGCGTGGCGATCCTGTCTTCTGTGGGAAGAGCGGCCTCCAGTCTGGCTTGATTCTTGTTTGGAGGGGCAGGGTGGAGGGTGGGGTCGGTTGCTCCTGCTCTGGGGTGCTCCTCCTTGCTGCCTTCTGGGTAGCCCTTTGCCCTGTGCCGAGGAGACCCACTGGTTTGTCAGCTCTGCTGACGGAGCCAAATGACTTCATTCTAACTGGCATGACTCAATGCAGGGGAAGAGGTGATTGATGAAATGGGACCCAAATGGCTCCGAAGAGTTCATTTATTTAACATGGGTGAGCAGTTTTCTTCTAGGAAGACGTTGACTCACTCCGACGTCCATTATGCAAACTATCCACAGGAATCTCTGCTCTTAAGATTCATATGGGTCCCTGTGTTCCCTCTTAGCTATTTAATCATCAGGTCAGCAAGTGCGGTGGCAGCATTTGATCTGTGCCAGGCACTGTGCTACCCCAAGACCCACAAGACCCGCAGACGGGCGGCTGGGACACCAGCGGGGGTGTGAAGGTGCCACGGGGGCTGGGAGGGGCATCTGTCTGGCAGGGACGGCCGAAAGTTTGGCCTGAGCAGATCCTGTGAGGTGCCGAGAGTGTGTCCGTGGAGAGGGGTGACCGACAGAGGTGGTCTCTGAGAGGTGCGGCGTTTCCCCTGGAGCTTTATGGGGTTTCAGTTCACAGAGGTGGCGGGGGGGTCGGGGGAAAGCAAGTGTGGTTGCGGTCCGCTGGCAGTTGGGGGTGGGGCCGGGGGGAGCCGTGGCCGAGGAGCCGGCGAAGGTTTGGAATGGCTTCCAGAAAGAAGAAGAGGGGTGCTGACATTGCAGTGGGTGGGCCTCTCAGCCTGCAGGCCCGGCGCTCCGTGATCCAGTTCAGGTCCCGGGTCCCCAGGGTCGGGACTGTTTCACTGGGCACGTGCATTCCACCCCTGGAGCCTACCCAGCCACCAGAACTCCATTTTTATGTCTTGTTTGCCAGCCTTTCTGGCTTGGTTTTGAAGTTACATACCTTGCGCAAATTCTGACTGCCAGTTATTAGCTGAACGGACCCATCAGGTTAACCTCTCCTCTCAGAGAATCAGTTTCTTCATCTGAAAAATGGGAGCACTACCCTGCCTTCCTGGGGTGTTGGGATTAGGGATGATCCATGTAAAAATATGTAACATAGCACAGGAGCATAGGAATAGCAGTTAATGGCTGTTTGTCACGTGTCAACCCCGTGCCAGGCATCATGCTGGGAACTTTGTATAAAATAACATAGTTAATCTCCTTAACAACTCCATGAGGTGTGGAATTATTACCTCTTCTTATAGGTGAGGATATTGAAGCGCAGAGAGGCTGAGTAACTTCCTCAAGGTCGCACTCTTAACCATCACTGCCGCTCACAGCAGGTGCTCAGGAAGCAGTGCGTTTTCGTACCTTCTTTGTCACTGCTGGCTGGGTTTTATGTGGCTGACAGCGGTGACGTCACCCTTTCCAAGCACCCGGTGCTTTGTGTCCATTATGGGCATCGGCAGGTGGACTCGGAGCTCGGCGGGGTCCGCACTCTGCCTGACTGCCCTGCCCCTGGGTGCACTGTTGGCCCTCTGCGCCACCGTTCTCTCGTCCCAAAAACAGGGAAGAGTCGTGACATCTGAGCTCATTGGGCTGTTGTGAGGTTTGGAGGAGAAAATGCCAGGAGGGCACTTAGTATAGTGGCTGATACGCCGAGGACCTGATGGCCTCATCATCTTGACACCCCTCTCGAATTCTTCCCTAGAGCTGAGAGGATCCCACGTGACACGATCACTGTGCACGAAGGCGTTTGGGAGCTCCTCGTGCCAGTGACGTGTCGCAGGATGTACGGAAGGGCCTGGCATTTCCAGCAGTCTTGGAGACTAACTTATCGCAGCCAGACTGGCGGTTTAGCATTTAAACCTGTAGGTGGCAGGCGGTGTCTTTACCTTGTTCTGTTGAGGGCTAGACGCATAGCAGCAGTCCCTTAGGTCAGGGGTTCGTAACTGCCCTCTGCCCTCTGCTTCCCTGTGGCAGTCTGCTGAAGCCAAGGGCCTCTTCCCTGGAAAAATATGTAAATGCATAAAATATATGCACAGGATTATGAAGGAAATCAATTATTTTGAAATTTGGTCGTTGAAATATTTAAAAAGAATAAAAATAGGACTTGTTTACTAATGTGTTAAATAATAAGATCTAGTGGTGAGCACAGTGACTGCTGTAGTTTTGAAATAGTGATAAGAATAAATAGTTTGAAATAACCACACATATATAAACTGTTTTTGATGACAAAGTCACAGGAAAATACCAAGACTACTGTGGTTTGTAGCAGTAGCAGTGTTCTGTCATGTCATAACTGAAGGGAATGCTAAATCCCAACTAGAGGTGAGTGAAGATAAAGCTGTAACATCTTTCTGCTGTTCATATTCATATTCACATCCACGCAGCCCCTGAATTTTAATTTCAGTTAAAAGCCCTGTCCTAGGGGGTATTTTAACTCTAGGAAAAAGCATAAGTTAATGTGAAATACAAGGGCTGCTGGCAGCCCAAGTCTCTTCATTAATTGAGTGTCTCCCAGCATTTGGAGAACATTTAGTCCGTGATAGGCACTGCACTAGGTTTTCTGCACACATTAACTTTATTTATTTTAACATTTCTGCTTCTTTTAAAAAATATCCTCACCCAAGGTATGTTACTGATTTGAGACAGAGAGTGAAACATCGATGTGAGAGAGAAACATTGATCAGTTGCCTCCTGAATGCACCCCGACCAGAGCTCAGATCGCCAACCTAGGTATGTGCCCTGACTGGGAATCGAACCTGCAACCTTTTGGTGTATACAGGACGATGCTCCAGCCAACTGAGCCACTGGCCAGGGCACATTTTCTTCTTATTTTGAAATAACTTCAAATTTATAGGCTACTTAAAAAATAAAGGTTTTACTTCTCCTGAGCCACCTGAGAGTGAGCTGTCCCTGTGAAGCCCGGTCACCTCTGAATACTTTAGTGTGCGTTCCTCATCGGCGAGGACAGTCTTCTGTGTGATACGGCACCGCCATCACGACGACGGGGGGGACTGGCAAAGGCACTTCACTGCCTTCCAACGCTCAGACTCATTCAGGTCTCACCAGGGTCCCATAAAGGCCTCTCTAGCAGAAGGACTCAGTTGAGGGTCATGTGCTGCATTTATCTTGAGTCTTCAGTTTCCAGTTTGGAACCGCCCCTCTGTCTTTCCTTGGCTTTTATGGCCGTGATGCCTTGGTACCACGTGACTGAATCCAGGCCCCTCACACTGTAGAGTGTCCTTAATTTGGGCTCGTGATGATTAGATTCAGGCTCAGCATCTTTGGCAGGAATGGTCCAGGGCCAGTGCTGTGTTCTCGTTGTGTACTGTGCGATGGCATATGATTTTGATTTGTCCCATTACTGGTCACTCTGACTTTGATAACTTGATGGAGCTGGTGTCTGCCAGGTGTCTCCACTATCCAGTTATTCTTTTCTCCTTTGTAGTTAGTAAGTATTTTCTGTCAGGAGGTGGTGTTTTGAATCTATTTGAATATCTTGATCTTCAAACTTTCGCCCACCAGTTTCCTTTTATGTTTCCTGGCTGAGTTATTCATTCCCATGATGGTTGGCAAATGGTGAGTTTTCTAATCTCATCATTCCTTCTACATTTACTAGTTGTTATTGTTCTATAAAGAAAAGCCTATTTTTCTTTTTATTTATTCTTGTCAAGATAGGCTTATGAATTCATATTTTATTAAGTTGGTTATAACCTGTTACTATTGTTATTTATTTTGATGCTCAAGTTACTCCAGTTTTGGCCTTTTCAAATTGAGTCCTCTGTCCTTCTGACAAAACACTCCGCCATTATTTAAGCAGTTCCATCCTTCTGGCATGACAAAATGCGGTGGACACAGCTTGTGTTGTCCTTGATTTTCTTGCCCTAGCATTGGCATTGGCCATTTCTCTTGGCAGCCCTGCTTCCTTACAGTACATCCTTAACTTACCTGCTCCGTAACTCCATGAGGTGGTGGTTATTACCCACCATTTGACAGGTAGGAATACCAAGGCTTCAGTAAGTAACTTCCTGAGGTCCCAGAACTGGTAAGTGACAGAGCCATATTTTGAAGTTAAAAAAAGATTCTCTTTTGTGAATGCCAGTTCACAAAATTACAACCCCATTTCACAAATGAGGAGACTAACCTCACAGAGGTTTGTTAAGCTAGTTACCGAGGTGACATAGCGACCAGGTGGCAGCGATCCCCCTCACATCTCTTCATCATCTCTTCCGGATGCCTGGGAATTGTGACTCACTTGACCTCTTCTACTTTAAGTCCCTTTTCCCTAATACTTGTCAGGTTTTGGTTTAGGATTTTTTTTTTTTTTTGAGCAAGAACAGATGTGCAAAACATTGTTTGCAGTATTGTGAAAACAATGACCAGGCGCTCTGAGGGGTAGCTATTTTGTGATGGGCAAATCGGGTAACTAGGATGGTTCTTCTATGACAGCTATTTAGTGCTGGGAGCATAGCTCTCAGCTTTACTCTGAGGTTGAGGTGGACAGTCAGTCATTCCCCACGCCGCCTGCAGGTGGTGCTCTCTGACTGCGGCCTGATCCAGAACCTGGCACTCAGGATCACCTTTGCTTGGGTTTGGAAACCCATGTATGTTTCCATAATGTAAAGATGTGCTCTTTTAAAATTGTTCTCTTAATATCAGATGCCCATTTTCATTTCCAGGAAAAGCAACAATTGGAGTATGAAGAGCTGATCCAGGTCTTAAAGAAAGAGCAGGACATCTATGCCCACTTGGTCAAATCTCTGCAGGACTCAGACAGGTAAGGATTTCTGTTTGGACATCACACACACATGAGAGTGAACACACGTACACAGACATGTTCTGAATAAATGCTGCAGCAGAGTTTGCTTGGGAAGCTTAAAGTTCTTGGATGATGATTGCCTTGTATAAATCAGATATACTATTTTCTATCAAGAATTGTCTGACTTTTGTCCTAGCCAGGTGACTCAGTTGGTTAGAGCATGATCCCAATATGCCAAGGTTGCGGGTTCGATCCCTGGTCAGGGTACATATAAGAATCAACCAATGAATGCATGGATGAGTGGAGCAACAAGTTGATGTGCCTCCCTCCCTCTCTCCCTTCCTTCCTCCCTTTCTCCCTTCCTCTCTCTAAAATCAATAAATAAAGGGAAAAAAAATTATCTGACTTTTGACAACAAACTTAGGGTAGAAATAACATAATAATATCACTCAGATTTTCATAATTATTATTGATTTAGAAAGTGCTTCTATGTATTATCTTAGATGATCCTCACAGCTGTTCTGTAAGGTTAGTTATTCCTATTTTCCATAAGAGAGGTTAAGCAACTTCTCCGGAGTCACACAGTGATGAGTGACAGAACCCTGTGACACTCAAGCGACTTGGGTCTTTACAGAATTTCTGAAATGATTTGGGGCCTGTGAGGGGTGGTAAGGAGAGTTGGTTAGGGGCTAGTGGGCTTCTTCTAGCCCTTGCTCTGTGTCCACAGGCAAGTGGCCACCTCTGGGCCACTGTTCGCCCATCTGTAAATACAGGGGTGGCCTGTGTGATTTCTGATATTAAAAAAAATCATTTTTCTACACCCTGGGATAGTTACAGGTGAAAGGGATGATGTCCAGGGTTTCTTTCAAAGCAGCACAGAAGCAGAGGAAGTGGACAGGGTGCTGTGGAACGAGATCGGCTGTGGCTCCCTGCTTGTAGGGCCTGGGGGTGCTTAGATGGACGAGGGGCTCATTACATTGCAGTTTGTTTTCTTTTGTATATGGCTCAGATTTCCCATAATAAAAATTTAAAAAAGAAGAAATCACCCTTCAGTGCCCCTTCTCTTAATGCCCTTTACTCCAGGCCTAAGTCTTCCTTATGCCTCCCCTGGGCCGCCTGTTCTGCCGCTGCCTTCGCGTGGGTTCCCGCACCCCTTTGTCTCCCACGGGTCCGTGAGGTTTCGCCTTGAGGGCCGCCCTTGTCAGGAGGCCCACGGTAATCCCCAGGAAAGTTGCCGCTGTGTGCCCTGCCTCCTCGTCTGGCCCGCGAGCTCTCCCTTGGGGCAGGGGTCCTGTCTCGCTCTTCTCCGTTTCCCAGCGCCTGTCCTGGGGGCCGGTGTGGAGAAGGCCCTGGGCACTGTTCATTAGATGGATCTGTCTCCCCCATCTTCTCAGTTTGAGATCATTTTCAGATTTTTAAATCTCAAGTGAGCTTAGAGAAGATGAAGAGTAGGCATCACTCTCAGAAAGTGAGCGTTTTCCAGAGGCCTCGGCTGCTGGTCATTTTCCCTTGGGGACGGGGCAGAGTAATGCTGGGAGCTCAGAGAGGGAGCGGGCGGCATACGCTGCACTGCAGCTCTTCCGGGGGGAGCCGGATCCGGGTCTGGGCGCTGACAGGGCCTGTGGGTGAGTGTGTTCCTGTCAACCCCTTCAGCATCGTGGGTGGCTCTGAGTTTCACAGGTTCTTTCTTAATGTATAAAAACGTGGAATGGGCCCTGGCTGGGTGGTTCAGTTGGTTGGAGCGTTGTCCCGTGCACCAAAATGTTGCAGGTTCAATCCTCGGTCAGGGCACATACCTGGATTGTGGGTTCTATCGCCAGTTGGGGCACGTGTGGGAGGCACCTGACTGATGTTTGTCTCTCGCCTCAATGTTTGCTTCCCCCCCCTTCCTCTTTCTCTAATATCGATAAACATGAGTGAGGATAAAAACAAAAAATGTGGGATGAGACCAAGATAGGTCAGTGCTGTGACTGATGAACAGGCTTACAGGATTCCCTGTTTCTCTTCAGAGTTCAAACACCTTTAGGGTTAGTCAGACCTGGGTCCAAACCCTAGCTCTGCCACTCAGCAGCTCCGAGTTCTGGGCTAAATCACTTTTCACTCCGAGCCTCAGCACACATCATGTTTTAACAATTGCGATTGGCCGACCTACCTCTCTCCTTACCTCCGTACCTGCCTACCTACCTATTTACCTGCCTCTCAGACTACCTACCTTATAGGGTGGGGTTGAAATGAGATGACAGCGTGGGAGATCCTGATACTGCCTGGCACATATAAACGCCCAGTACATGGTAGCGCATTAAGAGTGCGCCATGAAAAGCCTCTGTACATCTCAGTGTCCCAGTACACATGGACTCAGTTGTAGGGGGTTTTGAATCCTCAGTCCTTGCCACGCGCAGAGGGCAGAACTGTGGGCTGAGGCAGGTGGCGTGCCTTTTGGTCACGTCAGCATTGCTCAGTCCCTGGAAACTGGCAGTAGAGGGGATGTCTCTGGAGACGTATGCCGCTGTGCTTGTAATTAAGACTGGGAAGTGAGGTCAGGGCTCATGGGCACCTGTGTGCCTGGCCCTTTCCCCTTCACTTATTAATTCCTCACGGCAACACATAGAAGGCAGGGGCTTCGTCCTATATTTGGGAGAGGAAATCTGCTGTTGGAAGTGTTCAGGGTGCTGTCAAAGCACCTGTAGCTGGGAACCACCAGAGCTCAGCTCTCCCCGGCTCCCGAGCCTAGGCCCTTCCACAGACGTGCCTCATCTTGAGGACCGGTGCAGTCTGCGCTCCCCAGTGACTCAGGCTTCCTCACCCTCGGCGCTGTTGGAATGCGGGCTGGGTAATTTTTTGTTAGGAGGGGCTGCCCTGTGCGTTGTAGAATGTTCAGCAACACCTCTGACTTTCTCCACTGCATCCCAGTAGCGCCCTTCCCTGCCCCAGGTAGGACAGCCGCTTGTTCCCCAGGTGCCACTGTAGTCTGCAGATGAGAATCACTGTTACAGCTCATGAGAATCAGAAATTTTGGCTTATAAATACTGTCTTTTGTTTGGGAATTCTTAGGGGATGTGGAAGGAAGGAAAGGATGTGTGTCGAGCATCTAGTATGTTAGGCACTATGCCGTGTTCTTTCCCATAGAACATCTCATTTAATCCTCAGAACAATCTTGAAGGAAAGACACGACCCCATGTTAGAGAGGAGGAAATTCGGACAGAGGCCTGAGGTCATGGAGCGGGTTGGTGGTGGTTTGCCTTTTGGAGCTTAGGTCTCCCCAACTCCTCATTTCTGCCTCCTTCACCGCCCCCCCACCCACATTCCAGAAACAGGCCCCCACAGGGCTTTTGCTGCCTTTGCTTCTTTTGTTCCCTTGGTGCCAGTGCCCCCCACCTTGACAAGATCTTGGAGTGGGGGGCGCGTAAATGGCAGACGGGTGCAGCAGCCGTGCCTGTTGGCCTGTCGGAGAACGGGCGAGGGGCGAAGCCGCTAGCCTTGCCAGCCCCGCTGCAGGAGCTTCGCTGAAACAATCTCCTTTTTTCCTGGTTAAATGTGTCTGCAGCCCGACTGCATCCAAACGCGCGCTGTGCTGTGATACCTCTGGAAGGGTTTCCATCAGCCTTACAAATTGGCCATTATGATTGCCTTGAAATGAAAGTGGGAACAAGTTGCTGGTGGGGCCCCTTCCTTTGCGAGAAGCCGACTTCACAATGAGCCATCGTCAAAGCAGCGAGCATAGAAGATTAGACATAATGGTTTATTTTCCTTCCAATATATGTTGATTTATGTGTGCGGGCCAGTGGATGGAGCAGTAAGAGATTTCTGAAGAAGTGGGGCTTGAGTCTGTAGCACATATATTTAGAGCAACAGCTCTTCCCCTTTTGGGGATATGGACCCCTTTTGAAAAGTCTGTTGAAAGCTGATGGGCCTTCTCCCTAGAAAAAGCCACTTAAAAAGCTGCTGTTTCAAGGTGTTGACAGACACTCGTAGCGAACCATAGATCAGATGCTGGACAAGGACTGATGTATTTCTTCGTATCTAAAAAAGGAGGCTTTCTGATTTGTTAGTGTGGTTTGGTAGTCTTGAAAATGTTTCTATGGTTGGACCCACTAAATTGCACTGCTGGGAATTTGTCTTCCGGGACTAACCTGAGTGTGAAACAAGCTTTCGGCCCAGAGTTCAGTGAAGCATTGGTTAAATTACTCAGGTGCCAGTGTGGGCTTCTGTCCCTCTGAGAGCTGGTGTGACCAGCGGGTTCAGATCCCTCTGTGGGCACGTCAGTGGGGGTTTACAGTCCCCCTTGTGTTCCTGCATGGTCCAGTTCGTAGCCACTAGCCATGTGACTATTTAAATCTAAATTTCAAAAAAATGAAGCACTCAGTTCTTGTGTGTTAGCAGCAGCATAAACATTCAGTACGCACTTTAGCCAGCGGCCGCTGTGTCAGCGCAGCTGCTGAGCATTTGCATCGTTGAGGAGGTTCTGTTGGACAGTCCCCGAGGTCCGTGCGGCATCCGGAAGGTGTGCACCTTCATGGCCCCCTCTGAGTTCTGGGTTGCTCCCTGTGCGGCGCGGCTCCGCATCAGTGACCCTGCCGTGAACCTCCGCACCCCTCCCAAAATAAAAACCCTTTCCACTCTGTATTTGCCTCTCTCTCGGCCCTAAATTGGTCCTTCTTTCCCTTCTTTTATTCGCTCACTCCTTGTTCTTTTTTTCCTCTTCCTCCCTGCCCCTCACCCCGACCAGTGCCGCGTCCTTTGGGGTGACGGACACAGCAGACGTTCTCTCGTGTCGCCTCTTTCTGAAGCCGGGGACCAGGTGACAGCCAGGCTCAGGAGAGCTGCCCCTTTCACACCCAAACTCTCACAGGCGCCTTCCAAACAGAGGAACATCCTGTGGTGCTAGTTTTACCTAATTACATTCGTAGCAAAAACTTGGAAATGATCTTGATGTGCACTGACAGGGGATGAGTTAAAGTAAATGGTGGGACATCATCTGTTAATAGTAAATAGTCAGAAAATGATGTTTGCGAATAATTTCCAAAAATGCAGGGAAGTATGTAAGTGCAGAATGCACAAGTTAGCATTGTATTGCCCATTATTATGTCACTGTTGTGAAAATACTCGGGGAAAAAGATCGGGAGGGAATACAGTCTTCCATGTGTTCATTGGTTGTGCGATCATGGTAGTTTTTGCTTTCTTTATATTTTTGTTTTATATATTTTTTAAATGGTACTAGATTTTCTTTTTTTTAAATAAGTATTTTATTAATTTATTTTTAGAGAGGGGAAGGGAGGGAGAAAGAGGGAGAGAAACATCAGTGTGTGGTTGCTTCTCGTGCGCCGCCTCCTGGGGACCTGGCCCGCAATCCGGGCACATACCCGACTGGGAATCAAACCGGTGACCCTTTGGATCACAGGCCGGCACTCAGTCCACTGAGCCACACCAGCCAGGGCTATATTTTAAATTTTCTGTAAAAAAACATGTTTACATTTATAATCAGAAAATAACTGCAAATGATGTAAAAATCAAAGGGAAGGCTGGTGGGGTTTTGCATCTTAAAGCACAAACGGGTCTGTTTTAAAGTGTCTGGTGTCTTGCTTTACCAAGCGCCCACAGCCTGCAGGCTGAGTTGAACGACATTGTGGCCCTGAGGAAGCAGCTGGAGCGGGACGTGCTCGCCTATCAGAATTTGAAAAAGACGCTGGAGGAGCAGATCAGTGAAATTCGGAGGCGGGAAGGTACAGGCGGTCTTGTATGTACTTCCCTTTGGTTTTTCCAGTTGGAGGGCCTTGGCTGCACTTTGAGGGAGTCCTAAATTCCAGTGGGACAGGAGGCACCCACAGGACTTCATCTGGGGATCCTTTGTGTGCTGACTGTGCCAGCATTGGCTCTCTCAGTCTGAGTGCGTGTGGCTTTGGCCTTCATAGTAGGAGACCCAGCAAACTATTAGTTCTGCAGAGGTCTGCTGCGCGATTGTTTCCCTGCCACCTCTGCTCTGTTCTGTAGCGTTTGGTACTCGTAGCTCCGGGTAACCGGGGAAACGTGCAATACCCTTTCTCTGGGAAATAGCCCAGTTGCCCCAAACGTGTGGGCCCCGCCTGCCACTGCTCCCCATGCAGAGGGAGCCCAGACTGCAGACACCTGGGGGAGAGATTGCTGCCTCACGTAAAATGTCACTTCTCACATCGTCGCGGTCCCCAGTGGATTCGCTTAGGGAGGGCTGCAAGGCGAGGGCGCTGTGGTGCCGGCCGTGCCGTGCGCGTCAGTGGTATCGGCCCTCTCCCTTCCTCGAACCTGAGCCCCTTAGAGTCTGGGTTGGAATCTTCTTTCTTTCCGTGTCTCTAGCCTGGCACACATGGTAAAACCGTGTACTAGTGGTCGGCTGACATTTCGTGAGCAAGTGCTGTGTGTAAAGCACAGTGCCAGACACCTAACCTCTCATCCCTGATTCGGACAGTTGAAACACCTATCCCATTAAGTGGAGAAGGTGTTGATTTCATTTTACAGATGAAGAAACTGAGACTCGGGTGGAGGTGGGGGTTGAGTTACCCAGATAGGAGCCAGGACATCTTTCCTTGAGGTTTAGTCCTTCCTAGTATATTAGGTGTATCAGCTCTCACCCACGTGTTCATGCATGAGGTCATGTTTGTGGTTAATCCTCACTCAGTGCACAGCCTGCCCCCTCCCCTGCGCCTTCCTCCCCATTCGGAGGTGACCTTGGCTGCCGGGGAAGCGGCCCCTCCCGTTGGAGGCTCGATTCTCTTCTGGGAGACCTGGCGGGCGGCTCGTGCCCTGGCGATGCCCGCTCCCGTGGAGGACTGCGGGGCCCGTGAGAGCACGGCAGGCACTCCTTTCCCTTGAGTGCCACCCTTGAGGGTCACATCTACTTTTCCTGTGTTCTCACCTACACAGAAGCACTCCCTCATTTAAACTCCTGTCACCATTTGCTGGTGCCACTCAGGATGGTCTCCGGGCACAACACTTGATATGCAAATTATAATTCAGAATTGGCTACAGTGAAAGCTTATACAGCCCATGATGAAACCATACTTTGAGATATCAGCCTGTAGAGAAAGAAGGGAAAATTACTTTTGCTCCAAAGGTTAGTCTCCCTGTGTGTACTTCTGCCGCGCCCCGAGGACCCTGCCGTCTCCCCCCGCCACCCACCCACCTCCCCAGTTCAAGCCGCCTGAGGTAGATTGCACTGGGGTTGGTCTTAGAAGGATCTATTTCTGTTTCTTTTTCTCCTCCCCTCACTTTCTTTCTTCTTTTTTTTTTTTTTTTGGGCAGAAGAACCATTTTCATTTTATAGTGATCAAACATCTTATCTGAGTATTTGCCTTGAAGAGCACAATCGGCTTCAAGTGGAGCATTTTTCTCAAGAAGAACTTAAGAAAAAGGTATGGGCTTACTACTTTCAGTGCTTTGTTGGTTCTTTGTTGTCTCTTGGGCTCCTAATTAGACATGTGAGAGCCTGAAACCCCTTTTCCCTCCTTCCTTCCCTCTCCTCCCCGTTGTCTTTGCTCCCGCTCCCTTTGTCACCTGCAGCGCCCTCCCCGGGCCTGGTGCCCTCCTTCACGCTGGGGGCCCCGCCCAGGCGCTGTCTTCTTTAGCAGATGCTCTCCAGCCCCTCCATGCGGAGTGTGCCGCCTTTCCCGCAGGTCGTTCGCCTCTCTTCTTGGACCAACCACGTTGATTCCCTCCTCACGCTGATTCAGCATGCGTCTGGGGGTTTCTCTGTATCCTCTGCTAGGCTGTGAACATCTTAGTGATTGTATCTTACTTATTTCAGATTTCCCAGTACCTGGCACATGGAGCGGGAGTTAATAGATGCTTTTTTAAAGAATAAATTGTTCAGGTTTGATCAATAAATCATTTTTAAAGCTGGAAAGGTTTTTACTCTGTTGCTTGTTGGTGTGGTTACAGTGGTGTAGTATTTCAAGGTTCTAAGAGCCATTGATAAGAATAGGAAGTGTGAGCTCAGGGAAGACTGCTTTATTATAAAATCATCATACACGTGTGACAGATTCAGTCTCTGTCTTGGAACAATTCACATCCTGGTAGATGAGTAGACATGTAGATGAGGAATCGCAATGTGGAGCGCACGCGTCATTGTGACAGGCAGATGTGCAAGGCAGGGAGGTGGCAGAGAAGGAGAGGCTACCCGCTGGGGCTGGCGGTGCTCACTTTATCAGAGAAAGCTTCTCAGCGGAAGTGAGGCCTCAAGTGGGTTTTGAAGGATGAGTAGAAGTTTGTCTGCTAGAGTGTTTTCCCAGCAGAGAAAGAGAAGATAGCTGGTGTAAGGTACAGAAAGTAAGAAATAGAAAGAAGAACTATAAAAATTTCAGTGTTTTCGGAGGAGTAAAACAAGGGGCACTGAGGCATTTAGTTTTTGAAGGTAGAGACGGGGGATGCTGCTGGGGGCTGCTGGTACCAGCTGTGGCTATTAAGGGCGGGAGGTCGTTCACTTGGTTGGTTACCTTGTGTTTACAGGGTCAGAATGTCTTGTATTTCCCACTGTAACCTTGCGGGTCGGGTTCAGTTTGTATTCCTGTTTTGGTGTGTTTTGGACATCTGCAGTGGGTAGTCAGTCTGGATGGGGTTTCCCACTTCCTTTGATGACCGTGTTAAGAAGGCTCTGGAAAGTCACTGGCCATTGGGATTCGGAGCTTGCTGGGAACACAGGTGGAGTCTGCGCACTTGCCTGTGTGCCTCCGTGGAGGCCGCTGCCCTTTCCCACGTGGCCGGGCACTGTGGCTGTTGATGCTCTTTGATTCTCCAGACACCCCCAACTGTGGGACCTTGGGCAGTAAACTTCTTTGTGTCTCAGACTCTTCATGGTAAAATGCGGATAGTCACACTAGCCCACCCACCTCCTCAAGATTTTTGTAAAGAATGATTGACTAAAGCTTGTAAGAGTATTTTAGTAGCTATAAGTTGGTTTGTAAATTAAAGACTTACTATTGTCTGACATTGCTAGAGAAGTGTACAAAGAAGGCAATGCTGTAAAATAGGGCTCTGACAGTTTCAGAAACTTCAGTCTGGGGCAGTTTTCACCCGAGGGCCTCAAGTACAAGACAGAGATAGTGTTATCTGTTGTTAGACTGTCCTGAGGACGTTAGTGCACAGTGACCATGATGATGTTCAGTTCCCACCGTAACCCATCCCGCAGGTGAACTGGAGACTTGGCTTGGACACCTTGCCCAGGATCTCTTTGCCTTGCAGTGCTGGCTCTGGGATGCGTATACAGGCAGGGTGGTGGTTTTTCCCACTGTGCCCAGGAAGCCTGAAGGCTGGACCCGGGCTGCCTGATTCTCCATGGCTGTGGTCCTGAAGGCAGGAAGGTCTGTGGCCTTGGGAAGCTGATGTCTGCTTACGGGTCTCTGCTCCTCTCTCTGCTCTTGTCTCCTAGGTCAGCGACCTCGTGCAACTAGTGAAGGACCTGTATACAGACAACCAGCACCTGAAGAAAGCCATTTTTGATCTCTCCTGCTTGAGTTTCCAGGGGGGTGGCAGGCTTGAGTCAACAGAACAAATGGAGGTAAGAAAAAATATTCTTGTGCTAATTACAAAAAAAAAAATCCCTCTAATTTTCTCAAGACTGCATCTGTCCTGAGGAGTCGCTTCTGAAGGTCCCTTGGCTGTGGTTGGGGTTTTGAGGGGCCCCCAGGCCAGCAGGTCTGTCCCCAGGCTTCCTCAACTTTGGGTCCTGTCTGTGTGGACACACTCGATGTGTTGTGATGCTTTTGTGCCCAAGTCCGGCGCTGGGATCTTCAGCGCAGATGGCACATCTGGAAGATTGGCATGGTCTCAGGGGGATCTGGAGAGCTGCCAAATCACCCAGATCATTTGGGTAGTATAGATGCAACATTAATGGATTCATTTAACATTGAAAGACAAACGAGTAAACACAGTTTTCATTTACTTTTTGTATTAACCCTCTGAATTTGGTGCATCTTCTCACTCGCGGCATCTGGACTCCTGGATTTGACTGGACGTGTGTCATTCCTCCCCACACATGCCCAGGAACTCCTGCACCCTGCCACGTACAGGGGACACGGCGGGAAGGAAGCAGTCAGTGGCCCATCAGGCCACAGGTCCTGGTTCAGGACCACGGGAATTCTCGACTGGTGGCATTGGGAAGTTTGACAGGGCCCCGAGAGGAGAAACCCCGGCGTCTCTTCTGCAACGGCCACTGCAGAGCCTGTAGTTCCCTGGGCTTGTGTTCTGGGGGTGAGAGGCCCACTCTCTCAGTCCTGCCCCAGGGAACCCTTATGCACCCTGATGACTTCTGGCTCTGCTCATCTTTGTGGCGGGTTGTATCCAGTTTTTCCTGTTCTTGGCCAGTGCTGTACCATAGAAGGACCCTGAAGCTGTGATGGTGAGGGAGTTTGTCGTTCTCCGCCCTTGACCCCTAACTTGGCCTGACTCTCCTGCTTGCAGATGTGGGCTGCATCTGTCAGCCGTTTTCAGAAGACTGGGACTCTTCTCACCATGAAACGCAGGAGGGCCTGTTTATGCTTGGGTCCCCTGGAATCTCCTTAGTTAGAGTTGTCGTGAAGTCAGCCTGGCATGCCAGGGCAATGGAGGTCTCATTGCCACATCATTTCTGGGGGAAAATTTGTCAGCTTTAAGCTGCCTCCCCCCTGCTTCAAAGTGGGAAATGCTCAGAGGTATTGATGTGTACCCTGGCCATCTGTTGTCTCTGAGAGAGGGGATATTATTGATCTAAGCCCCCGGGGCTCGAGATAATTTTGGAAACCAAGAATATCTGCAATCCATTTAGGGAGAAACAAGTCTCTTGGCTTATTTTCTCCAAGGCAGCATTTTTAATAAGCAGCTCATTTTTCACCTACTTCATTTGAGTCATAAATGGCGAGTTTGTTTGTTCATTTGCCCTTTAAAAAAAAAATCTGTTAAATGTCCCATTGTGTCATTTGGAGAACAGAGGCTTTTCCTCTTCCCACTCTGAGATCTTAATACCAGCCGACTCAGATTTGAGTCATTTGTCAGATTGTGTCTCAATTGGATGTTCCCTGTGAAAGCCTTGTCCTTTGTAGCACAGTTTTCCCCATGTTCCCCGGAAGGGAACGGGGCAACCTGCCTGGGAAGGGCCGTGTTCCCAAGCAGCCTCGAGCCAAGGGGGCGAATGTGGTCAGGCGCAGGGGTGGGACGGCAAGGGGAGTAGCAGCCAGTCCCTGGGAGTGGGCACAGTTCTCTTTGGTGAAAAGGGAGGTGGGGACACACCGGCCATCCTTGTCTCAAGCAAATATATTTTGTGATTTTAAAATTCTGTGATTTTAAAATTCAGTGTTTTTTCCTGTGATAATTAACCCACAGCAATACCTAATACTTGGAAAATAGAGAAAAGAAATGACCTCTAATCCTGTCATTTTAAAACACTCACAGTTAACTAACATTTTGGAATCTTTTTCTATTTGTGTGTATGAACACGTGTGTGCCCACAGTACATACACACAGTTTTGTTTTTTCCAATTGCTGTTATGTCATAGCATCTTATGCGATCTGATGAACATACTGAAATTTTGCTAACTGCCTCACTGTTGCTGAACATGGAGGTTGTTTCCAGTGATTCACTATTTTACATTTACTTGCTGAGTGTCTTTGGACTCAAATCTTTCTCTGGGTTTAGGATTTTTTTCCCCCCTCTATTTCCAGATATGTAGTTACTAGGCCAAAAGTTCAAATAGATAATAGGTATAAAATAGGCATGTTGCTTATTTTTATATACCCTTCTCCTCTATCTTTTAATTTCACAAAAGGGTATAAAAAGCAGGAGGCCCCTGCTAACAGCCTGTCGGGTCCGGCTTCAGCTTGGCTGCTGCGGTGGGGCTCCCTCCCCTGGCCGCACGCTGCTCACTCCCCGCGTGGGGGCCGTTGACTTCCACCCCGGCCAAAAAACAGAACGCCAGGAAAAGGCGCTCTTTTGTTTTAAAGGGCACTTACAATCTCTCATGAGGTTGCCCATTATTTCCTTATGTTTATTTACTGGTTATTAATTTATGTATTTTAGAAAAATGCGGTTGAGAATTGACATACAGGAGTGATTTGAGCAGACCGTAGTCAGGGAAGACTCTCTACCCAGGTTCTGCTAGTAACATTTTCCACCCAGCCATCATCGCTCCCTCATATCTTTTTGATAAATTTTAATGTACAAACATCAGTACACTTCCCCATAAATACTTCAACATGGTTACCTCTAACTGGAATATGTTTTACAGTTATTTTTTCTTTTAAGGTTATATTTGCCCACAATGAAATGGAGAAGTTGTAAGTCTACATTTGCTAAGTTTTACAAATGTATGTATCTGTGTAACTCAAATTCTTAATCGAGATCATGTCCCTTCCAGTCAATTCCCACTCGCCCCTAGCTACTCTTCTAATTTTATTCTTCCATGAATTAGTTTTGCCTGCACTGGACCTTTACATAAATGGAATCATAAAGGATGCTTTCTTTTGTGTAACACTTTTTCATTTGGCTTGTTTTTGAGATTTATCCATGTTGTTACGTGTATGAATATATTAGTTTGCTTATTCATTCTGCTCTTGATGGACATTCGAATTGTTACCAGTTTTTGGATATTATGATAAAAGCTAATATGAATATTCATATATAAATCTTTGGGTGGACATATGTTTCCAGTTCTCTTGATGAATACCTAGAATTGGAATTCCTGGGTCATACGATTCTTAGTTTCATTAAAAATTCCAGTATTTTTTCCATAGTGGTTGTAATGTTTTATACAAGTTTAATAGTTCTGGTTGATCCATATCCCTGAGAAAGTTGTAGTAATGAGGGAAGAAGCCAATAGTGGGAGAGGGTTTTGTGACCATGACTTCTGTTTGACCCTCACCGCACATTTGGATGTGGTTAGATGGAATGTGTTCTGATCCTGGAAAGTTTTCTACGAAATAACTTTTCTGCTGTCAGTTTTCTGTGTTTTGCTTTTTCTTCTTCCAGAACAAAGGTTCCTCTAAAATGACGATTAGAAAAATTTAAGTTGGGCTGGGAGAATTATGGGGGTAATAGACTAAATGTAGGAATTCATGGAATGAAACTATGGCGATGGATAGAACCCTAGACATCCCATGTGCAGAACATGCCCAGCAAGTGCCTCGGCACTTTGTTTGTGGTTTTAACACTCTGGTGAGATGGGGTTTGGTATAATTTTTGAAACAGCTTTGATTGATTCCCCCCGAGGTGTGATCACGCTTTCTCATTTTTAACTTGGTTATTCCAGGTGTCCCATGACTAGAACGTTCCATCTTCCAGAGAGCTGAGATTTGGCCCTCTTGAGAACTTTGTACTGTCCGCACTACAGAATGCAGAACCTCTGGGACTTAACACTTCTTTAAAGCATTAGGAATTTATGCGCTTTTTATAAATAACTGTCCTTCATTTTCAAAAGCATGGAGTTTCATCATCAGGCGAGCCTGATGCTCTTTATTAGCAATGAGGACTTTCTGTCAGCAAAATGACAGTGTTGCTGGGACTGTCCGTCACAGAGGTGTGACAGCCCAAAAGGAGGTTGATGCCCTGTGCTAAATGGGAGGACTGGCGCGTGAATCAGGCACAGCATAAATTTCACTTACCGCTTTCTCACTGTTTGATATTTTCAACTCCATCAATAGCTATTTCCCAAAATCTCATTACTTTTATATAATCTGAAAGTGAATTCGGCAACGGCAGGAGTGTCAGCAGCACGACAGACAGTGTATTCTATTTACAGCAGTTCAGGGAAGGCCCGGCAAGGCGGCGGAAATCACCTGAGTTATTTCTTGGGAGCCTGTCCTGAAATGATGCTTGACCTCAGGCAGCTGTGTGTGATCTGCCAAGACTAGCAGCTCTAACTTCAGTTAATCTTATTTCATGGCTTTGCCATTTGTTTCTGCCTCTTTTTTGGTTCGTTTTTTTTTTTTTTTTTTTTTGTTTTGCATTTTTTTAAAAAAAGTCATCACTGACTTATTCATACATATTCATGCTGCATCTTTTTTTGGGTTGCATTTTCACACCATTCCATGCACCACGTAGCTTCCAGCCAGCAAGGAGTACGAGGACAAGATCAGAATTGGCAAGGATGACGAGAATAATTCCCTGAGTGACAAGCATTCGGAGCAGAGTACCAAGGTAGGCGCATGGCAGTGAACGCCTCACTCCATCGGCCCCTCTCTCTGCACAAGTCTGTCTTCTTGTCTGGGGTGAGTCCGGTGGCTGTTCCGTCCACTCTGCCTGTACTGAATGCCTGCTGTGTGCCTGTGGAGAGCAAAGAGACTAGGCCTCTTCCGTCTCAGAAGTTAGAGACTGGGCGGGAGAGCCAGTCATGAAACAGCAAACATACACTTGTAAATAAAAACAGGGCTTTAGTAGAACAATAACGGATATTGGATATGGGACCTGGACAGATCTTTAGAAATCTAACCCAGCCCATTCGTTGTCTGCATTGGAGACTGAGGCCTACGAGGGGGTGGTTTATCTAAGGCTCCCAGTCAGTCAGTGACATTTGCTGGGACAACAGCCTTTCTTTCTGGACTGCTGTAAGCTCACAGGTCATTGGATTGCAGTGTGAGGAGCCGCGGATAGAACCAAATTCCCCTTCTCAGGGGCCCTCTGCAGTCTCTTGATCTGGAGCCCAGCTCAGTGTCATCTGGGCACCGATGAGAACTGGGCTCTGTCCACATAGACTGTGCCTCCATTCACATTGGTCCTGAACATTTGGAGCAAACACTCTCCAAGTTTGAAACGTTTGATCATCTTTGCAGATTTGGATGCGGTTAGATTGAGGATGTTCTGATCCTGGGAAGTTTCCTACCAAATGACTTTTCTGATGTCATTTTGTTGTGTTTTGCTTTTCTTCTCCCAAAACAAGTGTTTCCTCTAAACTAAAGACTGGGATGTGGTAGGAGATAAGAGGCTTCAGATTTGACATTTTTGACCTTTGAGGTATTTAAGTTCGTGGAGTCATGAATGGAAGATTATTAAAATACAGGTAGTTATGTGTCTAAAATGTGGAGAGCAAAGCAATTAAAAGTGAGGGCTTTGCAATGAGATCTGATTTAGAGTCTTGGTCACTGTCTCTGTGGCCTCGGTTCACCTTTGCTTAACCTTTAAGCCTGAGTTTCCCCATCAATGCAGATAATAATACTTCTTGTTAGAATTGTTGTGATATTTAAATAGAAAGGCATGTACTAAGTGCTCAATAAATGATAGCAATTACTATTTTTATTATTACATTCTAAACTTCTCCTTTTTGGGAGTTTGCTTATTTAGATGGATTTAATAACTAGGTTGGTGGCAAATAAGACCCTATAAATAACAGCTCATTTGTGTAGGTCTTGTCTTCCATTAAAATCTTAATCATTTTACAAGTGCGGAGACAGGGGTGTGATGGCTAGTGCATATATCACCAGCAGTAATGAAGTCAAGGAGAGTTATTTATAGATTGGTAGAAGAAATTTACAGCTTTGGGAAGGAGGGGCAAAAATGCTAATTGCAGCACCTCAAGACATGCTCAGCACAGGCTTTAACTAGACGCATCCTTGGCACCACTCCTCTGGGACCCTCAGTGACCTAAGAGGCTGGCTCCGTAAATAACATCTCCATGGGAATTAGGAACTCTCCACTTCCTAATGAGACAAATCAAAGTTACATTAATTAGGATGTATCTCTGTAAGGAGCTAGTTGGCTTTCTGTTACATAACAGGGAGGATACATTGCAAAAGTATCTGTAAATGCCAAAAGCATTGTTAATGGCATGAGTTCTGTCCCCTTCTTCGGAACAACTATCAAAGAGTGGGCCTTCGGGCGGGGGAACATGCCATAGTGGGTAAGACCCTGAGCCACACACTTAGGTGAGTCAGTCTTCTCGTATTCTTCTCATAGTCGCCTTGGGAGGTGGCATTACTGTCCCCATTTTACAGAGGAGGAAACTGACGTAAACATCTTTGTGCTTTTGCCAGAGCATCTCCCTGCTATAAAGAGAGTGTGGGTGGCCCTGTGAGCCTGGGTCCCTCTCGTCCCTCCCCCTCCCGTTTTCTCCCTGGCTGGCTTGTACCCCCTCACTCACTCTGTCTCCGTCCTTTCTCTCTCCTCCACATGCCCCCTTGCCCTCCTCCGGAGTCCGTTATTTGACCAAATACTTTGATGATTTACAGATTATTGAGGACTATTCCAAAGGGGGCTGCAAAAATGGATATTTAAGGCTCACGGATTCCAATATTTTAGACCATGATGGAGCCCGCACACCTGGCTGCCCTGGAGACCAGAGTCTAGAGGAAGGCGAGCTCATGAACCTCCTTGCCCCTTTCTTCAACGAGAAGGCCGCATTGTTACTGGACTCCAGGTAAACGTGGGGCTCAGGCATCGCTTTGTCCCTGTAGTTTGAAGGAAGAGCAAACTCTCATTTTGCTAACTGGATGTAGGTGATGGTGCTGTGTAATTTACCTAAGAGAGCTCCTGAGAAGACTTGGAAGGGATCTTGCCAGTCATGCAATTAAGTAATTAGGCTGCATGCTAGTAGCTGTGAGGGGACTTCAGCTAAGCCTCATGCAAGCCCGTTATAAAGAGGAGAAAGCAAGCTTTCCTTTAGAATTATCCCTGCGAGCCCCAGAAAGGGCTGTCTGGATGTCAGCGAGAGGAATCATCCCAATGAAACTTCTTCCAGTTCTGCAACAGCTTAAAAACTACCATTGTAGTTGTGACTGCTGTTTTATGTTGAGCTTGAACTAAAATTCTCTTCTCATTATATCTGCTGGGAGTCATTCTTACATGAGGAAATACTACAGGGTGTTTTTCTTAAAACAAAAACGGAGAAACATTTGGTATATTTATGTTTTTAAAATTAATCCTTTAGGAGCCAGTATTCCCCCTTTCACATTCTTTCTGGTTCATCCACAGCTGCTTGGGCTCTGGAGCCAGAAAGAGCCGAGCGTTTGTTGCTCAGTGCCCCCGCTTCTCTGACCGCTCCTTTGGCTCGCCGTGCGGAGCAGGACAAAGTCCTGTGTGCGGGAAACGGCTGGCCTGTGGGTGTGTGCAATAAATTCTTTTCCAGTATAGACGGAGACACGGAGGGGTAGCGACTGCCCGCGACTCTTGGCAAGAGCCAGGGGCCCTCCTGCTTCTATATCATTGCTGGATAAGCCTCACAGGCATTTCTTTAGCTAAAAGAAAAAGGATTAAAGTGTTCTGTTTTGGTGAGCTCACTCAAGCTAACCCTTCTCCAGCCCTGACTCGGTTAAACATTTTCTAGCATGAGCCCTCCTGGGGGACACGCCCAGTGGCTATTCTGGTTTATTTTCACAGCAGTTAGGTGACCATAGTCAACGTCAGAGTCCCAAATGTTACATGAGAGTGAAAAGATATGCACCGCCCCCCCCACCGTCTGGACCATGTAGAGCGTACCTGGGTGATGTGAGCGGGGAGAGCTCAGTGGGCGTGGCGGGAGTGGGGTGCCTTGGGGAACGAGTGCTCCCCGCGAGTGGACAGGGCCTCCTCAGCCCCAGCTGATTGTTGTCCTCCAAACACATGGGCTCAGGGCTTCCAGTCTTTCCGTAGAAGCCCCAAAATTATATTCCAAATCTCTGGATTTTTTAAAAATTCAGACTTAGTTACATTTTTAAAGAAAGTACTTTATGGGCCAACACCCTACAGCAAGCTTATGACACGTGCAATTTAGCTACCTGTTATCCGTAGGTTCTAGAGGTTTCTAGGCCATTGCCGGCCCATTCTAGTATTAGAGAAGGCTTTCCTACGCTGGCCCAAATCTGCTGCCCTATTCTTACCGCTGTCGTTCAGAGTGTACCACTGAGTTCCATGACAGAGGAGCCCTGGCTCTCCGGACGGACTCCCCTGAAGCCCCGGCTGGGGTCTGCACCCCTTTCTGCCATGCATGCTCTGTGCTAGGGCCCTGGGTGGCACTTTCAGTTAAATGCCTGATCACACTGTACCCTCACACCAGCCTTGCATGCTGCTGGTGATCTCCTTTTTCAATGTGGGAGCCGACATTTGGGGACTTGACATTTCCTTAACTAGTCAATGGTAGAGCCATTGGAGACTTTCCTGGAGGAGTCTTTTAAAAAGATTCCTTGGCACCCTGGCCAGGTAGCTCAGTTAGTTAGAGCCTTGTTAGAGCCAATATGCTAAGGTCGGGGTTCTGATCCCTGGTCAGGGAACATACAAGAATCAACCAATGAGTGCATAAATAAGTGGAACAGCAAATTGATGTTTCTCTCTCTCTCTCAAAGAAGTCAGTAAATAAAAATAATAAATAAATAAAAAGACTCCTTGGGATAACCAGGATTCTGATTGGTCAGAGAAACACCATCTTCTTTCTGGCAATACCTTCCCGCAGGTAGGTGGTTTGGTGCCCTAGAAAAAGCAGAGCTTTGGAGTCAGGCAGACCTGTGCTCCAGTCCAGCTATGTCACTTAAATCTGTGGTGTAACTCCCCATCTTGGTTTCCTCATCTGTGAAGTTGGGCTGATGGTGCTTATCTATCCCATAGGCATCTTTTGAGGATTAAGTAAAATAATGGGTATAAAAAATAGATTCAGGTTAGCATTAAGTGGAGTGTTGGTGATATTACTGCTTAAATTGTGCCCTGCCAATTACTCCGACCCTTTCCCACTACCCTCAGGTGAGATTCAGACCATATGCAAGACACAGCGGCCAGCCCATGATTTGTGCCTCTGAGGTCACTGCTGAGCCGTGTCTGATAACCCCAGTGCAGGGCTGTCATCGACGTGGCCTGAGACGCCCCTTCTGCTTTTGCGCTCCTCCACCTTCTCGCCATCCCTCCCAGGGCCCACGGGGCTGGCAGAGGTGCTGGGGCCCCAGCGAGCTCTGATTCCACTCACCCGTTGCTAGGGAGGAACAAGGAAGCACCTTGTCCAGTAGTTACCTTAGCCTACCTAGTTGTCTTGCACTTGGCCAACTGGAGCAATTTACTCAGTGAAGGTGGAGTGAGGGGGTCCCTGCCTGGCCGCTGCCCCCTCTCCCGCGGCGCTCCCCGTGTTGTGCTTCCATTCGTTTTGGCCCCATTCCTGAGAGGATGTGGTTTAGGACTTTATCACCTAAATGTTTCGGTCTTTGTAGCCTAAAATTAGGTGTGAAATTTGATATCTAAAAATCTGAAAGGGGAGCCCTTGGGAATTTTTTCTTTTAAAGCTAATGCAGTCTTGAGCTCTAAGTAGAAACGGGGAAGCTAACTCCTAGAAAACCCGAGTCTATGCTGCTGGGCACGGTTGAGGGACAGGTAAGGTGCCACCAGAGAGGCGCTGGCGAGGGGTCCAGAGAAGTTCAGACATTAGCAGACAAACAGCTGGAGAGACTGACCCGCGCAGGGTGCGGGGGAGCAGACTTGGTGGGTGCCTGAAGGTGCTGTCGGGCTGAAGGGGGACTCGCTCTGTGGGTTCCAGACAGGACCTCCTTGATTCTGCCCTTTTCTTCACCTCCCAAACCTAAATCCGCCTCTTACATAGCTCTCAGTTGATGTGCCTCTCACCATCCCCGTTGCCTCCAGTCCAGCCTTAGCTCCGTCAGAGCGATCCGGCACCGCCACCGTAGTGTCCTAGCCTGTCCCCTGCAGCCACCCTTGCCCCTTCCAGTCTTTTTCCTATGCTACTTCCAGGGCAGTTACTTCTCTGCTTAAAACTCTTCAGAGACTCCGCACTTTTCTTGGGCTCAAAATCGTTAAAATGGCCTGCCAGGCCTTGTGTGATCTGGCAACCCTGTCTTTCGGCTCTGTTTGTGCTGTTCTTGCTTTCTGTGCTGCATTCAGCCCCCAGAATAAGCTGACTGTCTATTTCAGAGCCTTTGCATATGCCGAGAATGAGCACCCCCTCCCCGGGGCACAGGTAATCGCTGTTCCCCTGTTGCATCCAACGCTTTCTTAAGACCGTGACTTGGCCAAGCTGCTCATGTTACATGTGATCATGTGACAGATCTAATTATCATCATGAATTTCAAAACGAGCATTCAGCATTGCCCAGTACAAGACCGTTTTGCAGCTTCTCTTCTCCCTACCCTGACTGGTGAGCCTGCCTTACACTTGATTGAAAAAACAAACAATTGAATTCAAACTATTTCTCCTATCAGTGGTGCCGGCTTATTTGCCTCTATATCCACCAAATCTGACTTTCCTGCTCTCGGAATGGAAGAAACAAATACCCTGCTCCTATCAAGACCAGCCCTCCCCCTGGGATTTACAAGTCCCTGTCCTCTTGGGGCACCCTCTCTTTTCTGCATCATTAGTTACTGAATCATTTCCATTAGCATAAGGCATGCATTTATATCGACCATTTGGAAGAAGTCACCCCGAACCCCCTCATCCCTCATTCACTGTAGCTACTGCCCCATTTCCTTATTCCCCTGAAAGCCAAGATTTCGTGGAAGAACTGTTCCTATTCACTGTAGCCACTTTGTTTCTTTCCATTCATTCTCTCTCTATCGGATTCCTAGGGCGGTCATGCCCTTCACCCCACTTACCAACGTCAGTGACCGTCTCCAAGCTGCAAAGTTCAGTGGCCAATGTCAGCCTTCCAGCAGCAGAAGCTGGCCACTCTCTGTGGCCTTCTGTTCACAACCCTCCCTCTCTGCTTCCTTCTGCCTCCTTGGTCTCTCCTTCTCGATCTCCTTTGCTGCCTCTTTAATGTTGGAGTGTCCCAGGGCTGTAGCCCGTGTCTGTGTCTTCCCTCTCCCATGGCTTTAGAGTATGCTTTGGGACGTCCAAGTTTATACCCACAGCCCAGACCTCCAACTCATGCAGTCAACTGTCTGCTTGACGTCTCCACCTGGATGGCTAATAGACGCATCGATATTAATTCATCCAAAGCTGAACTCCCTGTTCTTATCTTTCTCATGTCAGTTAATAGCACTGCTACGTATCTGATTGGTGTAGCCGAAAGTCTAGTTTCCACAATCCCCGTATCCATCAGCAAGTCCTGTTGATTCCACATTCAGTGTGTATTCCTAATTCGGCCACCTCACATCTCTGCTACTAGTCTTGCCTGGACTCCCACAGCACAGCCTCCTCTACAGTCCACTCTCCACAGAGCACTCAGAGTGATCTCTTTAAACATCAGATTAGGGCTCTTCCCGGGCATAAAACCCTGCAGTGGATTTCCGTTGCCCTTACAGTGAGATCGGAACTTCCTGACCTGGCCTCTGCCTATTTCTCTGTCTTTATCACTTGCCCATCTTGTGCCTCAGCCACACGGCCTTCTTTCTGTTCCTCAAATGTCCAAGCTGGTCCTCATCTCAGGGCCTTGGCCGTAGCCATTCTCTGCAGCCGGAATGCTCTCCTCCTGCGTGTGGACGAGGCTGGCGGTGTCTCAGCTGGACATCGGCTCTGCAGAGAGGCCTTTCCCGACCACTCTCTCCGACAGAAACTCAGCTTCTGCACGCCGCCCCAGGGCTTCCTCCCTTCCTCTCTCCCCTCCCCCGTCCCTTACTTCACAGTGTTTATTACCATTGCTGAAGTGCGTGAATGTCTGTCTGTCTTTCTGCCTGCTCTTTAATGACATGTGAACTCCATGATTCTTCTTCACCATGCATTGCCACTGCCTTACATGGCAGCTGGGAGGTGCTTAGTAAGTACTTGAATGGGCAGACAATTAAGAGCTCAATATTCTGGCAGAAAAATACGTTTAGAAAACCAGGAAGAGCACCGTGCTCCTTAGGAGTCAGGAAGGCCTGAGTTCCGGCTCTTGCTCTGCGCTTTGCTAGGGGTTCTTGAATCTTTACGAGCCTGTTTCTTTATCTGTAAAATGGGCCTAGTCCCCCTCTTACAGTCTTCCTCCAAGGACTAAATATGTTTAGTGTATTTAAAGGATCTGACACCTGTGAGTGCTTCGTAAGTGCCAGCTTCTGCCCCCTCACACCTTCTGTGTGACAGGAGGCGCAGAGGGGTATGTGAACAGCTTTCGGGCCTCTGACACGGCCCTTGGACTGAACCATTAAAAAGGTCCTGATTATAATGACAGCTTAATGAATCTACTGTTCACATTTCTAGCAAAGGAACACTTGAAATGTTTTATTTAACAGCGCACCACTTTAGTATATTATAATGGCCTCTTTCACCACCTTTTACTACCCATTTGTAAAGTCTTTTTCCTGGGTTTTATTGTGTGTTGTTTGGTTGTGAGTAATGGTCCTCCTTTGGCTAGCTGAATAGCAATTGTCATTATTTTTAATCTATATTAAAGGAAGGAGAGGGAAGGAAAATTTAGTTTAACATGCTTAAAATACCAGAAATATTTCTAAAAGTCTGGGTTTACTGAATTTTAAGATGGTTTGTGTAGTCTAGATGATTCCATATTAGAAGTAAAAAATGCACCATACATTTTAATTTTTTGTTTTATACTTTTATTTTTCACCCTATTTTGGTGTGCTGGAGCTGTTTCATTTGAATTGAATCGACTCTGCCCCAGAGGCAGATGATTGGAATCCAGATATGAGTCAGACCTTGCCCTGCCCTGAGAGGGCTCAGTGGGGAAGGTGGGACAAGGGCCCCTGCCCCTGCTAGTGGTGGCACAGACGCAGAGCAGGGGGCGCTCAGGGCGCGCCAGGGGTGCCAGTCGCGGCGGGGCCTCACTCTCCCACAAGGCTTTGGACGTGAGGCAGGCAGGAGAGACTGCAGAGAGAACAAAGGCAGGGCCGGGGCTGGGGCCTGCGCCGCCGCCACCGAGGGCCTCTCCCGTCCCCTCCTCCCCCGACCGCCAGGTTGGCACCCTGCCCCGTCGCCGTCTTTTCCCTGGAAGACAGCAGCCGCGTTCCAGCCTCTCCGCTGTCCTTGCCCCCTCCACTGCCTTTTTTCATAATTTTCAGTCTCAATTTTATAACTTCCTCTTTTTCATGAATTTCTTCTTCTCATATTTTTAGGTGATTGGCACATGGTTATTTTAAAATCTTCAGAATGCTTTATCATTTCTCCTGTCGTGAGTGTGAGCTTTCCCTTGTTGGCGTGTTACCTTTCCTCGTGGTGGGTTGTGGTGGCGTTTGGTTCGCCTGCAGTAACAGCCCTTCTCAGTCCCCTACCCTTACTCCTCCCTGGGTGGTGCTTTTGCCTCAACTTGACTTTTGAGGGCTGATGAAATTTGGATGGTTCTTCTTCTACCATGGAGTTAAATTTCTGGCCCCACTGCTTTCTGCAAATGCCCCCTTCTCATGACTCTGGGCCTCTACTGATTCTGACCTTTGGAGACATTTCCCCTTACTTTAGAGCCCTGTAGAGCACCTCAAACCTTTCTGCTCTTCTGCGCTTGTGCTGTCCTTTGCATGTGTTTAGAACAGTGGGTAGGGCTCCTGTGTGTCCGGACACCCCTTCTGGAAAGGAAATCTCTCCACTTGTTCCGTACACCGCGGCCCGAGCCACCTTGCCAGAGCGCGTGGGACCACGCCGCTGCCTGGCACAGAGCCTCGCAGTGGCCGTTGTTTCCTCAGCGCAGCCGCCTGCTCCCCGGCCTCGCTCCCCAGCCTCACCTCCCGGTTCTCCAGGGTGTCTTGACTGTGTTCATAGTGTCATGTTCATATTGAGGCTATTCCATTTTCCTCTCCCCTGGCTAGCCTCGATCGACTCTAGAATCCTTTTCTGACGTTCTTCCTGCCACCCCGATCTGGACACCTGGGATTGTTCCGTGGCCCTGCCGAGCTGGCACGGTACCGTGCTCCGCCCTTTACCCTGTGCGGGGGGTGATGTGCACATACCTGACTCCTGTGGCTGGCTAACTCCTCGCAGGCAATTTTGTGACCCCAGTGCCCATTACAGTGCCTGGCATAAGAAATGCTCTCATAAGGCATTCTGCTCCACAGTCTTCTTCGTGCTGGCTTACCTTGAGTTCCCAGGAAAGCAGAGCCTGAGATAAGGACTTGGGTGCCAGGGGTTAATTTGGGATGTTGATTCCAGGGAGTAGGAGGGAGGAATCGGGGAGAGGAAGGTAGAAATGAAGGCAAAGCCAACAAGAGTACGTTACTGTCCTCGCCCCTGCTGTGGGCAGCTGGGGCTCAGTCCTCCTGGGCAGGCCCTGAGGGACGGCACAGGCTGCGCCTTAATGTGTCCCTCTGAAAGGCGGAGCCTGGGGCATTTACTCAGTGGCTCTCTTCCTCTCCCGCTTGCGGGCGCCCCTCAGGTGCGCACTGGCCCGCACCCCGGCGGCCCTGCTGGCTGCTCGGAGAGCCCTGGGGGAGGTCCCATGGCCGCAGAGCAACGCACGCAGTGCTCGAGGCGGGACTGCCTGTGTGAGCTGCCCACTCAGTTGTAACTGGGATCCGAGCGAGGCCAAGGGCATGCGGCAAGGGGCATGAAAAGCATCTGCTGCCCATACGCGCTCTCGTGTAGTCCTCGTAGCTGTCCTGCGGAGGGAGACTTACCTTACTTTCAAAGAATCGCAGGTAGAATTTGAATCCATTTTTGTCAGATGTTAGAGCCACTGCTCTTTTGATTAAGAGCTGTTTATAACATCCCCTTATTCAATACCTAGTTACTGAGTACCAGTTAGGCACCTTGATGGACCAGGTCACTTATGGATCCACCAGGTTGGCCACATTCATCCAAAGCCATATTTCCCCTGGATGTAGGAGTAGGGCCGGGGGGCACGGGGACCTTGCAGTTGTCCTGAGTACTTTGTGACCCTGCTTGTTTTTTTAGGTCCAGCCTGCATCCATATAGGCATGTGGCCCCTCACTTGCTGTGTTGCTTGTGTCAAATTAATTCTCTTTTTATTCATGAAATAGACATGGTAGTACCTGCCTCGTGTGATTATGAGGTGACATGGGATAAAATACTTGGTGGGGGTCCTGATGCGTGGCACACGCTCACTGTGTTCAGTGTAAACAGAGCCTGGGCCAGTCAGTGAGGACAACTTGGGAAACTGCGTGGGTCATGAGGCCACCACAGAAAGCTTAGTTCTGCCGCTTCTTTCCCTCCTGGTAAAACAGGCCAGACCTTCTCAAAGGGCTACGTGAACTGCTTCTGGAACGAATACGCTTGCCAGAGCAGGAAGTTTCCGGAGACCACCCTGATGGGACAACCGAGAAGACACTTAAGGAGATGGCTGTACAGCTAAGAGGTGAACTCGGACAGTTCCTCCAAGCCAACTCATTTTCCAAGCCCTGTGGTGACCCGGAGTCGCCTTGGGGAGTCCGGCTGTTGAAGGCCGCTGAGCTGGCCAAGGTGGAGCTGAAAGATGCCTCGGTGCAGACCGCGGCCATGGAAGGCAACACGCTCAGATTCAGCCACGAGGGCAGGAGAGAGGCTTGGGCAGCGACACGGACAGACGCCGCAGCGTTCAGCACCGAGCATCAGCCGGAGACCTTGGGCGGGACGCCAGGGCGGCAGGCCACCCCCGCTTCCTTCCTCCCTGGGACTGACAGGGTGAGTTTTTCTGTATGTCACTTATTCTATACGAACAGAAGACTCAGGAAATCGCCCGTGTTTGTCTGAAACTGGATAAAACCCAGCGTCACCCTCTGCCTGCACTTATCCTGACCTCCTCTTAGAAGCGTGTGTGTCCGGCCTGCCCTTCCTGAAAGTGTGACTGTCATTTCCCCTTCCCTCCACCCCATTGCTGCCCTGTCTTATTTATCTCTCTATCATGATGCTTACGTGCTTTCCTCATAAAAAGAGTCGTGCGTGTCCCTCTGTCTGTAGCTTTCTCTTTGATGTTATGCAGTCAGGAACATCTTGCCTCCTAGCGGCTGTATACAACTGCATTGTGTGGAATGAGCCTAAATTTATACAATTTTTACCTGTTGCTGGACATTTACTTTTGCAGGATGCAGTAAAATTGTAATAAACAGACTTTTCAGGTAGGGACGAGAAGCTAGGTTTTAGTTGTGTAGACTTTGTGTCTGAGAGGTACTGTGCTATGACCTGTGCCTGCATTCTGTTGTCCTTAAAATCAGAGCTGAGGAAGCCAGATCCTGAGGGCCTCTGGTTTGCCTGTGGTAAAGGGACTGAGCGGGGACCCCCACTGTGCCTGCGTGCACGGACGCACCCTTTCCCCTGGTCAAGCCACCCTCTAGCCCATGCTGGGCGGAAGTGGTAGGGTCTGGTTTTGCTGAGTGAATGCATGCATTTTGCTCTAGCCAAGATGCTGTCTCTAAGCTTCTCCTCAAATACCATCAGATATACCAGTTTATAAAAAGCTGACTCTCTCAGCAGTGTTTGATTGGGCGTTTTGCTAAAATCTTCCTGGCAGGAGGGGTTGGGGTTGGGAATCCCCATGGCAGGGAGATATGAGAACGCTGGTAGAGACGGAAATAGGTTGTGTTCCTAATAGCGCTTCTGTGATGGCTGTTGGTGTTCTTGTTTGTGATGGATGTTTCGTATCTGAGAAATCAACTGTACACCTTACTTTGTAGCATCAGAACAGAGAATTAAGCTTATTTTCTGACCACCGAATTACTGCTTTCGTGCGTTCCAAAGACAGATCATTAGCAAAATTGCTTTTGATTGTTTTAAATTATGCACCAAAACTGTAATTTCTAGAAAAGGGTTTTCTAAAGATATAGGTAGAGACAAATACATATATCTAAAGACACTGCCATTATATTAACAGCACTTGAGATGCAGTTTGGCTAGAGTAGAAATGCTCTCCTGTGCACCAGCTCCTTTAGTCTGTATCTATATGTTAGGAGAACTAGAATCCGCCACCACTCCCCACCATTTGTATGGAAGATACCATTCTGTGTTCAGGAAGTTTAGATAATTGAATGAACTTAATTTTCCAAAATACACTGACACACATTTTTGAGTTTGTAATTATCCTTTTTGCTTGTGTCTTCAAAAGAAAGGTAACTGCTTATTTTTAGTATCTGTTCTGTGCGCCAGCATTGTGCTAGATATCTATACATACATCATCACATTAACCTTCTCAACAAGCATGGGAGTTAGGTAGTTATTGCCTACATTTTACATGGGGGAAAGTATAGGCTGTGAAAGTCTCAGAAAATTGTCCGCAATGACTCGGCTGTTAAGAGGAGGAAGAGGGATGTGAATGAAGTCCTGTTTTAGACGTAGACAGGGTTATTACAAACCTACCTTTCTCAGGAAGAGAGGAGCCCTCTTATAACCCTTGTGGCCACCATTCTATGCAGAGTAGAAGAAAATTTAATGATTTTCTTTGTGATCTTTGGTTAGTCAACGAATCAGCAGTCCTAAGTCTTAAGCCAGAATTCTGGTATCCTGTTAAAAAGGACATCGTTGTCGCCCAACAGTTGAACAAGGTGACGGATATACTTCCAGTTGTTTAGTTTGTGAACAAGAGGGTGGACTTTACAGCTATATCCGTGATTGCATCGGGCCTGGCTGTTTGGTTACTCTGAGTCCTTGCATTGATCACCTGACCTTTCTCAGTGGCTTGAATGGGATCAGGTGACCTAGAACCCAAGGTTGGCATGATGACTAAATGAGGTCATGTGTGGTAAGTGCCTTGTACATGGTAGGAGCTCAGTGTGTGGGCTTTCCTGTTCCCTTTCCATTGCTGAGTGAGAAGTTCCATTACGACATCCTTAATAAGGCGGTAGGTGGGAATCTGTTCAGCTTCCATAAGGTAGCATTTTCTGCGCTGTTATTTTAGACCCAGCATTAGGTTGACTGACGGCAGTCTTCTAGCCTGAAATTGGCTTTGGCATTTGTGCACTTGCAGATATCTTTCTGCTGCCATCTGACACACAGATTCGGATCCAAGAATAAAGATTGGTGGAGACGGAGGACCAAGCAAATGACTGTTATTTTCCAGTCTCTTTGGTGAGGCATCCACCTCCTCCCAACGGCGAACCCTTTCACCACCACAAGTGTTCTTGTCCTTGAACCTGTTTTCTCCTCTTCCCTGGAATTTCAGGGCAGCAAGGGCCTCAGTTTTCTTAACTGGGCAGTTGATTCTGAAGAGCTGGTTCAATGTCACCGTGTTTATAACATTGACTGGTTGTTTGACATCTCAGTTCTTTGTCTGGAAAATAGGCATGATAACCTCTATGATCCTGTGAACTCGGGGAATACAGAGCTTACTTGAGGATTCTGGGAGAATGTGCTTGAAAGCATTTTATATCCTAGAACATGCAAGAAAGGGGTTTTCCTCTTCTTCTTGAGAGACCTTGCTGATGTCCTCATTCCCAGGTTCTCAGATATTTCCCCTTCTCCTCAGGTTCCTTCTCCACCACTTAAAAAATTTAAAAAAAAAAGCTTGGTGTAGATGTAATTCACATATCGTACAGTTTATTCATTGAAAGGGTACAATGTAGTGGGTTTTAAAAAATATATTCATGGAGTTGAGCAACCAGTATTGTAATCAATTTTAGAACATGTTCACTGTCCCCAAAGGAACTCTGAACCTGTCAGCAGCCACTTCCCATTTCTCCCCACCTGCCCACCCTCTTTGTAGGCAACCACCGCCCTCCTCTGTGTCTTTATATATTTGCCTATTCCGGACAGTTAATATAAATGGAATCATACAATGTGTGATCTTTGATGACTGCTTTCTTCCATCCAGTGCAGTGCTTTCAAGGTTCATTCATGTTTTAATCTGCATCACTACCTCATTTATTTTTATTGCTAAACAGTCCATTGTATGGATATGGTACATTTAATTTATCCAGTCATTAGTTGATAGATATTTGGACTGTTTCCTGGTTTTGGTTACTATGAATAATGTTGCTATGAACCTCTCATGTGCAAATTTTGGTGAGTACACGTGATTTAATTTCTCCTATGTATCTAGGAGTGGAATTTTGGGGTCATAGAATAAATCTATGTTTAACCTTTTGAGGAGCCACCAGCATGTTTTCTAAAACAGCTGCTCGTAGTTTACATTTTCACCAGCAGTGTAGGAGGGTTCCAGTTTCTCCACAGCTTGGCTAACACTTGTTTTATTATCTCTTTTATTATAGCTATCCTAATGAGTAGGAAGTGGCACTGTTTCATTGCAATTTGATTTATATTGACTAAAGATTTTAAGCATCTCTTCATATGCTTATTGGCCATATGTGTATCTCCTTTTGAGAAATATCTGTTAGATCCTTTACCCATCTTTCAATTGAATTGTTCGTGTTTTTATTATTGAGTTTTCATATTTTTTATATATGCCTAGATTCAGTCTCTCTGCTCAGAGTTCGATATGTTTAAAATTCCCCCACTTGAAAGGCACCCTCATTTGGCCTCTTAGGTTACTGTTTGCGTGTTCATTCCACAGTCATTAGGGAGTACCTGCTGTGTACTAGTTCTTGTGCTAGAAGCTGTGGATACAGTGTGACCAAGAAAGGCAGAGTCCCCGAACCCCGTCTTGCAGCAGCTAGACAAAGAACAAGGATGGCATAGGCATTTAATTATAATGGTGCTAGTGTTCTCCAGGAGAGTTATAGGGAGCGATGAGTGGGGGACAGGGAGACCTGACCTGGTCTTGGAAATTAAGGCCCGTTTTCCTGAGCAAGACACATTTGAACTGAGTCTAGTGAATGTATTAGGATTAGTGGGAGACGTGGGGGATGGGCAAGAAAGAGTGTCCTGGCAGAGAGAGAGCATGTGCCGGGGCACTGAAGTGGCAGGAACTCAGCATTTTGAAAAACTGATGGAAGGTGAGTATTTGGCAGGAGCGGGAAGTTGGAAGGGACAGTAACTCAGGCTGCAGGTCATGCAGAGCGTGGGCTATGGTCAGGACTGATCTTGTCATAAGAGAACTGGGAAGCAGTTAAAATAGTTTAAGAAGAGGAGATGCGTGGCAGGTTTGCCTTTCCTGTTGCAGTAGGGAGAGTGTGTTAGAAAGGGCAAGAGTGAATGTTGGGGGGCCGCTCAGGAGGCTGTGGCCGGGGCCTCGTGAGAGCGTCCTGGAGTTGCATGATGGCAGTGGAGGATGGGAAGAGTTGAAAGAATTCAGAAACCACTTCGGAATTGGAATTAATGGAACTTAGTGAGTGATGAAAGTGTGTGAGAAACATAAAGGGAAGTTTAAAAAGGACCCCCGGGTGTTGGGTTTGCTGTAACTGGATGGTGGTGTGATTCACCGAGAGACTGTTGGAGCGGTGTAGTGTGGGGGACGTGAGGTGACGGAATCGAAGAGCTGAGTTTTCGGTTGACTTGGGAACGCCCGTGAGCCGTTGGAAATGAAGATGCCTAGGGTAGGAGGGTCAGGAGCTCTGAGCCTGGGGACTATTTAATGGAGTAGTGACTCAGTAGCCACTGAAAACTATAGTAAGAGGTGGTTCTGGTAGACTAGCAGGGGCAGGGGGCGGGGCGGGCGGGGAGGCAGATTGGCTTAGGGTGGGGAATGAGTGGGAAATGAGGAAATAGACAAGGAGGAAGAAAATGTTTCCCAGAAAATTGTGTTGGAGAAAGGACTGCCATGTGTGGAACATCTGGAATGTCCAGAGGGACAGTGGGCCAGGGCCAGTAGGGTGCTGAGGAGGAAAAGCTTGGCACGTGCCCATCAGAGGAGGGACTTGCTAAGATACAAGCTCTGCAGACCGGGAGGCAAACATGGACGCCAGCATAGGAACCAGAAGTCTGGACAGCGGTTTGAATTCCGTTTTATAAGATTGGCGTGAGACAAGTTCAGGAAGCACAGAGAGTCCCAAACAAGCTGGGTGCAAAGAGGCCCACTCCAAGGCACATCATAATTAAAATGCTAAAGTTTAAAGATAAAGAGAGAATCTTAAAAGCAGCAAGAGAAAAAGCAGTTAGTTACTTACAGGGGAGTTCCCATAAGTCTGTCAGCTGATTTCTCAAAAGAAACTTTGCGGGCCAAAAGGGATTGGCAAGAAATATTCAAAGTCATGAAAAGCAGGGATCTGCAGCCAAGACTGCTCTACCCAGCAAAGCTATCAATCATTTAGAATAGAAGGGCAGATAAAGAGCTTCCCAGACAAGAAAAAACTAAAGGAGTTCATTATCACCAAACCTTTATTATATGAAATATGAAAGGGACTTATTTAAGAAAAAGATCAAAACTATGAACAATAAAAAGGGTAATAAATACATATCTATCAACAAATGAATCTAAAAAACAAACTAAGTGAACAAGAAGAACAGAGACAGAATCATGGATACAGAGAGTGTTTTGATGGTTACCAGGTGGGAGGGGTGTGGGGGAATGGGTGGGGAGCTGAGGGGATTCAGAAGTGCAAAGAGGTAGTTACAGAATAGCCGTGCGGATGTAAAGTACTGCCTAGGAAATGGAGTAGCCAAACAACTTATATGCATCACCCAGGGGCATGAACAATGGAGTGGGGATTGCCTGGGGGAGTGGAGGGTACTGGGTGGAGGGGGGAAAGGGGAAAAAAATTAGGACCATTTTTTAATCAATAAAATATAATAATAAAAAAAGATTGGCATAATTGGCATGAGACTGTTGACTCCGTGAACAAAGGAAGTCTATTCATTGCTGTCTGTATGTGTTTTCAGGATGCTAAGAAGTCCCGCTTGCCCATCCTGATGAAGCCGTCCGCATCATTAGGAAGTGTGTACTGGCTCCCTGCCACACAGGAGGTGGTGGCCCAGCTGCAGGGCCAGGTCCTGGAGCTGCAGGGGGAGCTGAAGGAGTCTAAGATTCGCAATAAGCAACTTCACCAAAAGTTAATTCTGGCTGAAGCAATGATGGAGGGGAGCCCAGTGCCAGACAAAACGCTCCTGAAAGGTAAGCACCTAGAAAAATGTATTCCCCGCGAGCTAGATGAATGACCCGATAGAACTGCTTGAAATGTCAACCTTGTTGTTTAGAATTGCAATAAGTTTGAGTATAAATTTTATGAATTGCAGTGATTAATCTTGACTCTTGACAAATACACAATCGCGGGAAACAATCAGGAAAATGAATCTATTGTTTTCGGTCTCTTCTGGAGGCTGGATACAGGGGACTTGCAGTGCTTGCAGGTCTTTTGAGGTGACTGCTCCCCTCACTGGGGGTTGTCTGCCCGGGCTGCCGTTGTGAGGGCTTGAACCTCGGCCTTTGTTCCAGTTTGGTCTGTGGAAGCCTCAGGCATGTGGCATCTGAAAGTCCTCTTTGCTGGGTTTTTTGGAACATCCAGGGTTAATTCCAAACCCTATCAGCCTCCTTACCCACTTTGAATCTGCTGCCTGTGCCTCCTGGGAGCTCCCAAAACAGAGAACCCCTGGGTCAAGATAGACTCGGAAGGGGCGCCTCTGGCGGGTACTGTAGTGCAGGACAGTGGTTCTCGGAGATCTGAGACTGCCGCCCCTTTGGGAAGCTGAAGAAAGCGGAGGGCCTCCCACAGCACCTTATTTTCCGAGGATTCATGAATCCACAGAGGTACTTAGGTTGACTCCTGATTTTCAATTTCTGCTATAAGCAAATGAGAGCAACACACAACAGTAAGAACAATAACAGTAATCCTTTTTTTTAAAATCTATTCAAAAAGTATTTGTTAAATTCTCCTGTGAGCCAAGCTCTGCTTTAGTCACTGGGGAGATGGGAGAGAACATAACATGAAGTCTGGGTCTAGCTTACCTTCTTGTGGGGGAAGAAGGACCATAGCCAGTAAGCAGATAAAGGAGACATGAGGGAAATGCTGTGGGGAAAAATAAGGTGGGGTTTAGGGCGTGGATGATGTGTAATGGGGGTAGTGTTTGCTCTGTACATGGAGTGATCTAGAGAGCGTCCCTGATGAGACATTTAAATGGAAACGGGGAGGAAGCAAGGGGCCTGCTCGTCTTGGGGGGTTCCTTCCGGTGGAAGGAGCAAGGGCAAAGTGCGCGATGTTGCTCAGAACTTCCAAGGTGGGTGAACAGGGAGGAGGTCAGTTACATTGCCGGAGTGGAGCGAGAAGGTGGGAGATGGAAAGAGGTCAGGGAGGTAGCAGGCTGAGTAGGGACTTGCAGGCTCTTCAGGCCTCTGTCTGTCACCCCAGTAAGACTGGAAACCGTGGGAGGGTTTTGAGCAGCGGAGTGATACCACGTGACTTAAGCTTTACAGCAGGGATTGGTGAGCTGCGGCCAGCCGGTGAAGTTTTATTGGAACACAGCCACAGTCATTCGTTTGCACACTGTCTGTGGCTGCCTTCGCACTGTAATGGCAGAGTTGAGTAGTTGTGGTTGAGACCCTCTGGCTTCCAAAGTCTAGAACATTTATTATTTGGCTTTCAAGAAAAGTAGGCCAACCTCTCTCTTTTCAAGGCCCACTTGAACGTGAGCCGCTGGAAGGATGAGTTGTCCCGCAGTGAAGGGGAAGCCTGCCGCAGGAGAGGCAGGCGTTAGGTGTCCGAGTCCGGACTTGCTGTGGGCCGTCCCAGTGGGGTGTCGGGCAGGCAGCTGGAGGGCGACGCATCTGGAGCAGCGGGAGGGGTCTGGGCTGGAGCTATGAACGCAGGAAATAATCCACATATCCCTGGTATTTGAGGCTGTAAGTCTTGGTGACGTAGGGAGTAGACCCAGGGGCTGAGGGTGGGCCTCTCTAGCGAGCAGAGAGGCTGGACTGAGAAGGCGCAGCCGGTGAGGGCGGAGGGGAGCCGCGAGAGGAGGCCAGCCAGAAGCTGAGACTGGCTGTGTGGAAACTGCTGATGAGACAGGTAAGACAAGGACTGAGGATTGGCCTTGGGACTGAGCACTGCGGGAGTGCGTGGTGACCTTGAAGGGAGCTTTTCAGTGGAGGGGGTGGGGCCTGCCTGGCCTGGGTTCCGGAGAGAGCGTGGGGGGACAGCGGCTGCAGACAGCAAGAACGGGCAGCTCCGAGGGATTCGGGCCGCAGGGCACGTAGAGCCACGTTGTCCTGGGGTCAGGTGACTGTGGGTGACTGCTGTGGTGGGCAGTCTGAGAGCAGGAGCTGCAAAGCCCCGGAGGGTTTGGGGAAGAGTGGATGACGTGGAAGTGTCGGTGAGGAGCAAAGGCATTTCCAGATCCAGGTCCGGAATATGGATACGGCGGGGCGGGGCAGGGGCGGGGCGGGGGCGGTGTGGGAAAGAAACCGCACCACGGGGTGGGGGGGGGGGGCGTGAGAGAAGCACTCTGGGAGCAGACTGTGGGGGAGGAGGTCGAGGTTATTGGGATTTTGCCAGTGAAGGGTTTGCATGCCGAGGTGGAAAGATGGCATCGTTGAGGAGATTTTCAATGGTTCGAGGGTGGGAGGTGACTGGGAGCCCAGCAGCCTCCCAGGGCCATAAAAAACCAGCACCTACTGTTTATTCAACCCCCCTGTCCATTTTAAATACACGATGTAGTCGAATCCCCTTAACAGTCCTTTTGAGGCAGGTACAGTAATGATTCCTGTTTTATTGCCAAGGCAGCAGTTTTAGAGGTAAAGTGGCTGGGCTGCAGTCACTGATTTCCCGGGCTAGGCTGAGCCAGCCTACCTGACTTCAAAGCATGCACCCTTTACTGTTTCATAAAGCTAGTATATGGTGCTTTGCATGTGGGTTTTATGATGAACTATAGCCAGAGGCGTTTTCCATTTAATTTTAGCTTCTTTCTTGGGTTTACCATAGTTGCGGTTTCAAGATAAGTTGGCCTTTGGCAAGATTGCTCTCCCCCCATCCCCCTCCTCTCCCTTCTCTCCATCCATCCACCCACCCACCCAGCCACCCCATGCAGGCGTCACTTCACCCGAGCAGCGACTATCCCCTGAGCACTTGCTGTGCCCCCAGCCTCACGCACTGGGCATAGGAGACACAGAGAGGAAGAGAGAGAGTCTGCCTTCTGAGGGCTCCCAGTCTCCTGGGATGGGAGTCAGTAATTAAGTCAGTGTGGATTGGGAGGTAGGGGTGCTGCAGAGAGGAAAGGATTGTATGGCAAAGGTGACTCAGCCAAACAGACACCCTGGCACTTTGCCCAAGGCTTGCCATTTGCACCTAAAAAAAATTTTTTTTTAATTAATCCTCACCTGAAGATAATATTTGTTGATTTTTAGAGAGAGAGAAAGTGTGGGAGAGAGGAAGAAGATGAGAAAGAGAAAGAGAGAAAGAAACATTGGTTGGTTGCCTCTTCTACACGCCCTGACTGAGGATCAAACCTGCAACCTTTTTGGTGTATGTGACAATGCTCCAGCCAATTGAGCCACCTGGCCAGGGCTTAACAATGTTTTTATTTCTTGCTCAGACCCCAGGGTGCCTCAGCCAGGTGGTACTTTCTTCCAAAGTTGCCCAGAACACACTGGGGCCTCTCTCTTGGGGAAGGTGGGCATGAGTCTATAGAATTCATTTTCTCACTCATTGCCTGGACTTAAACCATTTCAGACAAGCTGCAGTATATTTATGCTTTTTATGTCCTGTTATGGCAGCTCGATAGATTAATTTTATCTTATAAATTGCATTTTGCCTCCCCAGTGTTTTCCTTTCCCTGTTGTATCTTTGTGTTCTTCTTAGTTGCTTGGCTAAGTTTCAAGCCTGTGTTTTTATTTATTTTTTGTTCTTTTCATGAATGCCTGTACCCAGCCCCTTGTGGGAGCAGCCTACCAGGATAGCCCAGGAGAGCAAAAAACGAATTAAAGCCACGCCCTGTGTCTGGAGAAATGAGGAAGGGGGCAGTGACAATGATCAGCAAATCAGCTCTGAGACCACTCAGACGTCAACCCCTCTGTGTATTGAACACCTACTGTGTGCCAGGCACCATGCAGGGCATTTCATATAAAATTTTTTACTAAATTTCAGCAGCAGCCATCCTAAGGCATCATCATTAGTCACATTTAACACATGAGGAAGATGAGGTTTTTAAGAATTGATGCCGGGTCATGCAGCTGGCACGGAGTCGGAGGAGTCACGGTGCAGCGAGGTGTCTGTCGAGCTCACCAGTCCTTTTGCCAGGCGCTTTTCTGCCAGGCCGCAGGCGGGGTTCCGGCGCTTCCGTCCAAGAAGACACCGCGCTGCTCGCCCTCTGGGGTGCCTGCCGCTTGGTCAGTTGGTGTTCTCCACGGCGCTGGCTATTGCTGGGTGTGCGCAGTTAGCCTCTGGCCTCCTGGGGGGAAGGGCCAGAGGTGAGCCTGAGCTGACACCTGTTTTGTGGGTTTGCTGGGCAAGTCAGTGGGAAAGGTACAGAGATGTGAGTGAGGCCCCAGGTAAGTTGTATCTCTTTTTTTCTTAAAATTATGAAGTATTACAAACATAGAGATGAGTGCAAATGATAATATAACAATATTCATGTTCCCATTCGATCAGTATAAACAAGTGCTTACATTTATTTTTACCTTACATCCCCACATCACCCCCTTTATTTTAAAAAAATCGCCATTAACCTGTAAGAAATAATTGTCGTCAGGAACCCCAAATTCGTCCTGGGGTGGCTATGAGAACACCGATCTCTGGGGAGACACTGCGCTAAGGGCCCTGCTCCTGAGGGTGTACGCTTTCCTGGTGCCTCTGCACAGAGCAGGGAACGCATGGCCACGTGCTCAGAGTGTTCTGGGCTGTGAGGAGGAAAGCCACTCTCCCAGGTTATGAAGTACCCCTTAGCAGAGTTGTAGAAAGTTCTAGAACTGCAATATTTCCTGTAATATAAATAAACAGTCCTTCACACATGCTCTTGCCTCTCTACTGAGTTTCCCCCTTGAATTCTTGCCTAGCTGATGCCTCGTCTTTCCTTCAGGCCTCTGCTTAAATGTCACTTCAGGCAAGGCCTTCCTGAGTCCCCCGTTGTTTAGACCCTCCCGTGAGCCCCTCCCCTCCCCCATATTTCAGTCTTGAATTGACTTGCTCAGTGGCTGCTCCCTGCAAGGCTGGGCACTGTGCGTGACGCCGTCACTGCCTTTTCTCCTTCAGTGGCCCCTGGAGTGAAGCGGATTTTGTAGGTGGTGTTGGCCTTCACACTGAGGCCTGAGCAATGTCCCTCTTTGCCCCTGCCCCTGGCAGCAGGAGGGACTCAACATTCAGCGTGCTGCCGGCGTGCTGCCGGCACTGGCGGGGGGCTGTGCTGCTTATCGCCCTGAGCCTCGGGCAGGTTCTACCTCTCTAAGCCTCAGTTTCCTCTTCTGTGAAGTGAGGATGCCAGCAGTGCCTCGTGGGGCTGTCAGGAGGATCACGGGGGTGGCACGGTGAGGTGCCTGGCGCCTGGGCCGGGTCCTGGCTCACAGTTGTGTGTCCTGAGGCCTCCCTAAACGCGCAGGTTCACTCCGTGCCCGCAGTTTATAGTCCTCCCTCTCACGCCCTCCGTGCAGGGAGTTTTAAATGGAAAGTGGAATCAACTCCTTTGGAACTTTATGGAAGGCTACTGAGCAGCGAACAGTATGGCCGCATTGCCGCGCCAGTGCTGGGCTTTGAGACTCCCTGAACACTGGCCTTGGAGCCTAGAAGTTATACCCTTACTTCAGCTAAATCACAAATTGCTGTAAGATTAGGGGCACTTCTGAAGTCAAAATTGTGGATGTCAAGTGTCTGAATGTTAGGTCCGTTGTGCTGTAGGAGCAGAGTTTAAAGTGGAGGTCTAAATGTTTGACGTGGTGTGAATATGAGAAGACGCACTCTCCCAACCATTCCGAGGGGCAGGGGTATGTGTGAGTGTGTGTGTCGCCAAACATCAGAGCTGGCCTTAGTCTGTGTTACAGAAGGACATTTGTATGGCTCTTATAGTTGTCTGTGCCTCACGATTACTTAACAAAACTCATCAGAACTGATCTTCGTTCTCACGAGTGAACATTGCGTCTTGCCATGAAATTCCATTATCATATGGTTGTTAGAGCGAAGCTGTTTCCTTGTCTTGGAGGGTGATACCCTGGGGAACAGAGCCTTGCTGGGAGCCTTCCCCCTGTCCCTCCGTTTCTCTCCTCCTCACTCAGCTAGCAGTGCCTCCTGAGTCCCTTCTCCACCTCAGGCCCTGTGCCGGGCGCTGGGGATGTGGAGACGAATGACGTGGTCTCATGCCGGAGGGCCTCAGCGGCAGGGATTAGGACACATTTTGTACAGTAGGAATGCTGTATAAGGAAGGTTTCCTTTTCGGTCGGGTAGCAGCTGCTTTCTAAAATAAAAAGGTTTATTTTACGGTATTTTCATTGTGAGCAGAGGGGCAAGAATGGGCGTAAGAGACATGAGGAGCCGTGGCAGAGCCCAGAAATTGGAATATGCAGTCCCGCAAGGATTTGTGTGCTTTTCTTCCCGAGACCTCGCTTCAGGCGTCACATCTAACCCGCATTGTTGCTTTCGCAGCACTTTCCAAGTCCATAGCCTGTGCCCGAACGCCTCCTGTGAGAGGCGTCCTCTTCCATCTTTAAACAGTTTTAGGGAAGCAAAGGATGTCGCTATTAGTTGGGTTTCTTCACAACTATGTGCCAGACACTGTTAACCCTTTTGCAGATACTGTCCCATTTGATCCTAAAAACGAAGCAAGCACAGCCCTCATAGTGCCCGTGTTCTTTCCATTTTGCGGATGAGGCTACTGAGGCTGAGAGAGGCTGTCCCTTGCCGAAGTTCATTAACTAAGTGGGATGCATGTAAACGGCAGAGCCAGGGTTTGAAACCAAGTCTGTTTGACTTCAAAGATGGGCTTTTCTTAAGTATTCAAACAACTGTTTATATTGAGCTGGGCCTTCCCTGGGCGGCAGGCAGTGTGGTATGTGGTTAAGCACCAGACCTCTGGACTCAGGCCTGAGCTTGAAGCCTCACAACAGCATGTATATAAGGCATCTTTAGAGAAACTGAACCTCTGGGATATCAAGTTACTTGCCCAGCGGTGTGCAGCCAACAAGTGGCAAAGCTGGGTGTGACCCAACTTCCCTTTGGCTTCAAAGCGGAATGTTTCTGCAGCACCACTCCGCCTCTCAAACAAGCTTGGCTGCATCCCTGGGGATTTAAAGCCGCTGTAAGGAAACGTTTCCTGGAGGGGTTGTGAGCCACTGACACAGCCTGCAGCAGGGGCACCGTGGCATCTCCTGGAAACTGGTAGACGTGGAACCGAGAAGAGGACTCACCTGTGTGAACTGTAGAGCTACTGCTCTTTAATCTTACTTGCCTCCGTCCTCAATATTCATCAGAACTTTGTTGACTTCTGGTCCAGCTGGGTAGTGTACCAGGCACTGGGAACGTAAAGGTGAAAGGCCAGTGAGGGAGAGAATCCAAATAACTAATTGCAACATAAACAAATTTAAAAAGCCAATTGTAATCCCTGTGCTGGCACCCAGCAGGGAGTGCATTTGGCCCGGTGATGCATGTAAGGTGCTGTGGGGGCACGGATGGGAGGGACTGCTTTGCATAGTTTGGGATGAACTTGCAGAGGAAGGAAATTAGGCCTGGGTGTTGAAGGGTTAGGAGTTCACTTGAGTAGGAGTAGATAGATGGGTTAAGTGTATCCTAGGCAGAGAAAAATGCACGTGCAAAAGCATGGTGGCGTGAACCAGCCTGGTGGGGGTGGGGGGAGGGATTTGGGGGAGCAAGGACTCTCCATGGGTGGTGCCAGAGGATGTTCAGAAGAAAAGAAATTGCTTTGAACTAGATTGTGGAGGGTCTCAGATGCCATGAGAGGGAGTTTGGATTTGGTCTTCAACATACTGGGGATACTGGTCAGTGTTTGGTGGCAGGAGGGTGGTTACCATGGTTATTTTCACTTATTTAAGACAGTTACTCTGAGGAAGGGGGTGGAATGACAGGTAAGGGAAGGCGGCCGTCAGGGAGGCTCTAGCAGTGACGTCCCCTTGGTAAGGTGTTGGTGGGGAAGGGCAGAGGGTGGATTTCAGCAAAGCAGATACTGACCTAAATGTGTTTGATTTTCAGACTCCAACACTGACCAGCCCAATGGCCTTGCCATCTCGCCAACATGCAAAGAGGATCCTGAAGATTTTCAGGGCCCAACTTCAGTGGCTGCTTACCTGGCTTCCACGAGTCCGCTTTCTGCTAGAGGCAGTGCGGTTGGAACCGATCAGTCTAAGGACATCGATACTTCAGATGATACTGAAAACTTAAAACAGAGAATCTGTGACTTGGAAACTGAGCTTGAGGGCTACCGGAATTTCGTATTTCAGCTTCAAAAGCACTCCCAGTGCAGCGAGGCCATTATCACAGTTGTGTGTGGGACAGAAGGGGCCCAGGACAGCCCCAACAAGCCCAAGGGTGGTGCTGATGAAGAAGAACTGACCTTTGCCAGCTTGCACCAAGTACGTTTTGTGAAACACATGAAAGTCCTCCACCCGCCGGCCCCAGAGATGACTGATGGCGGGGTGCTGGGAAGCCTCGAGCAACAGCCAGAGGAACAGGATTATGGGCTGCAGGAGGAGCAGAATTTGAACATGGAACTTTTCAGTGAAATCCATAACCTGCAGAATAAGTTCAGAGATCTCTCGCCCTCGAGGTACGTCTCACCTCTGTCTTCTCCCGCTATTTAAGCCTGCAGTTTCCCTCTCTGCCCCCAGGTCAGAGCCTGTGATCCGAAAGGGCCGTGGCGCGCCCCGGGCTGCGGACGGCTTGAGTGGGCCGGGGGTGAGGGCAGCCCGGCCCTGCGGAGAAGGGAAACGTGAGGCCTCAGAGGCTTGTGTCCTGTGTAACTGGCAGGGCAGATTTTGCCCTCCTCTGGTTGGGGATTCAGGGTAAATGTTTTATACTGGTCACTTGGTAATTTATATAATATGTTGCTGACTGGCTGTGTTCACTCCTGGACGCCATCATTGGCTTTTACTTACTCTGTTGCAGAACTGAAAGCTATCCTAGGTGGGTGGGAAGAACATAAATATTTTCCGTATCTTTACCCCTTAAAGTCACCTTAGACAAGCTAGCATTGAAAGAGAATTCTTAGGTCAGGACGGTATGTTTTATGGGCCTAGATACACACAGTTTTGCTTTGTGAGATATGGTGAAAATGTGATTATTTGTAAAGTTGACCTTCACTTGTCGCTAATTTGAGACAAACACATTGTCAGGAGCCAGAGCGAATTTTTCAAAACTTCTCAAATGATGAGATTGAAGGAAGCTTTTATCTCTTGAAAAGCCGTTGAGTCAGAACTTCAGGTAGGCACTTTTCTTATTTCACCCTCCGTATCGCCTCAGGAGGAGGTGTTATTACGTGTGTTTTTGTAGATGAGGAAGTTGAGCCTTGAAGAGGTGGCGGAGAATTGCCTGAGAGGGTTCCCGGAGCCCTCGCCCGGGCCCACGTTACCGGACTCTGGTACTCGGGTTCCTCCCGCCCGCGCGCCTGGCGCCCTCCTGCAGCACCGCCGTTCTGCGGTCTGTGTGCGCGCACCGGGGCGGTGCTCCCCGGTCCCACACACTGTCGCCATTTCAGGGACGGGGGAGCGCGTTGGACTGAGGGGCCAGTGTCTTTGCCCAGCCACTCTAGAGCCAGGTTACCTGGGCCACAGAGGCTGTGAGCCCCGTTTTCCTTGTGTCTTTCTCAGCGCCTCCTAATGCCTGAGGCTTGCACAGGAAGTGATGGATACGGTGTCAGGAGGCACTCTTGCATGACAGAGCATGGCCTTTGTGTTGGAACCCAAGATCTCCCCTACTCAACTACCTTTGCAGTCTCTGAGAGTCAGTTTCCTCTCCGGTAGAAGAGGAGGTTCTTAAATTTGTCGGGAGGTTGGGAAGATCGGATAACATATAGAAATCCTCTACTACAGTGACTGACAGATCATAGACCCTTCATAAATGGTAGTTAGGATTCTGATCATTCCCTGGCCTTTCCGTTGAGGGGAGGGAGTCCCATCTTTGTTTTCCTGCCTACAGTTTCTTTCTTTCTTTCGTTCTTTCGTTCTTTCGTTCTTTTGTTCTTTTTCTTTTTCTCTTCATGAGAATTTGTGGTAGGTTCCCTGACCCTTGGGCATTTGTTTCTGCAATTCAGAATAGGACTTTGAAGAGTGTATGGAAACTGATTGTTCCCCTGAGTCCTTGCCAATCTTACTTTAATTGGGGGCTTCATAAGGTTAAAAATATTGCAGAAGAACCTTTGTTCCAGCATTTGTTGGCTGTTTTGAAATTGAGGAAGGAATGACCTTGTACAGTTTCAATTTTTCTAAAAGTATATATACTTGTGCAGCTGCAGGCTTTTAGAAATCATGCTCTGTCATTTTTCCAATTAGCGTTAAGGTCACAAAAATTCAATTCTAAAATGGTACAAGCATTTTCTTTTCCCCCTTTTATCAGATACAATTCATTAGTGCAGTCCCAGGCCAGGGAGCTCTCCCTTCAACGGCAGCAGATGAAGGATAGCCATGACATCTGCGTCATTTATCGTCAGCGCATGAGCACCATGATTAAGGCGTTTGAGGAGCTGCTGCAGGCCAGCGACGTGGACCGCTACGTGGCCGAGGGCTTCCGGGAACAGCTGAACCAGTGTGCGGAGCTGCTGGAGAAACTGGAAAAGCTGTTTCTCAACGGTAGGTGGGGCGAGGCACTTTGAGCCCTAAGACACATCAGCGGTGGACCCCGGGCTTCTTGGAGGGCCAGGAGGAACCCGCCCTTGGCCTGCTGATCTTCCGCCCTCTGCTCTGATGAGCTGACAGCAAGGCCGCAGTGGCTGCTGCTTCCTTCCGGTGACCTCTCCACCGTCCCAGACCTGGCTGTGGGGTAGGTGCCTCCGGGGCCAGGCTGGAGAGGCACAGCGAAGCCCGGCAAGGGGGCTGCCCCCAGCACCTGCCACATGGAGGCTGGTTTCTCCAGAGTTTCAAGAGAAGATGGCAGTTGGGTTTTTTGGGGGAGAGGGGGGTGAAAACTCATGAGTTTTAAATATTGGCAACAACAAACAAACAAAAAAGAACAAAGCTTTTATTCGTTAAAAAACTATATTCAAGAATCAGAGGTGGTCAGAGACAGGATGAAAGAAAATCTTTGCTAACCACTTGCTATATGCTAGGTACTTTAATAAATATTATTGCATTAAAAATGTTTTAAGAAATTAATTTGCAGTTTTCTGAGTCTGCAACACAGAACTTCCTTGTACCCTTCATGCTTCTTTGTCAGTGGTTGGTATTTTGCCACATTGCTTTATCATTTTCTGTCTCTGTTTTTACACACACACACACACACACACACACACACACACACACACACACAATTTTTTCCCTAACGCTGTGAGAATGGATTGATGATGTCGTGTCTCATCAGTTCACCTAGATACTTCAGATCAAGGCCATTCTCTTACTTAGCCACAATGATCAAAATCAGGAAATGGCACTTTCTAATACATAGTCTATCATCAAATCTCACTGATTCAAGGCTGTCTTTTTATGATCCCACAGGCAACCACTGTTCTGAACTTTCCATAGATGAGTCTTGTCTCTTCTTGAACATCATGTAATTTGAATCATAGAGCATTAAATAATGTCTTTTATGAGAGTTTTATTCTTGATCCTGATCCAGGATCCAGCCCCCACATTACATTTAGTTGTCAGTTTAGTTAGGCTCTGTGGTGTCCTTTAATCTGGAGTCGTTCACTTTTGTCTTCCATGATATTGATGTATTTGAAAAGTTTGGGCCAGCCTCTCAGTTCAGGGCTCTCTGCTGTTTCCTCATGATTTAGGCGAGATGAGTCATGGGATTTTGGCGAGAGTGCTACATAAATGGTTGTGTTCTCATGGTGTCATGTCAAGGAGGTCCGTGATAGCGGCTTGTCTCATTTTTGCTGGTATTAACTTTGATCCCTTGCTAAGGAGATATGTTTCAGGTGTCTTCACTGTGGGTTACAGTATTTCCCTGTGTGCTGTAAAAGTAATTAATGGGGGATACTTCGTAACTCTGTGAGTATGTCATTGCTCTTCACACTCTTACCCATGCGGTTCACGCTCCATTGAGGGTTCTTGCCTTCGCCAGTCATCACTGTGACCGTGCAGCACGGTGACGGTTTTCTGACGGTGTGATTCCTTCCTCATTGATTATTAGGTGGCATCTGCTGTAAGAATGGATTCTCCCTTTCCTTCTTTTATTTATATATATGTTGTTTGTTTATTATCGGTGTTGACTTGTGGATTCTTCCTTTATTCAGTGGACTATTTATTATCCATTCTTTCATTCATATCAATGCTCAAATTGTTCCAGAATGGCAGGTGGCAGCAGCTCCTTTTGATGTGCCTCTCATCTTCTGGAGGGACACTGCCTTACTTTCTGGCACAAAAAAGGTGCTCTAGGCTCATCGTATACTGTCCTTGCCCCTGAAGCAGCCATTTCTCTAGGCAACTCTGGTTCATTTTAGAGGGCCACGCCTTTCAGAAACCCAGAGTTGGTGCTCGCTGTGCTCGTGGCCATGGCCGTGTTGTTGCTTCTAGGTCCGTTACGGGCAGGACGAGGATATGTGTTCACATCCACACACACACACACACACACACACACACACACACTCTATATCTATATCTATATGAACGTATGTGTGTTTAAAAATGTATAATATATTTTAAAAATTATAGTGGTACCTCCAATTCCTATTCAAACCCACCGTGGTCTTCCTTGCCCTTCTTGCTTCCGTATTTGTGTTTCCCTTCTCCTGGCTCTCACAACATCGAATATGTGCTCATTTGCTTAATTCTGTAATACACACAGAGTTCCAGATCGCTTCACTCATACAAATGTGAAGGAGAAACCTAAAAGAGTTAAGATATTTTTATACTTATTTTTGTTTGTAGGCTAAGGGCATTTAGTTAGGTATTGAATTTAGTTACTTGGTTTCATTCTTTCTACAGTCTTGTTATGCTATTCATTTGAAATACAGTTATTTTTTTTATTTCTGTATCCAACTTTAGGGCTCCCCTATCCTTATTGATTTAACTTCGTTTTATTTTTTTAAATATGAATAACATTACAGTGGTTCCAAAGTTAGAACTTTTATTCTTTTAAGTTGCTTCTATGAAGTCATTATTTTTGTGCTTTTCCTTAAACCCACTGGAATGGGGCTCTCAGACAGCCTAGCCTTTCCACCGACGGCATTTGCCAGAGTCACTAACAACTCCCACTTGGTGAATCCACAGATCGGTTTCAGACTGCATTTTATTCAAACCCGCAGCAGTTGTGGACGTGGGAACCCCTTCCCCCCTTGGCTCCTAAGATGACACCCATGAGCCAGTCCTCCACCCACCCCACTGGCTGCCCCCTGGAAGCTCTCCCTTCGGCCTGCATTCCAGGCCGGACCAGTCTGCACCCCTCACGGCTGCCAGGGCCCCAGTTCACCGTTGCCACCTCCCCTGGCTCCTCTCCTCCCTGCGTCTGCGCTTCCGCCTCGTCCCACTGCCGTCCATTTCCACAGGGTGGTCAGTGAGCTTTTCAAAATCAGATCAGGTCAGTCCCTCTCAAATTCTAAGGCCTGCCTTTGTGGGTTGTAGGGGTTAAATTAAACAATGGACGGGAAGCTTTCCGCTCAGGGCTCGTGCCTGGCCCTGGCGTCCTGAGTGCTTCCTAGTATCTGTACTTATGAGCAGGGGGCATCGTCCTCGGAGCAGCCTGGTTGACAAGAGGAACTTTGCCCCAGCAGAGGAACTTTTGAGCAGAGGTGCTCAAAGTCACACCTACTTGGCGGAACCAGGATTTGACCTCAGTTCTTCTCTCTTCATACATATGGTAGAGATGGCTCATGAAGGTGCACATATGTTCAATTTAATTCCAAGACACAACATGGGGTAGCTTGGCCTCTGGGCCCAGGGATTGTTTTTTCCCAATTTTTTAAAAGAACCCAACAGTGAGGCCCATTGCCCACCGATTTTTCTAGTTCCAGATCTGCGGGGCCATCGAGGGCTGCCAGGACGTAGGAGCGCTTGACTTTTCCCAGCTTTGTGAAATCTGCTTGCTTCTGGCTGAGGTTTCCTGAGTAAGCTAGTTTCCATTTATCACTGGAGAAATAACCGAGTCCTCGAGATGGGGCCGCACCTCCCAGGCCCAAGGCGTGTACCGTCTGCTGCTTTCTTTCCCCCCGGCACGCCCTCTGCCGGGGCCCTAGGCAGTGGGGGCTGAGAGGGAGGGCGGCCGCAGCGGGAGCCCGCCCCTCGCTGGTCAGCCGCCCCCCTTGATTTATTTTTTCGTGATCTACCTTGACAAGCCCAGGGAGGTCTCACTCTTTGTTTCCTGCAAAGCAGAAGTGTTGCAGGCTTGGCAGACAGCGCAATGTAGCACTTTTATTTTCTTCTCCAAAAAACATAAAGGTCTCAGGAGCCTCAGTGCAACTTTTTTTTTCTTGGAGAATAAAATGTAACACAGGTGGGTCTTTCTTAGATGCCATCTAAGGGGTCTGGTTCCTGAATCATGAAATGAGCTTCTCATAAAGTCGTTCTATATTTGAGGCAGTTGCATAGCATGAGTTCTTAAAAAATTTAAATATAGTCTTTTTTTATTAATACAAAGCCGTACTTGTTTATTGTGGAATAAGATAAGCAAATGCTCCTATAATTGCATCATTTATATAGTAAAAGATGAACACCCTGGAGTTTATATTTTTCAGACCTTTTTATACATATTTGTATTTTTTTGTGGAAGGACTGTTTACAGTCTCTCCCTTTGTTCAATTATAGATAATAAACATTAATCTACATTGTAAGTTCTAGTCGCTGCAGAGCTTTCTTTTATATGAATGTACTATCATTTATTCAATCATTCCCCATTAGATGGACATTTAGGTTGTTCTCAGTTTGGGGTTATAATGAACACTGTATTGGAGTTCTTTGTGCACATCCTTGCTATTTCTTTGTTAATATTTAATTGGTAGAAACCAAGACGTAGGATGATAGTGTGGTGTCGTAATGCTTGTAACAATGAGCTTACAGGCATTAGGTCTGGGCCCTGCAGATTTTGCGAGTATGTGCATTTTTCTGGGTGAGGGTCTACAACAGATTTCTTAAAATGGGTCGAGACCCAGTGTAGATCAAGGACTGGTGTTGCAGTCCCAGGTTTTGCACCCCTGCCTTGTCCGCCGTTCCTCCCAGGACCAGTAGCCTAAGTCAGGCTGGCGGTGTTTGTCCTCAGGGGCGTTTGAGCAAACCCTGGGGCCGGCATGAAGAAGGCTGGGGAGCCCCTGTTCTCAGGGAGCTCGCCGCTGTGCCTGGACTCGGCCCGGACGGGAGGCAGCTGCCGGACCCCTCCCTCGGCTCTGCTCTGCCTGCAGCAGGAAACTGACACACCCATTTCTTTTGCGGCCTTTGTCAGTTTGCTGCCTCCAGCCCCCTGACCTCTCAGTAATGAAGATGATGAACAGGAGAGACAGTGAGGAGGGCTGGTCTCTGTATGCTGGGCGTTGTTCTCAGCCTTTGAGGAGGTGTTGTTTATTTAATGACTGAGGGATGGAGAGGTTGATTTACTTGCTCAGGGCCACACAGGGAGTGGCAGAGTCTGGGTCTGAGCCCAGGCAGTTGGCTTCCACACCTTCCTAACCTGCAGACCCCTGCGATGTCCTGTGTCTCACCCTCCTGTGCAAGTGTGGCGTCCTGGTCAGACGTTTCTGCGGGTCAGGCCTTGCCTTTCCCCGCTTCTGCGACTCTCTTCAGACCAGTCCCTTTTCCAGAAGGCTTTCCCCCTCTCCATTTCTAGAGCATCTGCCTACCTTCCTGGGAGCTCTCCTGGTTCGCCCCAAGGGTCTGGCTTCGCGCTGCTGCATGGCCCTCTGTCCTGCGGGCTTCTCAGTATTTGTTCTTGTGAGCTGGGGGTTTGGTCCCCACAGCAGCCTGGGTGATGTGGGGAACTCTGCCCCAGCAGAGACAGGTCAGTCGCTCAGAGTCGCAGCTGACTTGGCGGAACCAGTTCCTTCTGGGTGCTTGTAGCTCGCAGATGACAGTCACATCTGGGACTGTGATGGAGGCCAGGTGCTCGGCGGCGGGGGGGGGGGGGGGGGGATGAAACCTTTGGAGCCCAACAGACTTGAGTTCAACCCCATTTTTATGGGTAAGGGTTCGATCTCCTGTGAGGTAACGGCACCTGTTCTGCAGAGTGGCCCGGCCAGTAGTGGGCGCTCAGGGGGCCACAGCAGTGATGTCTCAGGGACATGTTTTATCTCCTCAGGTCGTAAGCTCCTGGAAGGTGGGGCCTTGTCTTGTCCTGGCCTGCAGCCTAGGAAGGGGCAGGACATGTTGCGCCCAGTCAGGATGCGATGACAGTGCTGGTAGCTGTACGTGCCTTGGACCTTATTCTAGGGAAATCCCCGGACCCTGTCTGACACACACTGTGAGCTGAGCGGGAGGCCCCTCAGAGCTCTGAAGGCAAGGCTTCCAGGAGGAGAGGGTGTTGGACCTTGGCCTTCATGATGGAAGGGATTCATTCAAAGCTGTTGGGGAAGGGCGGTAGCAGCGGCAGTGGGATGCGCGCGTTCGGGCTGGTGCAGTGAGCCGGGCTGTCAGAGAGAACGGAGGGTGTGTCCTTCCTGTGTACTCCTGTGACCGGGCTCCATGTAGCCCTTCAGCTTCTTACCTCTACAAAGCAGTGCTTTCCTGCCTCGGAGATAAAGCTCGGGTGCCCCCTCCTCTACATCCTCCCTGACGGTCCAGGCCGGATTGTGTTTGTTTCCCCTGTGTGTCCTCCCACACTGCCCTTTGTCACAGCCTGTAGTGGGACTGTTTTTGGGTCCCTCACCCCCACTCAGCTGTGAGCCCACTGCGGGCAGGATGGCCCCTCCCTCACCTCTGCACCCTCAGTGTCTGGCACAGGCGCTGAGGAGAGGGCTGTAGACATGGAATGTGAGTTACTGCTGAGGCAGGAGGGAAGAAACACTTGGGTTGGGGAGGAGGCTCTGATATTTGAGCTTCATTCTATGCGATGGATGGATTTTGAGCTGGGGAGCACTTCTTGGAAAGAGGCTTTTTAAATGGTAGCAGCCCACAGGATGGATCAGTGCAGCGAGGGAACAGAAGGGGGGTCACCGGTTACAAGGCTCTGCTGCATCATAATGCTCTCGTTTGTTCAAATGTGAACTGGATAGCCAAATGTTCTTTTTCTTTGGAAAGATGAAGTCCCCTCGCTGCCACACAGCTTTTAGGGAGAGCAATAAGATTTACCTGAGAGGTGGGAGCAGTGTTTTCATGACATCCTTCCCCGGCTTTTGAAATAGGCTGACAGATGGTACCCTGTCACCTGCATGCAGGCAGTTTCCACGAAGAGATTCAGTGCATCAGCCATAATGATCTCCCTGTGAATCCCATAGTACAGCTTTTAAAACCTTGGGTTTTAAAGCACACTGTTGTGGTAGGGGAATGGGTGCAACGCAATTGTTGAGTCATTACAAGCTCTTCAAAGAGTCTCTTACTTGAAGAAGAGGAAACCCATGCCACTGGTAGCGTCAGGACCCTTGCTCCTGTGGTCATGGGTTTTGTTAGGAGTCAAGGAGCGAATTTTGATGGTTTTAAGGTCAGTTTAGGAAAACTTAAAATTTGCCCCAGACCAAGGGTCCGCCGCCCCGCGCAGCCCCTGAGGAGTGCGTCTGTGCTCCTCGGGTAAGTGTGCAGCGGCGGCCGCCGTGGGCCTGGTTGGTGTGTACGAAGCACCTGAGCCCTTCAGGAGGCTGCGCTGTGGCAGATGGCCCCACCTCAGGCTCTGCAGGCCAGACTCGGATCATCCGCTGAATGCCGGGAGGCAGCCCCACCGCTGGTGTGAGGTGGAAAGCGCTGTCTGAGTTGTTCTTTAGGTGTGCACCGGTCCCTGCGTTCGAGGTGGTCTTGCAGTCAAGGTCTTGGATTCTGAGTCAGTCAGATAGAGACCCCCCCATCCCCCACCCCCACCTCCGAGAAGGAAGGACAGAAAAGTGGAGCCCTTGAGGACATCCACTGTGGCAGAGGCCCGTCAACCCCCTTCTGCCTTCGAGGGAGCTGAAGTACCACGTCGCTGCAGGGTGTAAGCACGGAGAGGGAGACCGGATGTGTGGGTGAGCTGGCTGCAGCCATGTCTCCGCGTCCCTTGCTGAGCAGGGATGTGCAGGGAAGTAGGCGAGGGCATGTGGGCAGTGCCAGAGAATGGGAACGTTGAGCCTCCCAGGTCTCCACTTCTTTACTGTAAGATGGAGATACCAATGCTGGGCCCGCAGGATTGTTGTGAGGCCTAACGGAGATGATGGATATTAAAGAACCATCCTCAGGGCCTGGCCCCTGGTTGCTCGGGCCTGATGTGTTCCCGGAACCGACGGGACCATACAGGAGAAGGCGACTTTCAGGCACTGGTACACGGCGCTGCCTGGGGCCCAGGGGCTGGCTGGGGTGGAGAGGGGGCCCCGAAAGCAGCTCCAGCCAACCTGGCGAGTTCATCAGTGGGAACCACAAGGCACAAAGCAAATGGCGAGTCTCGAGTGATCTCTTCCTGCGTGCTCTGTCCTCTGAGAACTTTTCCTTTTAGTAGTTTAGAAAATGCTGTGTGTGGGTGTGGTTTAATTATAGTCTCATTTTTCAAGTACAGCAATAGAAGGATGTGTTTTTCTCTTTAGCCACACATTAGTTTCTTCAAAGAGCGCATCCCAGTCTGCAATTTCCAGGGTTCTGAAGTATTTTTCAAACAAAGTTGTTAGTCTCTTTGAAATCCGGGCTCATGTGCTGCTTTTCAAATAGCAAATGACAACATGCAGGAGAGGCAGGAGGACCTTTTGCCCAACTATGTTTTGTTTCATTTTGTTTTCTTTTGTCATTTCTTTCGGTCATTTTCCCTGTTGCAGACACTGGCTTTTTCAGCTGTACTCCTGTTCCTGGTAATCCCTCTTCTGAGAGCCTTTCCTAAGGGAATGATTTAAATGCAGACAAAGCTGCATGCACAGAAATGTTTGTTTCATTTATTTTTATAAAAGTGAAAAATTGGAGATGACCTAAATGTCAAAATGGGACTGGCAAGATTGTGGTATGTGCATGTCTACCATGGAATATTAATGAGGTCATTAAAAATGGTGTTTCTAAAGCAAATTTAGAAAGAGAAATGCTTACAATAAAGTTTGAAGTGAAAAATGAAGTCACAGAAATACCCTATCACACATGCCAAAATGCACGGAAAAATAATGGAGGGAAATCCAGTAACCCGTGCGTAGTGGGGACCCAAAGGGTAGTGATCTTTTTCTTGCCTCTGGTACCCATTTCCTATAAAGAGCATGCGTTCTGTTAGTGTCAGAGGTTTAGGGAAGGACAGAGAACCTGCGCCCAGCACGGCCTTGTCATTGCTTTCAGAGTCAGCACTGTCTGTCGCCTTCCTATCACAGTGAGCGATAAGGAGCCTGTCGTCTGAATTGTGTTCGGTAATCCTCCTTTAAATATCCAGGATTGTTATAAAGAGTGGTTAAACAAATGGAATAGTGTCTCTGCAAATGTATGAGCAAGAGATTATTATGGAACACTCTTTGAAAATGTTTTCCTTCTTCTTAATGCTATTTCTGCTTCCAGGAAAATCAGGAGGAGCGGAAATTAGCACCCAGAATGAACGGATGGAGAGGTGAGTGTGGAGCGCTTCGTGGGCCTGGTTTGCCTGCCGGCTTTTTTAGTATGCCAGCTCCCTCCCACGCTGTCAGCCCTGCTTCCTAGAAAGGAAGCATAAACACCTGTGAGACCGAATGGCCACACAAAACCAAGGGTCTGTGCTGTGTATCATGCAGCCTTCATTCCGTTGTTTTAGGTTACCTGTGGCATTTCTCTGTCAGGTGATGTGACCCAGACAACACATCCTCCCGCTGGCACCTGGTTACCTGCAGAATAAATTCCAGACTCCCTAGTCTGACGTTTGAGGCCCTTTGGTCTGAGCCGCGTTTCCTTTCCGCCACGTAGCCCCTGCTTCAGTCTTCTCTGACTTTCCTCCGGGCCATGACCTGGCACAGCTGCACACTCTACCTTCTTCCTCTTGGAGTTTGAAAGTCCTTCTTCAGAGTCGGTTCATGTGGACATGGACCTGGCTCCTCCTGACAGCCCCTTCTCCCCAGGACATGCCAGGATCAGTTATTCTTCCTGTAGCACTAACTCATCACATTACAGAGCTTACCACATGGTTTGGTAATACTTGCTGCATTTATCTTTGGCCTGCAGAATTCCTTGAAAGAGGAAAGGAGCTAGCATTAATTGGGTGTTCACATTCAATAGTTCTGACCCTGTACGGCGAGCAGTATTCTCATTTTTGGATGAGGAGCCTGGGGGTCACAGTTGCCTACTTGCCATTAAGAGGCAGAGACGAGATTTGAACTTGAGCCTGTTGTACAGTACTCAAATGCCTGAGCTGTTATTATTATTCCACATTGCCTTTGGAGGGCAAATACTGTGTTTTTACACACCTTTATACCTGCTCCAGCCCCACGTATCTGGCATGTAGTTGGAATTAGAAGATATCCACGGGATAAATGGGTTGCATGCTTTCTTAGCTTGCCTCTACGGCCAACTGGAAACGTCAAGGCCTTGCCCTCCTCTGAGTACTTGTTAAAGGTCCTGAATGCTGTTAAGTGCTATGGATGCTTCTTTCCTCTCTGGGTTGGTAGCCCTTTGGCCTCCTGGGGGTAAAATAAAGAAATAGCAACCAGGCTGGGGTGCGGAATTTTGGTTTTTAGTGGCACCATGAAAGCCATCAGCACCATTAGGGCAAGCAGGCAGGAAGCCGTTGTAGTCACTGGAAGGCATTTTATCAGGGCATCTGTGACATTAGAAGAAATACTCCTCTCCCACTGTAGTGTGCCCGGTTCAACCCTCCACTTCCATACTTAAAATAACAGGCTGCCTCCCATTGGCAGGCTGCGGGAGGGCGAGGAAGGCCTCCCAGACTGGGGACAGTCTTCAGTGAGGTCTCAAGGCTGAGAGCGAGGGCTGAGGCTGTTAGGGCGAGCGTCCTGCTCGAGGCGAGGGAGACGTCGCCCCTCTGAGCAACGTGGTTGGTGCATGGAATGTGAGGGTCACAGCTAGAGAGGTGGGCAGGGCCTGGTGAGGCTGCTCCGGAGTCCAAACTGTTCTGAAGAAAGAGGAAAGTCCTCGAAGGAGGGTAGGTTGGGACAGGACATGATCAGGTTTGCTGCTTTGAAAGGCTTCGGTGGTTCTTGGAGAGTGGGCTGGAGGGAGGCAGGGAGCAGCCGCCTCAGCCATGTGTCACCCTTTCCATTTCTGACAGGTTTGTTTCTTCCCTCTGTTCTACCTTTTTCAGCTGTAGGTTTAGCACTCACATGGGTCACTCCTAAGCTAATTAAATGGGTGTCCTTGGCCCATTCCGCACTTCTGCAAGGCAGCAGCAAGCCCACGCATCCATCATGCTGTCGGAGCAAAGTTGCATCTGGTGTTTACCTGTTAATGAATGCGTTGCAGCTTTGGAGTCCTTTGCTCTTGTCTGAGCTTATGAATAATGAGACAAGAAGTAATAGGAAAAAGTGAGAGGGAAAAAAAAGAGCTTAAATTAAGGAGCTTATCTATAATGGAGATTCACATGGGCTTTTTACAGAGTTCAGGATGTTTTTCTTCACGGCTCAGGTCGCCCTTGGGAAATGCAGGTTAATAAGCAGCTGATTGCCAGAACGGTGATCTTGGGACGTGCTGGGGACCACCAGGGGCCTGAGGTCTTTAAGCCTATAAGGCCACTTCCTGGGTTTGGGTTGGCCTCCCACAGTCTCTGGGGGTCTTGAAGGGAGACAGACCTGGGTTCGAACATGAGCTGTGTCGCTTGGAAGCTGTGAGATGACGGTCAAATTTATGATGAGCCTCAGTCTCCCCAGCTCTGAGTGAGGGTCCTCCTCCTTACTACAGAGGGTTTCTGCGAGTAGGATGGGACGCCTGACATGCCTGGCCGGGCACCGGCATTTGGCAAACAGCTGTCATTGGCTGATGGCCTCTCTTGGGCCTCTCCCCTGTCAGCCAGGTGGTGGCTTCCCCTTCTGCACTGGCTCCAAACTCAAGCCCACTGAGCCCATTTCATTTTCAGAATGTCTTTGCTAATATCTGCTCTAGGGAAGCCAAGGGGCTCCAAACCAGTGGTGCAGATAAGTGGGGGTTACAGAGGGCCCGGTAACCTTAAGTGTTCTTTGGTCAAGGCCCTGGCTTGGGATCTTTGCGTGGAACATGATTTCTCTTTCAATCCCAATGGCTTAGGGTTGAGGAAGACAGCTTAACCTACCAACACATTCTGCCCGAGTCCCCTGAGCCTTCAGACTCTCATGCGTTGTCCGATGGGGACATGTCCGATAAATCCTCCTGCTCCCGAGACCAGAAGCAGGACAGCGAGACCGAGAAGACTTCAGTCGTGGCGAACAACTTTTCTCAAGGTAAGCTAAGCTTTACGAAGCATTTCAGCACAGCCAAGGTTTCCTGGTTTAAACAGAGATTTGTCATCTTGCCTTAGTAAGCAAAGTGTAGTGACATTTGAATATTTCTCTGATGAAAGGAGATCCTGTGAGGGCCACAGCTGGTCGTTCAGAGTGTCATTTATCACTGGGAAAAGCTTTGGTTGTTGAAAGTGTTGGTGATTGGGGGAAGTCACTTTCAGTTTTAAATGATGACTGATTGTATGACTTGCCATTTCCTTGCTCTTCGAACAGTGGCGGGCTGGAAAGTGCAGAGCTTAGGCATCAGTTCCACCTCTGGTTAATTTTTTTTTTTCGTTTCTTTCAAAACCTTCCTAAGGCAGGGGCACTTCAAAGACTCTTCTGCTTTGAATTGTTCAGGTGCCAGAGATCACCTAACCCTGTCTGGACATTTCGTAATTCTGTAAATCTGCTGTGTTTCTCTTTTGTGTTGCCCTTGGCCCACAGGTCAGCCCCTGGTCCCGCCTCTGACCATGGAGCCGTGGGCTCAGCCGCCAGAATCGGCCTCCCAAGGCCCCGCCTGCCCCGAAGCTGCCCTTTACTTCTGTATTTGCAGTCTCTCTTACCTCCTGTGGGGCCATTAGGTAGGGTATTTTAGAAGTTTAAGGAATGGTATAGGCCAAAACGGAGAGATCAGGCATCAGCACTCCCTATAAAAGGCCAGATAGTAAATATTTTAAGCTTTGCAGAGCATGTGAGTTCGTTTGGGATTACCGAGTCCTGATGCTAGAGCAAAAAGGAACCATAGGTAGTATGTAAATGAACGACGTGGTTGGGTTCCAATAAAACTTGATTTAACAAAACAGATGTGGGTGTATTTGACCCAGGGGCCATAGTTTTCTGATCCCTGAAATAGACTCTGGACCTCAACCGACATCTTCTGGCCTCTCTTCTAGTGGGTTCTTTGCAAGGTGTCCAGAGTGGACCCAGAGCCCATGTCAGACACTGGAACTTCCTTGCTAAAGTTCTTTGTTGACACCTGATTACATAGAACAGTGGTTTTCAAAAACTTTAGATCTTTTTTTTTTTTTATCAATACCCGATCCCCTGTTGTTTTTTTTTTTTTTTTCTTTCAGATGAACCTTTACATGTAGCTCCAGTATATAAAAGAATACGGGTGGAGGCTTTGTCCCCCGTAGTGGCCTCTCGGGCTCCTCTGGGACACTCAGGGCCCCGAGGAGAGCAGTTTGAAAACACACCCAGGGCGGGCAGTGCGCCTGCTCGATGCGACTCAGGTCTCGGCTGGGGTCGGCCAGTAGCCCGTTGCCTCCGCGTGCTCTCTTTGGGTTTCTGGCCGCGCCCCGCTGTGGTTTCTGTGAGTTCCTGCGCACCATCTGCCTTCCTCTCATCTAGGTCAGCCCACGAATTGTTTTGTCCCCAGTGTTTCCTCCTGCGCTGTGTCAGCTCACCGTGGAACGCAGCCCCTTGGCCAGAATCCCCAGGACCACTCCCTTAGGGCTTGAGAGGAGGAGAATTAAAAAAAAAAAATTGTTGACACTGTTACAGATGTCCTCCGTTTGCCCCTCCGTGGCCCACCGCCACCCAGCCCCGCCCCCTCCCGGCCTTCACCACACCGCTGGCCGTGGCCGTGGCCGTGGGCTTTACATCTATGTCCTTGCTAAGCCCTCACCTTCTTGCATCCAGTCACCCCCACACGCGGGAGGAGCCGGCCTGATGGGGGCGAGGCCTGGGGGCCGGGTTCACAGGGCAGCGAGCCTGTGTGCTGGCATGGCAGTGTTGGAGACCCCTGCTCTTTGGAAGCCCCCTGCCGTGGTAGTGGGCGTGTCCCACTTTTTCCTCTTCCTCCTCCTCTTTTTTCTAGTCTCCACCCTCTCCACCACACCAGCTTCTGTTTATTTGCCATGTGGAACCATTCAGGCATCTTTTATTTCTGATGCTCCTGAGGCCCCATGGCCTGGGGCCCACCACACCCTCGTAGGGGGTCCCTGGGCGTTTTCCTGTGTGGGGACAGTACGCACTGGAACCGCCCTGAGAAACCCGCTGTTCCCTTTCTCAGTTTGCCTTCAGGCTTTGAGTCTTTGCATCTGTTTTTTCCTTTTGTCATATTTATACTCTGAATAAGAGATAATTTTGCATTTTCCTTTTTTCACTTAACATTGTATCACAGGCTTTCTGACACGTTGTTACATAACATCATTGTTAGTAGCTTTAGATTAGTTCATTGAATGGCTGAACTGCAGTTTTTCTTGTGTTCCCCTGTTGTGAAACATTTAAGTCATTTCTAAAATTTCACAGTTTTGAACAGCACTGTAGGGAACATCCTTGAACATGGAGCTCTCCCCATATTTGGGGGGTATTTTCTTAACCTAGATTCTGTAAATTGGAACTTCTAGGCAAAAGATGAGCACAAATATTTTTGGTGGTTGCTTTTTAACAGGATTTATGGTTTTAAAGAGCTAGCCATTGTCAGAGGATATTTATCCTAAGAGGGACGATATTTTTCTCCCGCTTTGTAAAGGCGAGTATAGTGTTTCCTTCTCCTCGGTGAGGGCTGCATAATTAATAAGTGGTGTCCAGTTCGACTGGGAATGTTTCCTTAAGCCCAAGTGGCGACTTCAGCTCCCAGACAGATTCCGTGGAAGATGACTTGTACCGATGGCTGCTGAGCATCATTACCTGAGAAGCCAGCAGCGTGTGACGTGGGTAAAGCAGCAAGGCAGGCTGCAGGCCGCGCAGACCAGCTCCCGGCTCACTGCGACTGGACTGGCCTCTGGGAGGTGTGCAGGGCAGCAAGGCTGGAGCGGCAGGTGCGGTGACGTGACGTGACGTGCCCGGAGTCTGTGGCGGACGGCCCTTCCGTGCTGGGCTGCAGTGAGGGCCTCGGTCAGGCATTCCAGCAAATGACTTGCCACGCTTGTGGCATTAATGGGAGATAGCTGAAGGTTTGGGAATTAAGTCATCTCATAAACATTTAGATTCATGGCGAAATTACTATTTAATTAGGAAAAGATCTGTAACATTGTACTACTTTTAAATGAAAGTCATTTTGGAGGAATTAAAACTGGGTCATAGCATTAGTATAATGTTTTAAAATAAACATTCCTAAGACATACTGAGTATACCCTAATTGATGAATTAAAGATATTAGTTTTGCCTTTGGATACTTAATGTGATTCTGCTTTAAACACTGATTCTAGAAACTTACCTCGAGGTTGGAACTGTGCTCCTTTCTTTTTAAAGTGAGGGGAGGTTTGGCAAGAAGCTAAAAAATAATATATGCTCATTTTAGAAAACATGGAAAATTAAAATTTTTATATACTTTATTATTAAATATAATATTAAGAAGTGATACAGGAATTTTGAAAAACCTAAAAAACTACCCAAAGGCAACCTCTGTTACTATGTAGGTGTATTTTCTTTATTTGCGTATATGTGTTTTTCCTGTCTGCAGATTTTTTAATGAGTTATGATTGTACTGATAACCCATATTGTATCTATATTTTTCTATGATATTATCGGGTCTTCATAATATAATTTTAATAGCTACATAGTACTACGTCGTAATGGATGTAATACAATTTATTTAATAATTTGAGTTATTTTCAGTTATTACTCTTATATACAGTGCCAAAAAGAACATTTTCATGCCTTCTGGCAAATGGTTGTCAGCATCTCTGGTGACCTCTTTAAATCAATTTCTAGAAGTAGTCTTTTTTGGGAAAAGACATTGGAAAGAACCTTTCTTTCTAAAGCTAATGATAAAAATAACCCCCAGAAGTTTCATATATTGATACTCATGCTAACGGGATGTATTCTTGAGAATACCCTTCTCACCATTCTCACTAACATTGAGATGACTGTTTTTGTTTTTAAGTCTGAAATTAGTAAGTAATAAATGGATAACATTCCTTTCAAAGAATTAGTCCTGAAAATATCTGGATTCATAATGAAGATAGTATAATCAACTCTCAGGCAGTTCAGGCAGACTTGAAAGCGATCTGTTAGTTTCACCATAAGGAAGATTTTAAATTAATATTTGATATTTAGAAGAATAAAGGGCTGCATTAGAGTTAGCATTAAAATTGTATGGAATATAATCTTTCCGTGTGATGTAAAATATCTTCCTCCTGGAGACTGCAGAGAGTCATTACAGAACCGTGTCTGTGGGCCATAGCTCAGCCTCCCCATATGGGCCTGGGAGAGAAGTGCCTTCGCTGACTATCTTAATCCATCCAGGACTGTTGTAATCTCAAGATCACTGCATAATCTAGAAATTATTCGCTTTGTTAGGGTCTTCAGACTTTAAATTAAAAATGTCCTTCCTGTAGACCTACTAATGGAACATATACAAGAAATTCGAAGTTTGAGAAAACGTTTAGAAGAATCTATAAAGACAAATGAGAAACTACGGAGACAGCTGGAACGGCAAGGGTCTGAATTTGATCAAGGTAAGAAGGACCATCCCAAAGTCAGTGCAAGCCCATGAGTGCTTCATTTGTGACACATTGGCCAGGATAAGCATTCCGTGTATTGGGAAGAATACTGGACTTGTGGCCAGAGATATTTCAGTTCAAGTCTTGACTTTGCTGCTTACTTCCAGGGTGCTTCACGTAACCTTGCTGACTCTCAGTTATAGTGATTTGTCTACAAAATAGGGATAATAATTTCCATTTTATCCTGTTGCGATGAGAATTACGTGCGCTAACTTAAGTAGAGTGCCCACAGTCCCTGACACAGCAGTTGGGTGATAGACGTTAATTTCCCGGTCACTGGAGAAGTCTGCGAGCCTCCGACAGGCCAGATTGTGGTTGGCTCCTCATTTGCCTTTGAAAGCTGTGGAGAAATAGGTATTTTAAAACAAAACAAAGCAGTATTTTGTCTTTTTGTTAATAATAGATTATAAAAATATTAGCATTTTAGCAGTCTGTAAATCTCACATGTCAATCAAAAGGTTATCAATAGTGCTTCATAGCCACAGTTAGCTCTGAACGGAATATTCTTCCGTGAAGAATTTTAAAATACATATTTTTTCCTATAAGGAAGACATTCACGTGATTCAAAAGTCAACACCTGCGCCCATCAACGCCGTCACCCCTTCTCCCTCCCCGCTCCTGCTCATCCGCTTAAACATGGTTTTCATGTAAAGACAAACATACGTTCTTATTCCCTTTCTTACTTATCCCAAAGGTACTGAATACGTTACAACGCTATTCTGGCCCCCTTTTTTCTTCGAACAATACATTTGGGACATCTTCTCTTACTGCTCTAAAGAGAGTGTCCTCATTCCATGGAGAATGTGTTTTGAGAGCGGCCGTGGGCATGAGGAAGAGCCCGAGGTTGTTTGGGACTGGACTGCCCGGGTGCGGATCCCGGCTCTTCTGTTCGTTAGCTTCGTGACTTTGGGCAAGCCCCCACCTCCGCCAATTTAATCACCTTCTGAGAGTCCCCAAGGTTAAATGAGGCAGCGTGTGTGCGGCCTTGCTCACTGCTCCTCTCAGGAAGTGGCTGTTTTCCTCACCAGTATCAGCTTTATCTTACCATTGTGTTTTGTATGACATTGCTAGTTTCACATTGCAAAGCTCTGCAAAGATACTAAATTCTAGAAGGATGCACTCAACGGTAGCGCTTGAATCCTTGGCTTCCTAGTCCAGTTCTCGTTCCTCCCCAGCCCATCGCAGCCATCAGCCTAGAAGGACGTCTTTTCAGAGTGCTGCGCCTGCCGCTCTTTGGTTCAGGATGGTTCCCTTTCTCTCTCTCCCTCCGCACTCCTCATCCTGCATCCTCTGCCTCTCACCCCCAGGGAAATTTATTAATCTGAGTTATTAGTCATATCAAACACAGGGAAGAAATACACGCCTGGGCCCTTCACATTCACTCTTGGTAATGCCTGAATTAGATTCATTCTGTTTTACATTTTCCCTGGCAAATCCAATTATAGAATTATTTGGGGGCTCAAATGGCCACCAGCTATAATGGAGCAGGCAATTGCTCTGGAGAGTAATTCACTTTGACAGGAAGATTTACAAAGAGGCATTCATAAAGGAGGTGCGCTGGTGGAAAGACACGCTCTTCTCACCGTGTTGTCACAGCCTCTGAAGAGACAAAGAAACAAATGGGGCTGCGCCTCCCCCCGCTGTGAAGTGTTTCCTGTGGGAGCACGTCTGAGAAGGGCACGGCCCCTTGTAATGTTGAGGTGGACGGCTGTCGAAAGCTGTCCTCTCATGTGTCAGATCTCCCGGCTTGTCACCAGTTCCGTGAGCTGACAGTGATGGCTGTCGGGGGATAGACGGGCTCCGAGCATCAGAAGTGGACCCCGCTGGCTCGGGCTTTGTCAGGAACTGCTCTTTGGCCTGACTCTTCCTTCGAAAAGTGACCATCTTAGCTGTGGTCCTAGTCGACTTCTCTAGAATTTTTCCTGCTCGTCCAGATTGCTCCTCTGTTCCTTTGCGACTCCGGCCTCTCATCAGTCGTGACATTCATACAAATGGTAATTGCAGTAATAATAACTTCCATCATTGTTATTGAGCTAATGGAGACTGAGGGAAGCTAGGTGCCTTGCCTTAGGTCATGCAGCTATTAAGAAGCTGGAGCCGTGGTTCAAACCCAGGTGTCTCTGAAAAGCCCCAGAATCCACATAGAGTGGAAGACGGTAAGGAGAGATGTAGGTGAAGTAAACACAATAGGCATTGTGGCAGGTGAATCAGCATGAGAAAAAAGAGTGTTGTAGAGAGGAAAAGAGTGTGAACTTTGGCTCTGGGAGACTGATGTCGTACCTTCCTTATGGGGACTGTGGAAACTCCAGGTGGTCAGTTGTGTGCCGGGATGCTTTTAGCTGCGGGTAGCAAAATAGGAGGACAAACCGGAGTAGACAAAGGAGATTTATGTTTCCTTACAAAGCAAACCCAGAGGCAGGCAGTCCAAGGCGGGCTTAGTGGCGCAGCGACAGCAGGCCTTGGGGTTAGTGCCTGTGACGGCGGCAGTAGCTATTCACGTCACAGCCTCTCAGGACAGTGTCCAGGGCATGGGACGGAAGAGGGTGTGGCTTCTCCCTGTCCTCCTCGTTTCTCCTGGGTAGGGAATCTTCCCCGGAATGCCCCAGCGGCCTGCCGGCCCAGCCTCCCTGAGAGAAGTAGACCAGCGCCGTGGCCTAGCTGCGCCGGAGGCGGGGAAGGCGGAGGCTGGCATTTGGCTCTGTGGTGGGGTGGACTCAATCCATAAGGAAGCCCGGAGGGAAGCATGTCCCCCTACCTGTAGAAGGCACCTTGTACACCAGTGGCACTCTGCAGAGGGTGCTGTGGACAGAAACATTATATGCGGTGCAGACATAGAAGGCTCAGAGGACAGGGAGTGTTGGGATGAAGTGTCAAAGAGGTGTCTGGCCAGACGAAGGGGTAGGGTTTCCAGAGAGAGACCACAGCCTGGGGAGGTGTTTACAGATGAGGAAACCGATTAGAGTTAGGACGTGACCTCAGACCCAGTCTGTCTAGCTTCAGATCTGCTCTTGTTAGCATACACTTAGAGGCGGTGAATTTAAGCTAAAAGTTGAAAGATAAGTGTGATTTTGACAGGGGAAGTAGGGGGTAGGCATTCTAGGCAAAAGGAACGCCTCATTCTACAAAGCGAGGGAGATGTGTGACCACACAGTGCTTTCGGGACGCAGAAGTGGCCCAGTTTGCCAGTGTTTGAGGGCCCCTGGGTGGAGAGGCAGGATTTGGAGCTGAGTAATGGTGATCTGAAGTCTGGACCGGTGTTCTGCTTTTTGCTTGTTGTCTATGGTGGTGCCGTCCATCACAGGGTTTGAACAGAGAATAACACGAATGGGCCGTGTTTAGGATGATAACCCCATCGGCAGAGTAGTCGGGAGGGAAGATGGTCAGGCCTGAACTGTAGGGACAGAATAGAGTGGACCGGCGTCCAGGCATTTGGAGGAAGACTCAGCAGCTGTGGTTGTGTGACTGCGCAGTGGAGGGGGCCGTGTTTGGGCTGGCTCCCAGGTTTCTAGCTGGGGTTAGGGCCAGTGGCAATACTATACTGTCCATTGGCAGGGCTGGAGAGGGGAGAGGGCAGGTTCGGAAGGGCGACCGGGGCACAGTGAGGAGTTCGGCTTCGGCTCTGTGGACTGGGCGAGGTCCTGCCGGCCGCCGCATATGTGGGGTTGGGCCTCTGGAGAGACACCTGTGGAGGTTAAGGCTGTCGCCCACTCACCCCAGCGCAGCCTCGGTCTCATCCTTTGTGCACCCTTAGGACAGGTAAGGTGTGGGGAAGCCCCATCTTGTCTCCTCTTTCTAGCTCACTCTTATTTCCTTTGGACTCTGGGAACACCATATGTAGTACACATGAGTGATTTTAAGCGTATGTTGTGTTTCTTCATTATTTAAAACTGTTTTCTAGAAACTTCTGTACTGACCTGGAGACTCTGCATTAATCACTATGTATGTGTTTTTATAGGTTCTTCAAATATTTTTGTTTGTGGTTCAGAGCTGCATAACTCTCTGACATCAGAAATTCGTTTCCTGAGGAAGCAGAACCAGGCCCTCAATGCGATGCTTGCCAAAGGATCCAGAGGTGAGCACTGAAGGAGGCAGCCGCCGCCGGGGGCTCTGGAGTCCGACTGACCTGGGTTTGCGTCCGGTGGCTCTGTGACTTTGGGCAGGTCACATAACCTCTCTGAACCTCAGCATTTTTAGCTGTAAAATAGGACTACGTCATTGGGCTGTTGTGACAATTAAACCCCCTGTAACCCTCAGCTCAGTACCTGTTACTTTCTTTACTTGCTGCCCATCCCTCTACAGCTGCCTCTCTCTTGTCTTAGGTCACAGTGGAAGAGAGAGGGCCTGGGAATATTTACTGCCACATCTCAGTCAGAGATTTCCTACTATCAGGAATGTTTTTTCAGTATTTCTTACAAAGATTGCTTTTCTTAATTCCTTCTGTTCAGAGCTTAGCCTCCCAGTAGCTTTTGTTTACTTTACCTCTCAATACTTAAAATGGTTCTGGAAGGATACATTATTAGTCCTCTTTTACAGGTAAGAAAACTGAGGCCTTAGGAGTTGACCGAATTGTGGTCACAGAGCTGGAACTTGGGCCAGCCCATCTCACTTTCCCTAGAGGTTTTGGTCTGAGAGATGAAATTCGGGCTTCTGCAGGCCATTCATTCACCCGGCACACAGCCCTGGCTCCGGTGCTATGTCAGGGCCCATGTGGATCCTGAAGAGAAGTGAATGAGCACAGGTCTGCTGGGAGGCCCAGCCGGCAGCCGCTGCAGGCCAGGCTGAGGGCCGGCCTCCGTGGTTGGGGCGGCTGGGGAGCTGCCGGACCCTGGAGATGGCATCCGACCGGGGAAGGCTGGTCTTCAGCAGCGGGGTCTGGAAGGATAAGCAGGGATTAACCAAGGTGCCAAAGATTTAGAAGAGCCAGAACCTTTTCGGTAGAAGAAAGAGCGCACACAGAGGCCTAGGGGTTAGAGATGGGGCGAGCGTAGACCAGTCAGGAATTACAGGAAGCTAAATGGGGCTGGAGTCTGAGGAAGGTGGAGAAATGTGCTTGGAAGTTAATGTGTTGAGGTTGAGAGTGGAATCAGGAAACCTGGGTCTGAATCCCGGCCCTGCACTTGGTGGTGGTGTGATCTCAGGGAAAGTCTTAACCCCTTCGCTCCTTATTTTCCTGTCTGGAAAATGGGGGGAATACTAGCACCTATCTTGGAGGTTTGCGATGAAGAATAAGGTGACACATATAAAGATCTTAATGCAGTGCCTACAGTTAGCTGCTCCCAGCTCTGCTGGCAGCTCGCCTGGTGGGGTGCCCATGGCCTGCAGTGTGCTTGCGAAGGCCCGCGCATTTAGCTGCGTGGCTAATCCTCATAACGGCACAGACGAGGAAACTGAGGCACAGAGGAGTGAAGAAACTCACTCAAGGCTTTGGCGTCAGTAGGCGGGAGAGCACTTGCATGTGGCCCTCTACTCCGGCCCTGGGTGTGTCTTACTCCTCAGGGGAGGTGCTGCCCTCGGAGCCTGGGGGGTGAGCGGGCCCTGGCTGCCACCTGCCACCTGCACAGCCCTGCGGGCCTGGCGGGCGGGAGGCTTGCGGCCTTTCCCAACACCCAGCGCCAGAATTTGGGGCCTGTTTCTTGCCTCTGTCTGTAATTTCTACCCACTGTTTGCTCTGTGAAGGCAAAGTAACTAGGTTTGCACAGCCCATTATTTAATAGAAAATTAAACAGGCCCATTTCATCCCAGTGACGTTTAATCTGCAGCCTTGATGTTGACAGATTTATCTGCCCAAAATGCATAAGATAATTGGAATGCCAGAACCATAAATGCCAGATTAAATCTCATTCTCTTTTGTATTCTTGGAGTGCTCGAGCTGAAGTGCTGTATTTGCGTAATAAGGTTGGAAAAAACAAATGGTGTCTCTTCTCAGTGGCACGTTTTGTGTTTGCAGATAAACAGAAGGAGAATGAAAAATTACGAGAGTCCCTCTCCAGGAAGACTGCGAACCTTGAGCACCTCCAGCGAGAGTTTGCCTGTGCGAAGGCGGAGAACGAAAGGCTGCAGCGGGAGGCGGGCCAGAGGGAGAGGCACAGCCAGCAGCTGCTGCAGGAGCTCTGTGATGGCCGCAGCGAGCTGAGCAGGTAGTGGTCCGGTGCACCCGCGTCCTGGGGGCCGTGCGGGCGTCTGCGCGCTGGGCTGCGGTCATGGGGCAGGGCAGCCAGCCCCTGCCCTGGTGCACAGGGACAGCAGTAAGCCAGCAAGCCCCAAAACACATAGTTCATCAGGTGGGAATGAAATATGGGAGAGGCCATTGGAGGAAGGAGGATGGGGCCTGGGGGGCAGACTGCGTTTTTTTCCAGGGCGAGTCAGGGGCGGCCTCTGTAGAGATGCCGTTTGAGAAGTGAGGGCGTGAGCTCTGCAGTATCTGGCGGAGGATCGTTGTCAGAGGCCGGGGAACGGGCCCTGAGGCAGGTGTCCTTGGCCTCCGCAGGGCAGAGCAGGGAGGCCAGTGTGGCGGAGGGAGAGGCCATGGTGCGGGCGAGGGCAGAGAGGTGGGTGCCGGATCACATAGGACCTTGTCATGTGCTGAAGGCTTTGGTTTTTACTCTGAGTGACATAGGAAGGTTGGGGAAGATTCTAAGTAAAGGAGAACATGAATCTGACTTAGATTTTAAAGGGATTGTACCAGCTCCTCTTTGCAGTTTCCCCTTAGACCCTGTCTTGTCCCCCATGTTTTCCATCTTTCCTGTCGGCACTCCTGAGTGTCTGGCTCTTTTAGAGTGACCGACATCACCCTCAGTCACCCAGGGTGGCGCAGTGATTTAGCGAGATCAGTGCCTTTGCCATCACACAGCCCTGGCTCCTCCCCTGGGCTGTGCATCCTGGGAAGGATGTATCCTTGGAGCTTCGCTGCCTCCTCCCTGAGTTGGGGATTAGCTAGCACGTTCCTTTTCGGGGGTCTCTGAAGATTACATAAGATAATGTATGTGAAGGGCTGGGCTCAGAGGGGCACTCGGGAAGTGGTGGCTGTGGCTGGAATTCTTAGCCATGCTTGTCATTCTTGTCCACGCTCTTCTAGCTTGAGGGCCGAGTTGACTGCCGGCGGGGTTTGACAGAGCCACTCCGTTAGAATTAACCTCCCCTCCCTGGGGGCTGGGGCTTTTGCAGGGTGCGGGAGGAGCTGAAGTGGGGGCAGCAGCTGCTCTCACAGAACGACAAGATACTCCAGTCGCTGCGAGTGGAGCTGAAGGGGTACGAGAAGCTGGACGAGGAGCACAGGATCCCCAGAGGTACTGGGCACTCTGGGCTGAGGCCTTTCTCAGCCTGAGCTCTGCGTCTGGGCTCATCCAGACAGGGTTCAGTCTCCACCCTAAAACGCTGTCGTCAAACCCCTTGCTCCCCTCCCGGGTGCAGGGGTGCGTTTTGAAGCAAGCTTCTTCTGAAGGAGCCGCAGGAAACACAGAAGGCTCGGGGTCAGGCCAGTGGGGGTCTGGATGCCCCCTGCCTTGGCGCCCGGCGCTGTGGCTTCCGGCAGGTCATCTGGCCCCTGTGGGCCTGTTTCTTCCTCTAGAAAACAGGCTACTGGTACCTGTTCTGTAGAGTTATTGTGAAAATTAAATGAGATCATTTATTAAAAGCATCCTAGCACAGTACCTAGCACATAATAGGCTCTCAAGATACAACTTTTATTAAAATTTTCTCACTAGTATGTGCTGCTTTTTGGCCAGTCGGCACATGTTTCTGGAGCACCTGCTCCACCCTGGGCATTGCTCTGGAGGTGGGTGTTGGCCCTGGTCCCCTCTGTATCCCAAGAGGGACTCAGCTGTCAACTCAGATATTTTAGAATCCGTTTTGAGGTGTGGCGGAGTTGTTTTGTTTTTTTTAACTAATTTTCCAGATGGTTTCTCCCCATTGAAAGTTGATCTAGAAAAGGGTCACCTCCCAGCTTTTATTTTCTCTTCAAGTTGCTTTTCTTATTCCTGCTGTTGAGCCTTTTTAATATACTCTGGCTCTTAAAATCAGCCCCTTTCATTCTATAATTCCACCCAAATAGATTTTATTACTACTAGACATAATTTCGGGGTTTGGTGTGCAATTTGCTAGGCTTTTATGGCCAGAAGCGAAAATTAATTTCCAGCTCTTATTTAGCCTGTGGAATAGCAGCAATTAAGCCTGCCAATATTTTTGTTTTTAACGTCAAGTTGTTATTTTAAATCATACCTAGTTCTTAGGAAGGGAAGGGTGGGTGACGGTGGTGGCGGGTTTAAAACTCTGTCGCGCTCCTTTGATGGCTGACCCTTTGGTGGAAGAAGGTGTCAAGGCGTCCCTTTGCACATGTTTGCAGAGTCCAGAGCAGAGGCGTCAGGAGAAGGCGGGAAGGGACAGGACCCTTTCAGTGACCTGCATGACCTCCTGAGAGAGATCCGGGCCCTGCGGACACAGCTGGAAAGGAGCATCGACACCAACAGCGCGCTGCGGGGCCGGCTCGAGGAGCAGCTGGCGAAGGGCGCGGGCAAGACCCAGGACGCAGCTCTCATTCTGGCTCTGCAAGCCCTACCCACGCGCGAGCCCCTTCAGCCAGACAAGCCCGGTACTGCTCCCGCCTCTCCTCGCTGCCAGAGAAGCAGCCCCGTGCGGCTGTGGGGCGTGCGAGCCCCTCATGCTGCCCTTGCTCACGGAGGTGTCTGTCCGCTGTACCTGAGCACTGAGTAGCTGTCACCTTTGGCAGAATGGTGTAATCTCTGTCGGGGGCCTCCTGGTTCTCAGGGAAGTGGAGTTGGGGCTTCCAGCCGCCCCCATTGCCTCCGGCCTTACTCTCCCCCATCCATTTAGTCCTGCCCACATCCCTTCACTGCTGAAAATCCAGTCCCTCTTTCTGCCTTTGAAAGAGAAGTTAAACCTCTTATCCTGGCTGTCGGTGTTTTTCAGAATCTGAAAAGCATCCTGGTAGGTTTGAAAACTGGTTCTGTTTGGCATTTGCTTGTGGGTGTATTGTCTGGCCCAGCTGTTTAGGGTGGCAGAAAGGGGACAAGACTGTGGTCAGTCTTCGGCCACCTGCCCAGTAGAGGGCCTGGAGAAGCCGGCAAGTGGTCAGGCTCTACGCAGCTGGCCAGACCATCCCCTTTGCTCGGGAGGAAGGAACTAAGACCCTGAGAGCTGCCCAAAGTGGACACAATGAGTAGGTGGCAGAGCTGGAGCTGGAAATTGTTTCTCAGCTCTGAGGCTGGACCTGTCCCTGAAGCACCACCTGGCCTTCCAGAGCCTCCGGTGCCTGTGGGCCACCAGCCCGTCCCGGGGGACGAGGAATGTCAACGTATTTTATAAACACGTGTTGTGTGAGGGTTTGGACTCATCTTTACTTGACTCGGAAATTACGTCTGTTGCTTTTAAGTTGAAAAATCAAGATCTCTTAACGAACACCCAGTCAGCCTGCTTTAAAGCTTGTGCTGATTGGTTCATTGGTTTCTCCTAAATAAGGATTTTAAATTTTTAACCATAGAAGATGATGTGACAGTATGAAACAAAGTAGGGAAAAAAAAATCCTTCATGATCTACAAAATGACAATTTTTTACTTCGCATACTTTTTTTCATTCTGTCCTACATTTCTCGGGTGTAGGCATGAATTTACATTGTTCAGATTGGTTTTTGTGCCATTCCGTGTCCTTTCTTTGTTCTTGCCCAACATTACATCATAAATGTTTCCCCCTCCCCTCACATGGGCTGTCAGATTATTGTTTGCAGGTTATTGTCAGTCACCAAACCATTACCCCAGTGATTATTAGAGTGGTCTCCGATTTGGAGCTTTTTTTAGACATTGGTGTAAATAAGCTTTTTGTGGTTAAACAGAATTCGTAAGATAAAAATTCTACTCAGGGAATCTCAGAGAGTCCAAAGGTGCCACATTGCCACCTTCTGCATGGGGCATACATCAGCAGTGGGCATCACTGTTTCAAATACAGGCCTGTTTCCCTCTAGGGCTTTGAGAAGGGGACCCAGGAGACCGCGGGGGTGGGCTAGGGGAGACTGCAGAGGAGACAGGTCAGTGCTTAGGGCGCCCGGGAGGGAGAGCTGCGTGGCTGAGGTGAGGAGGCCCCTGAACAGCCTGCGCCTGCTGTTGAAGTTGGCCCAGGGCCAGCCCTGCGTGGGCCTTGCAGGAGGCACCCAGGAGAGAGGTCAGAAGTCATGCAGCTGCCACAGCGGAAACGCTCCCCGCTTCCCATGAGTGAAGATCGGAGCTGGACCTGGGCAGCAGTGTCGCTTCCTTTGCAGACTTCAGAACTATATTTACACGCACCTGTTGCAAAGCTGTGCTGTAAAGACTGCTGTTTCGGGCAGAAAGCATAGCATCCAGGGGCCACAGTGCGTCCTCCTGAGGTGCCTGGGCGGGAGGAGCTGGGTGGGGCATCCTAAGGCCTGGACAGTCCTTCCTGTGCCAGCATACCCTGGGGAATGCCAGCAGGTCGTGCCTGTGTCTGTCTGTCTGTCTGTCTGTCTCGCCTTCCAGGAAATCTGAATCACACTGCCATCCTGCGCACCAAGCTACTTACCACATTCCCAGGTGAAAGTGGTTTCTAAGTCATAGAAGGCGCAGGTCATCTTGTACAGTATCTCACTGATTTTGCCTCCTTACGTTGTTTCAAATGCACTGCCTCCCAAATCCCACTTTGGGTCAGTCTTCTCTCTTGCTTGGTTCCTGCGGCAGCCTCTGCGGCAGCACAGAACGCAGGTCTCAGCTGGGCACTGCCCAGCCTCCTGCCCCTGAGCGGGTCCCCACAGTGCTCACAGTTCTGGCCTGGCTCCCTGCACTCGACGGGTGAACAGCTTCTTGCTCCCTGGGTGTGTCCTGGCAGCTCACTCCTCGGTGCCTCTATATCTGCCTGTTCCTCTGCGTGTACGTCTCTCTCCCGCGGGGTTAGCACCCCTCCCACAGCCTGGGGCTTCCCTCCTGTAGCCCTGGCCACCCTGGAGGGAAACTGCCTGTTTCCTTGTCTGGACAGGAGGGTCCTTCCTGGGAGGGGACTGGGCCTGCTCACTCTTATCCCGTGTCCTGCACAGGGCCTGGCAGAGGGGGTGCCAACAAGGGCGTGAATGAATGCTGTGTGTTGGGACTTGACTGTGTTCTCCTTCAGTTCTCTCTGTGAAACATAATAAGAGTTCATTTTCCTTCTCTTGTTTTGCATTGTGTAGATGGTAACAGATGTGCCGTGGCAACTGACAGTTCCTGCGATCTGCTTGACTCCACCCTGGAAGTGCCCCCGAGATCAGGTACAGAGCGGAAGTCTGGGTTGATGACGGCAGGGTCGGGCTTGCTGGCAGGACTTTTTAAATTGGAGAAAAGGAGGTCCCTGGTCTCAGCTTAAGAGGGTGTGTGGCAGGGTTTTGGTTTCGTGTTCTCAGCATCTCTAGCTGGTCATCTCCTTCTCCAAGCCAGCTGATTTGTTCGTGGGTTGTCACCTCAGTGACATCGTCGGTCTCTGTTGGTTAAAGTGCGACACCTTCACGTGGCTTTCAAGGCCCTCCAGCAGCCAGCCTTGGGGCGGCCTGTGCAGCCTGTCTGGCCTTATCCCTGTGCCGCTGTGTTCTCATTCAGACGGGCCGCCGTCCTGCAGACACGTTCCCCCTTTCCTCTGTGCCAGCCCGCCCTTGTCGCATTCTCTGCCAGTGAAAATCCCGCTGCTTCCTCAGTGCCCACCATGATTGCGAACTTCACTGGCATCCCAGTCAGAATTATTTATCCAGGCATTTTTTTGATCCAAAAGGGAAAAGCCACAGGCTTTTACCTCTGTTTAGTGTAAATTTTTGCTGCCTGTTCAACCCAGCTCACCTGTTGCTTCTTCTAGGAAGCCTTCCCTGACCTCCCTTCCTGCACAGAGAACTGATTATTTTTTAACTCTGAGCCCCAGCCCTTCATCGCTGTGCTGCTGTATTCTGATGGGACTAGGGGCTCCCGGAGCGCAGGCACCGGCTTTATTCATCCGTGTGAACCGGGGGTCACCTGCAGAGGGGGCCCCTGGCCTGATAAGTGTTGGTTGGATTGAACTGAGCGTCTCCCACAAGATGAGTAAGCCCAGCCTGGAGTACTGTACGGACCGAGGGCCGCTCATAGCCCTCCTGGCTGGCTTCACCGTGGTTAAACGTAGCTCACGAAACTGAGTGCTGCCCCAATAGATCTGACATCTTCCCTCTCATCCTGTAGCTCCAAAGACTCCTCCACTCTCTAGAAATGACAGGGACTCCCTGTCCTGTGACAGTGGCAGCTCCACCACCAGCACCCCGCGCTTGTCTCACTTGGTCCCTGACCACCACCCGTGGGCCAGCAAGAGCGGCTGCCACGTCCTGGGCCTGATTGAGGACTACAATGCCCTGTGTGAGCACATTGGCCAGGGCCAGAAGCTCCTTGCTGAGATGGACATTCAGATCCAAGAAGCTCCCAGCCCCTCAGGTCGAGAGCTGGGAACAAAGGTAACCTGACCGACAGAGCTGGAGGGAGACAGATGCTCACTGTGGGCAGGAGTGGACCTGTCTGCTGAGGGCGCTGGGAGGCAAGGGGCGCCACGTGTCCTCAGGCACTGAAACGGGGGACCTGGAAATGTAGCCTCCAAGAGCTGAGAAGTCAGGTCCAGGCCGGGGGACTGTTGCTCTTTTCTGTGGGCTGGACACTTGTCACAGTTGGTGCCGTGCATCACTGCCATTGCCTCTCCAGGTCTGCCCTGTGTCTGCTTCCTCCTATCCAGTCTTCCATCCATCCTTCTGTCCTGGGGTCCTTCAGTGTGCCTGTTGATCACCTGCCCAGTCACCTAGCCATCACCCACCCACCCTGGCCTCTGCGCAGGCTCAGGCTGCCGTGGTGAATGACAGTCCTGAGCCTCACGCAGCGGGTGGGCAGCCCGGTGGCTTCTCAGCGGCTCTGTGCTGAGCTTGCCAGCATGAGATGTCCCGCACCCTCCTCAAGGTCATTGGCGCCGCCATGTCTCCTTGCAGAGCAGCTCTCACGTCGTGATTTCTCTCATCCCAGAACACCCCTGGCAGAGGGCGAAGTCATTCCTGCTTCACTGTGTTGAGGTGAAGTGTCCTGGAATGGTCAAGATTTGAACTCAGTTCTCTGCCCCCCAAGGCCCCTCTGTCAGGACCCAGCTTCCTGAGGAACATTGTTCGCCCCTCGCTCCCCCAGGCCAAACTCCATGTGCCCCAGGGACAGTGCGGGAGCTGGGGGCTCCTCCGCAGGCCTGCGGCCTCCTCCCACCGTCGTCTCCGTCCCCCCGGGTGCCCTGCCCCCGTCAGCCCGGCCTCCGCGCCCTCTGGGTTGGAAGACCTCTCAGTGCCTTCCGGCTGCCCCTTCTGCCTGCTTCATTCTCCTGGAATCTTTCTCATTTAAAGTTGCCTTTTTGTGAGGACTCCTGTGCTAGGTGCTTGACATCAAATTACATTTTTTCTCCCCGACTGGACCCAAACTCCTCAGACCCCCTTCTTGGGCCTTTCCTGAGGCTGCTTGAGCCCCCTGCTTCCTGATACTTATTTTGCCTTTTTAATTTTGTTTTATTATATATCATAAAGGTCAGTTTTGCGTTTTATATTTCACTAGATAATAAGCTCCAGGAGAGCAGGGAAGGTATCTGTTTTGCTCAGTAGTTTCTATCCGCTACCTGGCTCAGGGCCTGGCTTGGAATCGATGCAGGGTAAATAGTTGTTGAATGAGTCAGTAAGTATTAATAAGATTATTGTTCTCTTCTGATTATAATCTTTACTGTGCAAAAATTAGAAACTGTAGAAAAACATAAAAACAATCTATAAAAATACCACATAGTGCTCAACACTTAAAACTTTGATAAATAATACTTTAGCTCATTCATAAAGCTTAATTAAGCTGACTCCAACATATATGAACTTCATATTTTGACTTTCAGTTCACATTATATTAACCTTTCCTCTGTCCAATTTATTATGTTTTCAGAACTTGACTTCTAATGGCTGAAAAATAAGCTAATGTGGATATCCGCCATTTATTTACTCTTTCACCTGGCTGTTGGATAGTTCAGCTGTGATGATCCTTATAAATAGATGGCTGGTCATATCCTTGATCAGTGCATTAGGGATGAGTTCCCAAAAGTGGAATTAGACACTCCTCGGGGCCCTTGGGATAAGTCTCGCTGTAGCACTTTCCGAAAGTATTGTTATTGCACTACACCTCTGTCTGTATTTATTTTATTTTGAAGACAATCCTCTTTTGTTTTTAAAAATTTATTTTGTGTTTCCCCCTCTCTGGTTCACATTCGTTGCCTTCTCGTGCCCTTGACATCCCCCAGTGTGAGTTTGCTTCTGCCAGCAGGGAGGGTGAGAGGGGCGTACTAGGCCCCGCTGTGTGGGGGCAGCGAGCGGAGCCGCCCAGTGGGTGGCTGAGACAGAGGCGTCCGTGTTGCATTACTTGCTTCTGGCGACGCTTGCTGTCCTGAGAGGCAGTAAGAGCGGCCCCACCATGCATCCTCCTCTTGGCGTAGTAAATAGAGTTAATGCAGGTGGTTATTAATCATGGTTATTGATTGGGCTAAAATCACCACCGAAATTCTCTCATAATCTATAATTCCCCAGTCTTTAAGAACAATAAATTGGTGTCGTCTGGCACCAGGCTCTTGCTCAGCATGTGGAACATGGGCCCTGGGGTCTGGAGATTTATGCCGCCCGTTAAAGCTGGCTTGTCCGTAATCTTTTTCAAGACTGCATGTAATGACCTTCTCACTGCCCCCTGCAGGGTCTGCACCCGGCGCCCCTGAGCAGGCTGGTCGCTGGCCTGAGCAGAGCCAAGCTGACCCTAGAAGAGGCTGCGCGGTTACTGACACTTCTCTGGAGAGTCTCAGTCCCCTCAGACGGCCAGTACACACTTCACTGTGAACAGGTGGGTGGTCACACATGGATTCAGAGGCTCAAGGAGGCCACTGGGGCTTGTGTCTCCGTCTCCTGTGCGTCCAGCCCGGGACCTGGCTCGCGGCAGTCGGGTGGGTGCTCGGTTTGGGGACTGTGTTGGGGAGGGGTGGAAGGTGGACGGGCGGCGGGGAGGGCGCCATGTTTGTGAAGAGCGGCGTGCCAGGCACCGTGCTGACTGCTCCCCGTGTGGTCCTCCTCATGCCCCAGCACCCCTGCTGCCCTAACCCTGCCTGTCCCCACTCCCAGGACATCCTTGTTCAGGGAGATCCTGTTTGCATTCTGCACATGAGGGAACTGAGGCTCAGGGAATGAGGCCCATGGTGAAGGTTACAGAGCTGATTTGAGAGCGCAAGTGTCTGAATCCGAAGGATAAACTTTGGTTTCACGGGCTTTAGGTCCCAGCTTGTCCCTATGGGCCAGGTTGTTCCCTTCTTCTCAAAGTCTCTTTCAGTTCAAATGCTTTTGTCTGGCTGCCTGATGCCTTTTGTTAGCTTTCAGCATCTTATTTGGTGGGCCTCGTTCAAGTCTCTTTTTAACTACTTAGAAACAACTTTTTAAAAATCAATGAAAATCACTTACTATAAAACCACTGAAACTTCCCTGCAAAGCCCGACCTTATAGTGGTGAATGTGACTGAATTAAGAACGGTTGTTCCCGCCCCCACCCCCGGCCCCCTCCCGTGGCACCGGTCAGGAGTGGGGCGGCGCGGGAGCGGGAAGTGGGTACTGTGACGGGGTGAGCGCCCGCTCTGGTGGTCAGAGGAACCGCCCTGGAAGGAGAGTGCCGGTTAAGGAGGCGTTAGGACTCGTTGCTTCATGGCCTGGTAGATACTCCCCGCTTCCCTTATCTAACCTATAAATGCTTGCCCAAGGCCAGCAGGAAGGCAGAAGGGAGTTGGCATTCCACGTCAGTACTCATCTGGTTAATCCCCCTTTGGTAGCTCTCAGGCCCATCAACCGTGGCAGAGAGGAAGGGAGCAATGAAGCAGCCCTCCACTTGGAGGGGCCTAAGGAGCCTGACCTCAGATTCCCTTGTGGGGTCCTGGGAGGGAGTTTGGGTGCACCAAGCTTCGGAAGTACATACCGGTCCTGGTGCGGGAAAAACATGCTTCCCCTGGAGCGGAAGAGGGAATGTTGGAGGGAAGGGGGCCCGTTGGCTTCCCGGCCCACGTTGGCCTTTCCTGTTCTAACCCACCAAGCTCTTTTCCGTCTTAGGCTGAGATGACACAGAGGTTCTGACCACCTGTCTCCTGCCTCCTTCCCAGCTGGCTGGCTCCTCGCCTTTCAAATCCCAGCCTGCATGTTTCTTCAGGGTCAGAAAGGGCTCCCTGTTCACTCGGTCGTAGCTTTTGTTTCATCACAGCTCTTAGCACAGATTATAATTACATATTCATTTGTTTAATGTCTGTCTCTATTTTCAATGAGGGGTCTAGTCTAATTTGTTTATATTTTTAAATGAATCAATGAGTAATTTCCTCTCATACTCTTGAACTTATGTCTGTATGATTTTTAAAGCACAATGTGTCTGAACTAAAGAGTTCACCCTCAATGCAGTGTTTTTGTCCTGAGTACATACGAATGTCTGTGAAATAGAGTGCGGGGGGTGGGGGGGTGTGGTGTGTGTGTGTGTGTGTGTGTGTGTGTGTGTGAGAGAGAGAGAGAGAGAGAGAGAGAGAGAGAGAGAGAGAGAGAATACAAACTATACTCACATTGATCTCCCCCACTAGCCAGTTGGCCCAGGGACTGGTCAGTGCTTGTGATGATTTGCCCCGTCTCTCCGAGACTTTCTCGGGAAATTAATTATGCTCACTTTGGCATCACAGAATTTTAGAACCACAAAAAGGACCATAGAGATGCTCCAATACGGTTCCTGGTGCACATAGACCCCCTGTGTGATGTTAAATTGCCTCTAGCCATTTTTCTGTCTCTGCCCATGTTTCATACAGTGCATTTTTCTTGGTGTGAAATGTGTGTAAATCAGATTTCAAGTTTTCACCAGAAACTGATGGCTTTTTACTCCTAGTGTTTTCCCTGAGTGTCATTCATTGATTTGCCTTCTGCATTTAGTACGTGCACCATGCCCTGCCGTTCCTAGGCCTACTCCGGAAAGTGTGACCAGACACCTCAGTTGGTCTAAGAACGTTGTGGGGGAGGGTGCAAATATATTCACATATTCCTTTGTACATTTTTTTAAGTGGAAGGATAAGTAATAAAAAATACAGGCTACTCGCAGCAGTGAGAAGGAAGGGGGTAGAAGGGCAGGGTGGCAGGTGGCCTGCTGTGAGTGGACCTTGTTTTATAAATTTGACTTTGAAATTTTATGAATGCTTTACGTAATTATAAATTAAAATAAGTAAAAATGAGGGACTAAAGCTATTTCTCCAAGTTCATAGGAAGATGCAATGAACACACCTCAGTGTACACAGTGTTGGAGGTGTGGCCACACAGGGGACCCTTAATGGCTGACAGCAGTTTGGCTGAGTATTATCCCTCATGGAAATAATCTGAGGGCAGAAAGAGCTGCAAAAATTTTAAACTGTTTTCAGTGATTAAATTGTTAGTAATAATATTGGTATCAATATTATAAAGCTATTACATTTCTATTATTTTTATTATCTCAGGGAACAGATAAAATAAATCAAAAATCAAAGAAGTAAAATTCCTGCAGTCCTTAATTTGAATTGGAAATATCAGTATGCACTCATGATGTATTTACTTTTTAAAAAATTTACTAGTTCTTTCTACTTAAAAAGCTTTAAAAGTGTTCAAACCAGAACAGTGAGCACCTCTAGTGCCAAATTGTGGTTTCTAAATACCTTTTCCCATTAAAAGGAACTAGGAGTCCTTGGAGAAATGGCTTGGTTCTAGGCCTGTGGCAGGAAGTGTACAATATGAGCTTAGAACTCTTTTCATCCTAGGAAAAGGGGAATGGGGGAGTGAAACTTGCAGATTCGCCGTGGTCCTCAAGTTACGGCTTCTTGACCAGCAGCGTCAGCACATCTGGAAAGGCAGATTTTGGGACCTCATCCCAGACGCACTGAATCGAGAAGTCTGGGAGTGGACCCCAGGCATTCTCTTTTCCTAAGTCACTCTGATTACTCGGAGAACTACTGGATTAAAAAAAAATTTAAGAGACACATCAATCAGGTGTAAAATGTGGTGTTTATTTGTATACCAATTTATTAGAATCAAACCAATTGTTAAAAAAAATAAAATTACAATTCAGTCAGGGAAGTGTGTCTACTGACGTATATTTGATGATAGGAGATTATTGTTATTGTTTTATTTGTAATTGTATATTTTTTTAAAAGAATCTTTCTTTTAGAGCTATATGCTAAAATGTTTTACAGATGAAATATGATTGGCTTTTAGGATTGATTTTAAAAATAATTTTAGAACAAGGATGTCGATGAAACAATTTTGGCCACAATTTGATCATTCCTGGGTACCTTGGTGGTTCATTGTCCTATTCTTTCTACTTTTGTAAATGTTTGAGTGTTTTCATTGTGAAAAAGAAAACAAACACGGCAACAACAAAAAATGCCCCAGCTCCAGAAGTCGGGTGGATCCTCCTGAGGAAGCCCAAGGCCTCCTGGGAGAGGTGTGGTTTTCATCTGGGAGCTCTGCTCTGTGGCCCCGAGGGAGAGCTGCTCTGTCAAGCTCCTCCGGGAGCCTGGCCCTCTGCTCTGCACTCAGCATCTCGCTTTCTCCCTTACAGCAGCCTCCAGCGAGTTAGGTGTTAATCATTCCCCTTTTCTGGACCTCCGGGCTGAAACTCCTATGCTCCATCATCGTAACAGCTAGGAGTGACTAAGCGGGGCTTCAGAGCCCTGCTGGTTTTACCACGGCGTAGTCATCCTGTAAAAACGAAGATTTTAGTTCAGAGGAAGAACAGATGCATAAATAATCTAAGTTCCTTGTTTTAAGTGCTGGATAGAATATGTACAGTGTGTTTTGAGGGCACAGGTGACAATGAACCCCCCAGATGGCAGACGGCCTCCCAGCACCTCCCCTGTGCCAGGCACTGGCGGTCAGAAGGGAGAACGGAGTTCTGCCCTCAGGCAGCTTGTAGTCCAGGGGGGCAAGCAGACAAGTAAATGGCCAGCTACCACCCAGCATGAGGTGGGCATGAAGCGGAAACATTGTGCACAGTGGGCACCCAAAGGGGCAGAAACCAACCTAGGCTCCTGGGGGGAGAGTCTCAAGGAAGGCTTCCTGGAGAAGGTGGTGCCGGAGCTGACTTTAGAAGGAGGAAGAGAGGCTGGCCAGGTGGAGTAGAGGGTAGCTGGGCAGGCCGACATAACCCTCCTCCCTGCTTCCAGGCATCATCTCCCTTGAGTCTCCTCTATTGCCGTGTGAGCGATGGGCCGGGGAGCATCCCTTTTTTACAGATGTGGACGGGGCTCAGGCTCTGCAGGTGGAGGGGCTGCCTGTCCTAGAACGTGTGGCCCTTAAAGCCATGGCCAGAACCCAAATCTTTGCGGGCTCGTAGCATGAGGAAGAGAATCAAAAGAACACCTGATGTTTACATTAGAAAGTTTTGGAAGAACAGTTGAAGTCCTTGTAGCTGACACAATTGTTTAATCTTAAAAGTAGGTTAAAGCAGGTAATCAAAAGATGATACATACCTTAAGCATTTTAGTTTAACTTAAAGCAGTTAAATGTACATTCACTTGCCATTCTTTTGATGTGGGGCCAGAGCCTTTTCTTTGAATATGGGCCTGCTGTTTGGAGGCCTGCATTTTCTTTCTTTCATAAATTACATCCATAATGTATGTCTGTCACTTCCAATTTCTGTTTCTTTAAGATGAAGGAAAAACTTAGACACATGAAAAGCAATTTGAATATAGAATTCCTCTAGACCGTGTTCTTCTCACAACTTTTATAGTGGATTCACCCACACCTAATTTGCCAAAAATGTGTTTTGTAGTGACTTGCCCTTATCACGTCTTTCCTGAAGCATATGTTGGTTTGCATACTTTTCATACACATTTCACAGGTTTACTTAATACTTAATTAAATCACATACAGTAGGTCCTCACTTAACATCATCAATGTGACTTTTAAGCAAAATGACATATAACGAAACCAATTCTACTCTAGACTAATTGGTACAAACAGGGAGAAAGCGCCTGTGGCATCTCATCAGCGTTGGAATGAAACGATGGTGAACGAGACGGCATTGTTTGTTATCTGAGGACCTGCTGTAACTGATTGCAAGTACAGCACTTCCCCTCTTGGGAGCAGAGGCGCTTCCGTGCACCAGAGAGCAGTCTGTGCCAGGGCACCTTACAGCCGGGGTAGTTTAGGAGAAAGGGAGTGTCCTTCAGCCCTTGAATGAGTTAGTAGAGACTAGTTAAGAGGCCTCTCTGGTGTGTACGGTTCACTTCAGAGGACTGGGGTCTCTGGTTTTGCGGTCCATCCATGTCCTCCTCACCTCTGCAAAGTCAAAATAGGTTCCCCTAATGGATCACACTCTCCTAATAATACTTTTACATCTCTTTTTTAAGATTTAACAATTTTTAAAAAATTATAGTTTTTGTTTAAAAAGTCAATCAATTGTGATAAGTTTTTAAAAATGAAAATAAAACATTCCGAATCACATTTCTCGGGGATAATTGCTATCAGTATTTTGATGACATTTCTATGTCACCCATTTTTTGTAGACATCTTGATACACCCATCTGTGGATATAGAGATATGTGTTCAATTCTATGAAACCAGAATGCCTAATATACAATAGCTCTTCTGGGCTCTTTGTCACTAATTACTATCATCTTTCAATGTCAATAAATAGAGTTCTACAATATCATTTTTAATAGCTGCAATATTTTTCCACTGTGTGTGAGTACCATAATTTATTTAGCTAGATCCTTATGGAAACAAATCAGGTTGTTATATTTTTTCCTACTATGAGCAACGCTGAGACGAACATCGTTGAACACAGGCACGTTCCTGTGCTTATATTATTCCTTGGAGGAAAATGCCAAAGGGCAGAATTGCCGGTCAAAGGGTTAAGCACATTTTACAATTCGGTCAAGCTCGCCAGGACATTTGTCCCACCGGGGCCACCTGCAGTCCTGAGAGCGCTTCCCCATGCCCTCACGGTCACTGGCTTCTGCCTGTTTTTGCCAATCTGACCAGCAGAACGTGGCTTCCAGTTGGTTTTTTTTTTGGAATATTTTTTTGAGTCAGGTTGAGCATCTTTATATATGGTTTTGTAATTCTGCCCATGTGATAGCATGTTTTTTATTCTTTGTTCATTTTTCTAATCCCTCTTTTCTTTAGACTGGAGAAATGAAGGCAGAGATCACCAAGCTACATAAAAAATTATTTGAACAAGAAAAGAAGTTGCAGAACACCATGAAGCTTTTGCAGCTAAGCAAGCACCAGGAAAAAGTCATCTTTGATCAGCGTAAGTGAGCGGTCGGAGGGCGGCCACCATGTCTGACCACTTCCTACCTCTGGGGACTAAAAAGCCAGCTCTGGACCACCCACCTGGGAGCCCAGCCGTTTGTCATCATTCCTCCTATTTGTGGGCTTCCTTTCGTATCTCATCCTTCCTGAGCCACACAGACAAATGAATTCACTTAACAGACTTCTGCAGAGGGGCTCCTGTGCAGGGACTGTCGTCTCCTTGGGAGCCAGTGGGTGGCATGTGCAGCGATAGGAACATGGACAGGGACTTAGCACTAAGGTAGCAGTGGGGCGGGTGTCACTCTGTCCTGGGAGGAGGAGGTGTTGGTCAGCTGGAAACGGAACAGTGTAGACAAAGGCAGAGAGGAAAGAAAGAAGGTTTTATATGCGCGAAACCGTCAGCGCTGCACGTTGCTCGACTAAGCGTAGCAGGTGGCCGCGGAAGGCTGGGAGGGGGCCCGGGGGACAGGACTGCATCCCGCAAGGCCTGAGGTGGCCGGCTCAGCCGCGTCGGTCTTGGGCAGAGCCTCAGCCCGTCACAGCTCCGCGCGGGAAGGGCTGGTGAGGAGCAGCCGGTTCATTGGCCGGGCCGACAGGAAGGACGCCCGGGCCGGGCAGGGGGCATCCAGAGGGGTTTGAGAAACGGTTTCCGAGACAGATACAAGACACAAGGTCAGAGAGGTACGACAGCTCTGTGAGGTCAGCCCCAGCCCCAGCTGGGAGCATCGGAGGTTGTTGGGAGCAGCCGTGTTTCCCTACTTCAGACCCTCTGCAGTCACTTGTGCTGCGTGTTTAGACGTGGCGTCAAATTTCTTCCAGTGCCTCTTGGCAGCACAGCTTGGCCGAGCCTGGGCTCTCTGCCTGCACCTCCCTGTCTTAGCAGAGCTACCGATCATAGCGCTTTCCTTCCCTCGCTGTCTAGTGTGCTTTCTTATCAAAGTCCAGCGTTTCTGGGGCATTTCTGGGAGGCATCGAACATAGACTTTTGTCAAGTAGTTCTTCACTCCGTAGAAGCCTTCTGAAAACAGACTGTGAGACTCGCAGAGTTGGAACTGCAATTGAGAGGTGCTCAGTCACTAGCAAGCACTGTGTCTTGCTCTGTGCCCCTGTGCCAGGCCCTGGGACAGAGGTGAATGAGACAGTTCTTTCCAAGGGGAGCTTTAACCTGGTGGAGGAGACACAAGAATGAGCTGTAGGATAATGTACCTGCATCCCAGGCAGCCTGAGAGGTGCTTCAAGGCTCTGGACCAGCTGGGTCTCTAGGGTGAGTAGGAGTTAGAGAAGGGGCGGGACCAGGATCCTGGCAGGCAGCCTCCCAGGCGAGGACTGAGTGCTTAGGGACATGGGTAGGGCACACCAAGGCTTCTGCTGTGAACGATGAAGGGAGAGGAGTAAGTAGGGGCCAGGTCACCAAGGGCCCGGGGGGCCGGACTCAGGAATGAGCAGCAGGAACTGACATGGTCCACTGTGTGTCAGAAGGTCCCGTGGCTGAGCATGGAGGGGCTGGGAGGCGGGAAGACCTCTTTAGGGGCTGTGACAGACCCCCAGACAGACAGGGCAGACACCTGATGGGGCCGACAGTGCTGCGAAGGAGAGGGGTGGCTTTGCGAGAGGTTAATTTCAGGGAGCAGCCCTGGCAGAGTGGTGGGCGTCCGCGAGCTCCTAGCCTAGGGATTCATGTCACCCGCAGGGAAAGGGGGCCTTGGGGAGACAGTGCCGGTGGCGGTCGTGTCTGAGGTGGTGGTGGCACGTTTGGGTCGCCTCCTGGAGCGGCAGGGGGCAGGAAGTGGTGTTCCCGTTCAGCCCCCAAGTCCAGGGAGAGTCGGAACTCACCTTTCTGGCGTCTCTCCACAGCAGCCCTGAACAGGTCGCAGGGCACTTCCAGTGAACCCCGTTCACGGGCGAGCACATACTGGAAGTGGGCAGCAGGTTCAGGTGGGTGGGCGGCCGTGCGGACACAGCGCGCAGGACCCAGCCCTGGAGTCCTAGGTCAGGGAGCCTGGAATCATTAACGAGAAAGTTCAGATCTCCACTCTCCTGTGTGACCAGAATAAGTGACTTCAACTCTCTGAGCTTCAGAGTCGGCATCTCTGATTGGAGACAGTAATCCCAAAGGACTCACGCCTGCCAGACAGGCCTCGATTCTAAACATAACTTTATAAAGTGCCTCAGTTTCCTTATCGGATGGGAATGGTACCTTAACCTCACTGTACTCTTCCTGGGACAGAGTAGAAGCTCAACAAACGTTCCCTGCCTCTTTTGTCCCAGTAGGTCAGACTGAACCCCTTCTGGAGGTGGTAAACCTTTAATAGTGTGAAAAACCTCAAATGTGTCACAGCGCCTCCCATGCTAAGATGGCATCACCCATCTCTGTATCTCTAAGGCCTGGCATAGAACAGGTGCTTGGCTCAGTGCCAGGAGAGGAGTGTGCCCAAGGCCACAAAGCTGGTGGCTGATCCTGGACTCTGACTCTCCTAGGCCAGGCTCTGCAGCTCTTCCTGATGGATCAGGTCCGTGGAAGGTGCTCAAACCCTGCTGGCCTCACAGACCTGCTCCTGGCTCTAAGTGACTCTGTGAAAGTTGGCATCATGTCCCCTGCTGACCCTTCCCTGCATGGTGACAGGAGGAACAAGGGCCCAGGCCTGGTCTCTGCCAGGGACAAGCTGGGCACTGCATCTCCTCCCCTAGTCTGCAGAGGAAAGGAAGGACAGAGTGTCACTGTGAGACCCAGGGACCTCACCACACCCTCGCCATGTGACATGGAATCGCCAGCTTCACTTTCAGCCTCTGGGACAGGAGTACCTGCTGCTCGGGGTTGGGGGTATTCACTGAGGTCACAGTTGTCCCCAGGGGGACACCAGTGGGTTGGCATCTTCCTTGCCAGCACTTCTGCTAATGTGGAAGGAGCCCTGCTCTGTGCAGGACAGACCTGGGTTGGAGTTGCTCCTCTGTGCTGGGCAAGCCTGGATTTGGGACGTGCCCTTTACCACTCTGTCTCTCGGGCTTCTCATGGCAGTGGGGTTTCTGTGCGCGGGAAGGTGGGTGGTGCTGTTCAGATGTGGGGGCCCCTTCAAATGGGCTGGTAGGCCTCTGCTCTTCCACGGGGATTCATGTTCCTTCAGTGTTCCGGTGTGATTTTAACCTCCACGGCTGAGCTACTCAGGTGTTGGTGACTCTCAGGAGAGGTGCGACCTCCAGCCCCCCCCAACATACAGACACACACACACACACACACACACGCACGCACGCAAGATGCTACGCCCCCCCCCCAACTCTCTCTCTCTCTCTCTCTCTCTCTCACTCACTCAGTTTCTGGGGGTTTGGGACACCCCAGAAGATACCCCTGGCGGGGGGTGGGGGAAGCGCGGAGAAGCAGCGGGACCTCCCCCTGAAACCCTCTTTGCCCGCTCTCCGTCCCTCCCCTCGTGTCACAGATGCAAACCACCTTCGTTATTTTTTTGTGAAGCAAGAAATAAGTATTTTTTCAAGGCCACCATGTGGCCCCGCTGCTAAATGATAGAGAGTTTCTTTCAACCTTGGGTGCCACACTGGCCAATGGCCCGGTTCCAGAAGCCTGTGCCACCTTCCCGGGGGAGCAGACTGATTCCCTGGCCCTCCGCACACCCTGTTCAGAGCAGATCCATGGTCAGGCATGGGACTCTGTTTCTTGGTGGCATTCCTGCTGCTGGAGTCTGTGTTGAGGGAAGAGGCACCTGACTTCATGTCGCTGCCCCGGAAGGCGGGCACTGCCATTCTTTCCATGGGCTCCATTACACCAGCCATCTGCCCGTCCACAGCTCAGGGCACCAAGTCTGCGGGTCCCCCTGCGGTCGGCCCCCAACCCCCGTCTGTCCGGGGAGAAGGTGACTTGCTCAGGGAACCATGTTGGGCTCCACTGGCAGCTCAAGGGCAGCTAAGGAGGGAAAATGCCAGAGTTCTTCCTCCCAGGTCGTTAGGAGCCTGCTCCAGGTGCTGCTATGTTCAAGTTCGACTTTACAGAACTGCCTTTGGCCTTTACACGGGTTTGCTTGGAGTGGGGCACACTCCCTCCCCAGCAACCAAAGCATGCAGGATGCTAGCCAGGCGCGGGCCCCTCCCTGGCCCGGCTTTGCCGCCCCTGCCCCTCCTGCCCCCGGAGAGGTGAGCCCAGGGCGCACCTGAGTGTCCAGCTGGTCTTCAGTCCTCGGTTTTGTCTAGAACATGGCGTCGGACCCTCTGCTCTGCCTCTACTTCTGGTGTGACTGGGAGCTGTGGCTTAGCATGGAGTCTCGGAGAGCATGGTATTTGGTCCTGGGGTGTGGCCTTCTCACCTCTCTCTGGCCTGGGTGCTTCAGGCCTGTCTGAACCATTTGGGGTCCAGGGGGCTCCTCCTCCCTGCACCTGGCATTGCACGGTCTCCCTGGGCATCTGGAGCTAATCTCCCCACCCTTTGTTCTCTCTTCAGTGGTCGTGACCCACAAAATCCTTCGGAAGGCCAGAGGAAACCTGGAGGTAATGCCCCTTGACTTTATTTCACTGGAAGCCACCTGGGCAGGGGGCCTGGGTGCAGGGCAGGCAGTGCAACAGGGTATGTGTCCTCCATGTGCCCTTGGAGTTTTCTGCCAGGAGGGCACACCGGCTTTCATTTAACCGTGCTGGGTGTCGGTGGTTCAGTCGTTAAACTCATGCACTGCTTTTACCAATGAGAAACATAGTGAATAGTGCCTGGCACATGGTGAGCATTTGATAACGTATTTTTGAATGAGCCAGTACAATATGATCTCACTGTCATTTGGTTCTGTCGATATTTACTGACCAGTGTCTTTGATAGTAGTTTCAGAGTAACAGTGTTGCCTTTAACTCTGTCAGGGCTCTTACCTGAGACCCCTCCTTGGACCTAAAAGTCTCCTTGTTCTCCTCTCTTTTCCTAGCTGAGGCCCGGGGGTGCCCATCCAGGAACATCCAGCCCCAGCAGACCAGGCTCCTGAGAGCTCTGACAATAAAGCCGTGGTTCTCCACTCTCTTTGTTACAAGTGTGGTTCCTACTTACTGAGGAAAAATGAGCTGCCTATTTTTCCTCTTAATGTTTTCTGTGCTAAAGTTGGTTTAAGGGTTGTTGTCAAACAAGTCTCGGGGGCTCTGCAGCGAGGTGTTAACAGGCTGTGGGCACTGGGGCGCTGGGCCTGGTGCCCCGGGGCAGCGCTGGAGCTGGGTGTCCCTGCCGCGCCCGCTGCGGGCCTCACGTTCACCTGGGTTTGCTTCGTGCTCAGCCAGCCCTGCGGTTTGAAGATTCACATGAAATGATTGGTTTCAACTTGGTGATGCATTTACTTTGTGTGGAGCCTCAAAGCCCAGGTCCCAAACGTCCAAGTGGGACAGGCTGGGGTCTCAGGAGTGGCACTCAGATGTCACCCACGGTCTCTGCCGATTCCAGTCAGGTGACTGGAGAGGAACAACTCCACGTGGCGTGGCTGGGGCACCGGTGTTTGCACCTGGTGCGAGCACCCGCCGCGGCCTTGGCAGTGCACAGTGGCATCCCAGAGCAGCTCCCCGAGGTGGTGCCGTTCCCACTGGGGAAGGAGCAGCGAGGCTGCAGGAGGGACTTGGCATCGGGGTTTCCCCATGGTGACCGTGATCTCCCTACTCCGCTGTCCTCATCGCTGCCCGCTACCTTTGCTAAACCCTGTCACTGACCTTCCTGTTCCATCGTACCTTTGTGCTCAGCTTCCTGATGTTCCTGAGAAATTAACAGGGTGGAGTTTGGCCCCTTCAGCCGGTGAGGCTCCGGACTGGCCGGGTGGCCCTGAGAGGCACCGACAGCGCACCCCGACCTGACACCCCTGCTCCGCTCCGCTCATGGGCCTCAGCCCTGCACCCACCACCTCGGTGCCTGTGATGTCAGCTGGGCATGTGGGCCTCACTGGTGCAGCGTTTTGAATCCTGACCCAACCCCCCTCTGTGTGCCTGTTTCTGCCATCGTTCTGGGGACTTCGGCGTCCACGTGGCTGACCCCTCAGTTTGCTCTCCCTCTGCTATCACTCACTCTGACGTCCCGCCCTCGGACCATTGCCGCCTGTTCTTCAGCTCACCCCTGACCCCCTCTGCTTCCACCTCCCGGAGATCCTAGTCTCTGGTCATTTTGCTGTTACAGGGCTCCTTCCTGTTCCTTTTCCATCACGTTTCTCTAGTCGGGTCTCCCACACCCACGTTGCATGACACACTTGACCAGATACCTTCCTGCTGTGACCACGTGAGTGGCTTCACCGGAGCCCCTGACACGGGGACCCGTCTGCCCCGGGGCACCCCGGCCCCTCTCTTCTCACCTCCTCGCCCTGCATGGCCCTGGCAAACGGAGCTGTCTTCGGCTCACGGAGCTGTCTTCGGCTCACCGAGGTGCCCTGCCCAGTCTCGGCCCAGGGCGCTCCCTCTCTTCTGGCCAGCTTTGATTGGTCCACCTGAAGCCCTCCCCCGCGGCGGTGTCTGAGCAACGTGACGACTGCATGACTGGGTCCACCACTGTCCTGAGTCCACACCCTCCCTGGGGTTGGGGGTGAGGGGCGGTCTGGGCCAGGCCCGTATTCACAGCGCCGCTGAGCGACGTAGCCCAGGCCCCTGCCTTTGAGAGGCAGAGCTGGGGCTGGATCCCTCCTGCCCTAAAGCCCAAACTGCTCTCCGCTGGTGCCCCGGCAGCTCCCCAAACACGACGGTGACTTCAGGTGACGTGATTGCTTTGACCGGAGGCACAGGGGGTGGAGGAGCGAGAGCCAGACTGGGAGTCAGGCCGGGAGTCGGCCTCATGCCCAGCTCCCCCGCCACCCGCCACCCCTGCCCTTCCGCCTGTTTCCCATCAGGTGAGGGGTGGGGCAAGTGGCAGGAAGGACCCGGTCTGCCTGGGTTCCCCTCACCTGAGCTCTCCCATGAGAAGCGGTCGCACAGTGGACCTTCATAAACCAGGTTCAGGCATAAAGTCACGTAGCAGCTCCTTTTTCTAGCAGTTGCACCACTGGCATCCTCAGGGGAAGCTCTGATCTGTGGCCCGGGCGGCTCCACGCGGTTCTGGGGAGGGAGCAGGAGGCCTGGCTCCTAGTCCCAAGTCACGTGCTTCTGCATCCGTCTGACACCTGTAAAATGGGAATCGCCCTTCTGCCCAGTCCTGATCACAGTGTGTGAGCCTCAAAATTTGGAAGTAGCCAAACCCTTTCCAAAAAGTAGTGACTCTTACTTAACTCAGTGTCTCTCAGTGACTCATCTTGAGGAGGTTTTCAAAGCACTTATTTTATATTCCCATGGTTGATGAGCACAAACGCAAGTGTTTGTGTGTGTGGCGGGGGCTGGGGGAGGAGGTCATACAGGACAGTGGTTAGAATTCAGGTGGGGCCTGGAAGTCAGACCCGGCTTCAGGTGGACCCACGGGGGAGCAATACTGCCTACTTCCCTGGCAGTTGAGGGCCCATTGCCTGGCATGTGGTCAGTGCCCAGCGTCTGGGAGCTGAACTTGGCCGTTGGCAAGGCCATGAGCTCGAAGGGCTGTGAGGGCAGATACACTTGATCTGGTACATTCCAGGCCCATATGGTTGCCTGAGAGCAGGGCCTGGGGAGGAGGGGGCTTTGGGGGTGACTTGCTGCAGTCACTCGCAGCTTTTCAGGAGCACAGTAACCCATAGCAGAGCGTATTTTTATCCCCCAGTTTAGCATTGTGTAAGATACTCCCAGCCTTGGGCTAGTGAGGGCCCTCCCTCCTCTGGGAGGTGGGGGAGCAGGCCGGTTTGGGCTGGATTCAGGCCAAGAACAAACTGCAAATAAGGACAATTTGGACCTTGGAAAAGGCTCCATTGTCCCTGGTGAGTTAATTTTGCCAGCAGCTGAATTCAGGGGTCTGTGAAGCAGTCATCAGAAAAAGCGTCAGTTTCCGGTTGGTGAAATTAATCACCACCTGTGTCCACAGAGCTGGAGCGGCACCTGAGAGCAACAGCTGCAAGGGCTGAATATATAGAGAGGAGGAGGGGAGAGGCACAGAGCCCCCGTCTCGCCCCACCTCACCCTGCACCCGCCCCTGCCCTGGCCACGGGCCCACCTGCCCAGTTCCTTTTCTGAGTCCAAAGGGTAAAATTCTTTCCCCTCCAGGCTGGTGCCCACCTGCTCAGCAGTAGTCACACTGTGCTTTGTCTCATTAATTCATCTGCATGGTCCTGTTCGTTTTACAAATGAGAAAACCGGTGGAGAGAAAACTTAGCAAGTGCTGGCGCCAGGATGGGAACTGGAGTCTGTCAAAACCTGTTTTCTAAATTATCCTGTCCTCTGGATTGTTCTGTCTCCCTGAAATGCTGTCTGTTCTCCAAACTGCAGCCCTTCCCTCTATTACAAACCAAAGTATTCTCTCTCCACCGTTTTCCAACAACACGTCTCCGGGAGCCCAGGCTGGGGCCCGGAGACCCGCGATTGATTTGCTGGGCACGGCGTCCCCGAGAACCGCCGGTAAACGGGGCTGCGGACAGGAGAAAGAGTGATCTTGTTAATAAGTTCTCGGCATTGTGGGGGCAGAGAGACCTGCCTGGGGGCTCCTGGCCCTGCCAAATTGCCTCTTCAATCTTGGCCATATTTTAAGTCTAACTCAAAAATTCAATTATCAAAATTACTCATCCAGTCTCCTGAGAAGCCCAGGACTCTGCCTTCAGGGCCAGACGTGTTTACCTCTTGTCACAGATGGGGCCTTCGCCGCGCACTCGGCTGGGCCTGGGTTGGGGTCGAGACCCAGGGACTTGCCGTGGCTTTCTGGGCTCTAATAAAACCTAGTCTAATAATTTCTGCTGCAAGATTATGAGGTGGAAAGGAAAAGATGGCCATGAGGCCCAGATACTGGCCAGATCCCTGGGGTTTGCTTGTTCGTTCATTTCTGTGGAGGTTCTGCCCCCAGCCAGTAGCTTATACTGCAGTCACCCCCGACGCCTCCTCCTCCCTCCTGCTCTGTCCCGTCCACAATCATGGCCATTCTATCTACTTTCTCTCCCAAGGCCATTGCTTTGTTTATCATCATCACCACCTTGGTCCAGGTCTCCCATCTGGACCACTTGCTGTAATGGCTTCCCAGCTGACCTCCCCACGTCCACCCCTGCTCCCTCCATTGTGCCCTTGCCGCAGCTAGAGCGATGCCTTAAAATGCAGAGCTGATTGGATTGTCTCCTTGGTTCACGTTGTTGACTGCTTCCCACTGCATTCAGCATGACCTGCAGGTAGTGCGGTGAGTCCTGCCCATTCCTTATTTTCTCCCTTCTTCCTCCTCCTCATGGGGCTTTCCTTTTTGGCCACAGGGCCTTTGCACAGGCTTCCCTGCCTTGCATCTTCCCATCTACTTCCCTGGCATCTCTTGCATCTCTTGCTGGTTGGCTCCTGCGTATGCCTCAGAGAAGTCTTCCAATCAGAAGCCCACACTCTACACTCTCAGTAAGATGTCTCCTCACCGGCACTCAGCTGCTGTCGTGACTTCGGATTGTGTGAGCGTGATTTTCTTTGGTTATGCCTTTCCCATCCATCATGAGCTGGCAGGCCTGTGAGGGCACCAGCCTGGTGCACTTTGCTCACCATGCCAGCCTCAGAGCAGTAAATATATTTGCTCACCCAGTGCTCCTAGAGCTCCCCTCACCTCCTTATGGAAGAACTCAGACTAGGTGGGGAGAGCACCGGTAGTAAAGCCAAAAGGGAAGACTACCTTCTGAGCCAGCAGCCTCTGTAACGTCACGTGCAATCACATGACAGCCCTGTGGGGGAGATGCTGCTTTTTTCAGGTGCAGGGCGGGCACAGAGCAAACGTCCCAAGGTCACAGGGCCAGTGGGAAGCCTTCGGCGGGCTGCAGAGCCCAGGCCCCGTCCCAGCGTCCCGGGCGAGCACAGTGCGGGGCGGTGAGTGCCGAGGCGGCTCGGGCGGGCCGGGTGCAGTCTGCGCTGGCAGACTCCCCAGAAGCTTCCCGCCACCACCTCCAAAGCCCAGCCCTGTCCCGGGCTTGGCCAGTC